CACCTAACAAACGCTCACGTAATTCATATTCAAATGCCATTTGTATGTATAAACATATGTACTCGTACCAAAAATGTGGTTTTCCGATTAACGCCATTCGCCATTAGCGATGATGACTTCTACGCCGGCGTACACTTTGCATATATGCATACATAAATAAATAATTATGTATGTACATATATATAATACTCAGAAGTACCTATAATCGGTGTATATATGTATGTATGTATGTATGTATGTGCGTGGTATTTGCATATAGATAAATATAATATTAAATTTCAAAATTTTACTTTTTATGTAAGAAAAAATCATACTTGTAAATACTATACGTACATATGTACATATGTCTTCAAGTGTCTTTATGAATATATAATTTTTTTTATATATTAAATATAAATCTATATGCGATTTGTTGTCTATAAATATATATATTTATATGTATGTAGAATTCTTATTATATGCACATAGGTACACTTATATGCATAGGTTTACCCACATACAATACATTTATTATACACATTTGCATTTATTTAAGAGAATTTTGATACATGAAAATAACACCAACACAAGTACTTATTTGGTAGAATTATAAAATTTGCTAGCATTTGATATCTAATGCGGTGGGTGCAATTCACTTAAGCTGACGTTCACATCACTTCTGACTTAACACACACACACACACACACACACACACAAATACACCCAACTATATGCACATACAAACATTTTATACATACATTTAAACGTCATTTAAACAAATTGTCGTTTACCTATAATTTATGCGTACATATGTATATGTATGTATGTATGTGTAAGAAAACTTGCATTAAATCGTCGTAAGCTTAGAAAAATCTTTAGTAAAATTTCGTAGATTTATATTTTTTAACTGTTTTCAACAACATTTTATCATTTTCTTCACACTTTCTTGTTCTTTTTTGTTGTATATATACATTTATAAAATATTATCTCATATTATTTTAATCACCAAACTTGTGTATACATATACATCTAGATAAATATGTTTAAATTTATGAAATAATCATCTATTCTGCCTACAATCGATCACTATTCCCGCACGCAACCGCGCTCAACGTTGATCGCTACTCTACTAACCACGTCGCGATCGGCTCACTTAGCTCAGAGGATGTATACACCTTCGTATAGATTTGTAAGCACACAGCTGTACAATTGCATAAATATATATATATATATCATAAATGTGTAAATACTCAATTGTGCTTCACTTGAGGCCAAGTTAGAAACGTGTTTCGAGTAACTCTTTTGGCCCCTATTGAGTGCTGAGAGGCCAATTGAATATTCGCAAAGAGCCGTTGGAGACTTTATGTTATTAACTGCATATGTTAGATGTGCATACGTATATGTACATATATGTTCATCGATTGTGGCATAATGTCATTTAATTCAAGTAGAAACGTGATTTGAACATTGCTCACTCTATGAAGTAGACAGAGCAATACATATGTACATATAACCAAATGTTTGAAAAAGAGAAGATTCTGTTCGGATATGTACGAGTATGTTATTAATAGAGTTTTATATGTATAAATAAATAAAAAAAGAGCACAACAAAAATTTTTGCTCACGTGCAAGCAATATTTTCACAGCAAATGCATGCATATTTTGGTTGTCAATGAATGTATGAAAATGATGATTCCTTAACATCTGTGGATGTGAATGAGAAAAAATTCATAATTTATGTTATTTTTTTTTTTCTTTTACTATTTATGGTTAAGATAACGAAAACTGTATGAATGAATGAAAATATCTTAAAAATTGTACTCGGCATAAATTACTTTTCCAATTTGCTCACGACGAATAGTCCTTGCTTCCTTCAAAATGCTTAAAATTTAAAAATTTTTTGTTTAAAAATTATATATGATGAAAATAGATATGAAAATTTAGGGTAGCCGTACGCGTATCTTTGTTTACATTCGTTTGTTTGGCTTAAATTTTAATATGGAGCCCACAACGGAACATTTTCGCCATATTTTATTTTATTATTTCCTTAAAGGAAAAAATGCAGGCAGGAGAAAGGAAGTGTAGTGTCGAATTTGGTTTGTCATATTCCGTTCTGGACATTTTTCACTCAAAGGGAAGCCACGTTCAGCTCGGCCAAGCGAAGCTGATGCAGACCATATCAATACTGTAATCGTGGGTTTGGAAAAAAGTTATATATATATGTATAATTGGCGCTTTGTAACCGCTGAAGCGATTTTCCGCCGAGCTCCTCCTCCAATTTGTGGTTTTGCGTCTTGATGTTTTTTTGCAACAAATGGAGGAACCTACAGCTTATACTAAGCCGCCTCCGAACGGCTGATGGTTTTCTTATGAGGAGCTGTTGATTTTCATGTCAGAAATACACGCGGAGGGGCTGACATTCCCTGCCGAGGGGCGACCGCTATTAAAAAATTTAACTTAATTTTTTATTTAAATTAATTTTATATAACTTTTGGAGAATAGTTAGTGTACCAAAATCAACCGTTTATAATCATATACGACGTCTAGGACTGGTAAAAGACTTAATATTTGGGTACCACCTGAATTGAAAGAAGTTCATTTAAGACTCCGCTTCAACGCTTGTGATATGCATCTTAAACGCTAAGAATATGTTTCATTTTTGCAGCAAATCATAACTGAAAATGAAAAATAAGATGTTTACAATAATGTCATTCGGAAACGATGGTTGAAGCACCATAACTACTTCAAAGACTGATATTCACCAAAAGAATATTATGCTGTCAGTTTGGTGGGATTGAAAGAGTGAGTCTGTTGTATTTTGAGCTGCTTCCAAGGAACCAAACGATTAATTAAGATGTCTATTGTAAACAACTGCACAAATTGAATACATCCATCAACGAGAAGCGGCCAGAATTGGTTAAATGCTAGACCGCACACATCTTTGTTACATAATTGATTAAATTTCATTATAAAATTAAAAAAAAATGTATTTACTTTTTTTTAAAAAAATCGCCGGTTTCTTTTAGGGAAATCCAATAGTTATGCAGATAAATTGATATTTATGCACACAAGTTTGCTGCTTAAGTCTTTTGTTTTTACCTGTAATTTCTGTAAGTTTTGACATCTACATATGTGTATGCATGGTTTGGTTTTTTAATTTCAAAAATTCAAAATTAAACATTTTTTACTTGCGGTCTCTTCAAATTTAAGGTTGACTTTTTTTCAGTGCTGTCGAGACTTATTCCATTCCAGGTTAATCAAAAAGTTATCAGGGAAATATTCAATTTATCTATTATTACTAAGATATTAAGTTTTGGTAAAAAGATAAGTTGACTTTTTAAATTTCCTGCTATTTATATATACATATGTATGTATATCTATTTAGCTATACATAAGGTTTAGCAAAAAGAAATCCATTATTTTTGCATTAAATTGAATGATTTGATTTTTTCTTTTCGTATCCAGCCTTATTCAAATGGTTTCAAAAGGTTTTTTTTGTGCAAAATTTAGCTCTTGGGAAATCGAAAAAGTGCTCATTTGACGTTTGGACTCGACAATGCCCATGATTTTATAGACATTTTCCACAAATGGCCTTCCAGTGCCTGGTGCCTCTCTTACATCAAATTACTGGAACAAAACTGAAATTGTGCATGAATGACTGTAACAGTATCAGCACTATGAACGCTATGCACATTTCCAGGTGTCTGGCTTACGTTTTTGCTCTTATCGAAGAAAAACTTTAAAAATATATCGTATTTTCTCTTTGCTAGTGTCCATCTTTGACGCACGACGCTCAAACCAAACTGAATGAACCAATTACAAAACTGTCAAAAAAGTTTTTTTAGTACGAAATGTCCTCTTTCTAACGACATCTAGCGGAATCCGATCGGACTTATACAACACGAGGTACAGTTAAAGACGTCAACTATTGAGAAAATAATGGCTTTCTTTTTACTATACCAATATTTATATATATATGTACATAATTTGGCGTTTTGTAAACGCTGTAGCAATTTGTGGCCTCCTCCAATTTATGGTGCGTCTAGATGTTTTTCCAAAATATGGAGGGTTTACTGTTTATTCTTAGTATCCGTAGAGTCGTTGCAGGTTTATGAGAAGCTTTTAATTTTCATGCCAGAAATACCTATTATTATTATTAATTATATGTACCTCGGCGATTTTCTGCTGTCGGAAAAATCGAATTCAAGAACTTATATCAATTTTTATTGTTGAAAAAAAGTTAAAATCAAAAGCACGGAGAGTGTCGAGATGCTCGCATTGGCGCCAAAGCACATTACCAACCGTTGAAAATGTTGAGAAGGTGAATTGAGTTGTTATGAAAAATCGTCGAAGCACTATCAGAGAAGGTGCTGAGAATGCATATCGGTTAGTTCTTGCAATGCAAATTTCAGAAATGGTAATGAAGTTCGTTCCAAAAATCTTGCATTTTTTTGTAAGTAAAAACCCTTGCATGAACATCACTGAGAACTTGTCTTAGCAATGCAAAACCAAATATCTCTATGGAAAAGCCCAATAGTTTAAATCAATGTCAAAGTTTGGTTCATTGGTTTCTTCGATATTATCATGACATACCTTAGGATTTCTTATCATGTGAGGTATTTCTATGAGGTTATATGCATAATTTCTTTGAACCAATAAGAAAAAATGTTCAGAATGGTCTAAAAGAAATTCATGGATATTAATTTTATGTTCACCAGATTCGGGTACCAGAATTCCTTAAATCTCACATAGAGTATGTGAATTTTCTTTACTTTGTTTTGTGAAAATTGAGCTAATCTAGCTTAAGTTTTTAAAATATTATCGTTTTCATAAATCCTCGCAAATGTAATAAGTAAGCATTTGTAGTTTTAGATACTTTATTAAAGTACATACATACACATATGCACATTTATAACATTCTTCATTTTAATTATGTATTGCAGATAGTTAAATAGCACACTTATATTTGTTGTTTATGTGCTATCGAATTTTAATTTTAGTTTAATTTTCAATACAACATATTCAGCATGGAAAATTTTCCGTTTTTTCTTTGCTGACAAATAGGATTCTTTGTATTTTGTTTTTATTATATAAAATTTTTAATGCATGCAGCTCACATATCTAAATAAAAATATTACATTAGGCAAACAATTTCTTAACTATCGCTTATGTTTGGTAAGCGTTAAGTGCAGTGCATGTACCTAAGTTCTGTGCATTTAGTGCATTTATTTGAGAGAGAGAGAGAGAGTGCAAAGTGATAAGAAATGATTTTATTTTCTATTATAAACCTAGAGGCTCGTGCCCGAGTATATTATTTTGGTGGTAATATTCACTATTTTGTTCTTTTACTTTACGTATTTATTTATTGTGGCAACTGTTTTCTTGATTTGACAATTTTCGCATTTTACTTTCGGCAGTAATTAGTAAATGGAAATGTTTTGCATTAGTTTATATTTTTTGTTTGTTTTGCAATTATATTATTTTAATTTACGTATCGTAATTTTATAATATACTTTTATGATTTTATCGGTCCAACTTGTCTCACTCTGCATCTTTCAAGGCTGTCACATTTTATATTTAACTTTTTTACTTATTGATCGTTCTAATAAAATTTAAATATTTAACAACTGTTGAAGTGTTGACTTATGCTGCTGCTTTCTAGCCTTTCATTAAATTCTAGGCCAACTCCAGACGTTTCATCTCTTTGTACAATTCCTTGCCCATTTGTGCTGGACTCCTGGTCACGATAACTCCAGCTTTTTCGAGAGCTATAATCTTGTCACCAGCACCGCCCTTACCACCGGAAATGATGGCACCAGCGTGACCCATACGACGACCAGGTGGCGCAGATAGACCGGCAATAAACGATACAACGGGTTTCGCTTTAATGCCCTAAATCAAAAATTATTTACACATGAGTGTTATAAAGAAATTTCAAAAATGAATTGGATCTCACCGTATTATATTGAGTTAAATATTCGGCAGCCTTCTCCTCAGCAACGCCACCAATTTCACCAATTAAAATGATACCTTTGGTATCAGGATCTTTCAAAAAGATTTCGAGACAATCGATGAAGTCGGTACCGTTAAACGGATCTCCACCGATACCAACACACAGTGTCTGCCCAAGGCCAACCTCAGTAGTCTGATTCACGGCTTCATAAGTGAGTGTACCAGAACGTGAAACAACACCAACTTTGCCACGCTTGTGAATATGACCAGGCATGATGCCAATCTTGCACTGTAAAAAAAAAGATTAAAATATTTTTATTCTTTTACATAACTTTTGCATTAATAAATATAATTTAGTTCATATAACATTTAGTTATTTGATTATTTGTTGTATTAATCTTGTATGTCACACCTATGTATGTATGACTTTATTTATGTACATACATACATGTACTTTGTACTTTTCCTACACAGCTTATAATTGATTTTTAATGATTATGTGTATATTTTCGTACATATGTATGTATATGCGAAGACAAGCGACCTTATCAGGCAAGTTGCTGCATGATCACGTAAACATACATACATAATATAATTACTTTTGAATATAAAACGATTTTTATATGTCGGAATATACTTACTCTTTCTGGGGCAATGATTCCAGGACAATTTGGTCCTACAAGACGTGACTTGTTTTGCCTTAAGAGAGCATGCTTTACGCGCACCATATCATGCTGGGGCACTCCTTCGGTAATACATACTATCAATGGGATTTCAGCTTCCAGAGCTTCCAAGATAGCGGCAGCTGCTCCTGGTGGTGGCACATAGATAACAGTAGCGTGAGGATCAGTGGCTTTTTTCGCTTCGGCGACCTAAAAAATTTAATCATTTAATACTTTCAATCTGATTGTAAATATCTCATGTAAATAAACTACCGAAGCAAACACCGGTAGGCCAAGATGTGTAGAGCCGCCCTTTTTGGGCGAAATTCCACCAACGAGTTTAGTGCCGTACTCCAAAGCTTGCTGACTGTGGAAGGTACCCTGTTTACCGGTAAATCCCTGGCATATAACACGCGAATCAGCTGTTAATTGCAAGTTACCGCGAGTTTTGGCATATTCGGAACTGAAGCGTACACCTGCTGAGAAGGTGTCTATTGGGAGCAAAAATAATATTAAAAAAATTGTAATATGTAGAAAGGGGCACACATATATAAATATTTATACGAATGTTTGGGGCATCGATATTTTGATATTTTGCGATAAAAACACACCTTTAAGGGTATAAAAAATGCAAAAATTTGTTGGCACCAAAAACTTATAAATGACTAATGAACTATGGCCCATATAAATCTGATCTTAATTAAAATCTTTTTTTACACAAAAACTTTTCCGTTCTCTTACATATTGCACACATATATCTCTCTATATATATAGTAGTTATCTGAAAGAGTAATCAATTAGGTCCGTGATTATATATGTTAAATCTCCTCATATTTATAGCTGTTTAATATGAAAATATTTATTCAGTACGTTAACTTTGTGATTATTCAATTATTATCACACGATTTTTTCAGTTAGAGAAATAGTAGCGGTCCACACAATTTATTACATACGTTATATAATTTTCACTATGCTGTCATCAGTCCAGCTGGTATACTTGCCTCGCAATTTTAATAGTGTTCTCGCCGAAGCCGCCATTAGTACTTTGATTGTTTATTGCGGTGGTCCACCTTTTCAAATTAATAGAAAAGTAAAAATTAATCAGATAGCAGCAGATAGATCTAATTAATTTTTTCTTTCGTTCGGTCGTGTATGATAGCAGTGCCGACTTACGATAGTGAAGTTATTGCACACACAGGGGTGTTATTTTTTTAGCCTGAGGGAATATTTTTACCCTCAAACTAGACATCTTTTCGCATTTGTTTAGTGCCACATAATGAATATTAAAAATACAAAATTAACGAATTAATTAAGAAACAAATTGATTGTATAAATATAATAGACCTTTAAAAAATTTAATGCTACAACAGTGCATTGATATTATTATGTTGAAAAGCGGGGAGAGTGTAAGCAACACTTATCTTTACTTAATTAGATGATGCCATATGTTAAAAAGGATAAATAATTTATGTTCATACGGCAGTAGTCAACAGCTGTATTTTCGGTTTGCTCATAAAATGGCATGATTGCCAATTCTAATATATTTGAATGTATAATGTCTTAAACCAAATAACATTATTTGAATAGATTTGCGTAGCCATTAATATATAAATTGTTGCTTTTTAATTTCAAAGATATGAGCCCAGATATATTAGTGTATCTATTAATTCGTGCGATTTTATGAAAGAGGGCTCTGCTAGTATTATTTCGTGGCGTTACTGTTACTGTCATTTCAAGTCGTCGTTTTCAGGTGAAGTGTTTTTGCGGAGAGTTCATTGCTTTAACATGAAGATAAGTGCTAGCAAAGCCATCGTATTTTACTGGACGTTTAAGGTGACCATGCTTTAGCCAAACGAACGTGCCAAAAGTGGTTTGCACGGCTTTAAAGTGACAATTTCGACTTAGACGACGGAGAATGACCCGGACAGCCAAAAAAATTTCAAGACGAAATTGGAGACACTGCAAAACTTGGGGACCTCGTTTGAAAAAGGCCATCCCGGAAAAACGACCGGACACGAATTAATAATTTTTCATCATGACAACGCTCGGCCACATGTTGCAAGGCCAGTTAAAAACTATTTGGAAAACTGTGAGTGGGAAGGTCTACCTCACCCGCCTTATAGCCCAGACATAGCACCTTCCATTTACCACTTGTTCAGATCAATGCAGAATGCCCTCACCGGAGTACGCTTCACTTCAGAACAGGCTATCAGAAATTGGCTCGATTCTTTCTTGACCTCCAAGCCGGAGAAGTTCTTTTAGGATGGAATCCACAAACTGCCAGAAATATGGGCAAGCATCGTAGCTTCCGATAGTAATACTTTGAACATGAAACAATTTTTTCACAATAAAGTCTTAATTTTCGAAAAAATTTCGTGCATTTTTAATAAAATCTTTATTTAAAATTTGTATAACTCTTAAAAACTTAATTACATTTTAATATTTGCATAGCCTAGATCTCCAGTTTTATGAAAATATAATTTTTGCTTTAAACTACATAATTCTATGTATATTATTCAGGCTCTTAAGCCAAACGCTTGGACATGCAAAAATGTTCATTAATGTTGTACCGGTGGTTTGGACTTATGAGCTGATATTTTTTAATGACAAAATATTATGTAAAGTCTGTATTTTTTAAAAACGAATTAAATAGTATAATCATATACGAAATAAATAAACACAAAATAATTATTACCAAAATTTGTTTGTATGTAAATTCACATCTATATGAGCAAAACTACCTTCACACTACTTAGCTGTTACGTGTTTCTTTTAGAAACAAAAATAATATCATTCTTTGATTTTGTTTTCATATTGCATCATCAAGATACCAAAAACATAAAAGCTAAAAAGAGTTTTTTTCTTTACATTTAATAGTACCGACTTATTTACGTTTGGCTAAGAAATGTTGACGTTTTACTGTTTTATTTTTCAATTGAAGATATTGTGATTGTTCTCTTCTTCGTTGTTATTAATTGGAATATCCTCTTTTACCACTGATCTATGTGAAAGGTTGTCTGTGGATTTTTTGTATTCATCTCTATTAAAGGTATTTTCTTCTCCTGCGCGAAGTCGTTGATACACCAAAATATTTTTACCTACACGATTGCGTACTTGCTTAAGTAAAGTCTCAACGTTTACGTCCTTCTCTTTCAATATTCTTGACCATTCATCTAATAATTGTTGAGGCGCAACATTTTCGTTTACTTCAGCGTTGAAAATGCGATGCAAAATTTTATAGTTAACCAGAAATTCATTTATAACTGGTGCTAATGGTTCATAAAGCACAATATGCGAAGGCATTGCTGTACGCGGATATGAGGGTATATGAGAACGTAACCAATTAACAGGCGCCTGATAAAATTGTTCGGCTTCATCGCTGTAATTTGGTGTATTCTTCAAATTAGGCTCACATGTTAGGAATCGCATTGTAACATTTTCATGGACGTGACTATAAACCAATTTTATAATGTTAATATAAACTTAATTTCCCGATATTATTATTTAACATACCTATAGTACGGTGTTGAATGGCAAGGCATTAAGAAGAGTATACTAGCCCGATGTTCATTTTCATCCCTGTAATCACGAGCAATTCGTTGAACATTAGTCATTACTTCCAGTGGGCCCTTCTGATGTACAGTACTTAAATACCATGCTGGCAGTGCATTACCAAACACTATAACTATCGCGCAAAACCAAAGTATAGTTCTATAAAAATGTAAAAATAAATATGTGAGTAGATTTCGTTTGTTACTTATTCAAAGTCAAATACCTGGAAGCATTATAACTCCATCGCGTAAGCGTATCGGCTGTGATGTAAAGGCAAAGTGGCAACAAAGATGACACAAATCTAAATTCCTTGTGTTCAATCGTGCTTAATACGACTAACGATAGCAAAATTATGATAAGTAATTGTTTTCGTACCGGATAATTTTGCTTAGAGCGTACAGTTTCCATAACACCAAATATAAATGGTAATGTATTGATACCCAATACAGTTGGTAAGCCCACAGTGAAATACCAATACCTTAAATAATAAATAATAATTAGAATAAGTATAACAATCTATAATATTAAAACAACTAAACTATTATTTACCATGGATGGGAACCGTAGAAACTGCCAATATTGTGTAGTACATTGTACTTGAAGAATTCATATGGCGTAATAATCAACCTACCATGCCAATAGGTATCAATAGCCACACAAAGTCCGCCTACTAAGAGCCTATTATAGAAATAATTGATTTATATTATTGCTGTGTTAATTTTTTTTCTCTACTTACCCTATTACCGCGAAATGTTTAAAGATCAGTTCAGTTGCTGATAAATGGCTTTTACGTAAATGATAAATGCACAATGGTATCCATATAACGGCGGCCGTTGGTCTTAGGAAACAACAAATTGCTGCAAACCATAAATAAGTTGTGCTCTCCCCACTCCAAGGGAAGTAACTCAAAGCGATAGTTGTTAATGACGCTTCCAAGGTATTGGATAATGTTCTTGAGCCGGTATAGAACCAAAACCATGGTACAAGTATTAAAAAGAGTGCCCATTTCTTTTTTCCGGACCAAATATAGAATCTATAATCTGAGTACGCGGAAAAAAGTGCTTGTAGAATGCGTGGTGTAATCACCTATAGAATAATTCGAAATTGCAATATATATAAATCTTTTTTGAATACACATACATATATTAATATATGTCATAATTAATTGAACTGAACTTACCAACAAGTGTGCGGAATCTAAGTTCAGCAGGGCTAATAGTTTGTAAATTCCAGCAATTAATAATGGATAGAGGTAACTGCGGATTCCTTGAACCCATTCCCACGTTAAGTATCCATAGCTGTTCAAATCGAGCACATGTTGATATAAAAGTTTTATTTAAATTGCAAAATTATTTAAACACAAAAGTGACTCACCCAAAGGTCAATTTATGAGCAACTTCCAAACTTTGCCAATATTCATCCGGCACGTAGTATGTTTGTACTATAAACACCGAAGCAAGTCGTACTATCAATATTAGAGAGAACACCAACAACAAATTCATATTGGCTCTAAAATACACAAAAATTAATGATTTTAAAGATTTTTTTCACAAATTTTGTAAATTAAAGTAAGTAATTTACACTGTAAAAGTGAAGCAGTTTACGTAAGAAATATAAAATTATCACTTTTTTGATAAAATGTGGATATAAAACGGATGAACAGTAAGTATTTTATATTTGAAGCTTAGAATGACAAATTGAAAATATTATTAAACTAAATAATAGTAACACATTTTCACTGCTTTTAACACAGGCATAAAAACAAATGATCATAAATATATTTGCGGTGATTCTCAGTGGGAGATCTCTTTACAGAAACAAATTTTTTAAATAGTAATTGTAGTTTGTCACATATGTTGACTAATAAAAATTGACGAATATTCAAAATTAAAAATGTTTACACTTAGTTTTTATTAAATCCAATATTTTTACCTTCGTTACCGCCAAATAACATAACCTAAAAAGTTTGCGAGCACGTCAACTAGTAGTAACATTTACCTGTCTTGAATTTTCTTTAAGTTGAAACAGGTTCTGTTGACTGTTGACACTTTTCTCCTCGTATTTTTGGCACACTTTAGTTTTTCATGTATTAAAAAGATATGGTCAAGAAGACCTTACTGCTTTTCTACGCGTAAACCTGTTAAAATATTTTTATTTTGCTCAGTTGTTTCGCCGATCAACAGAACTGACAGAATGCCTAAAAATAACACAACAAAAATTGTCACGGACTTGGCACCAAAATAAAACGGCTGGAAATGGTTGCTAAGCACGCGGTGACGTCACATATAAAATCATTTACATGTGTGTAGACTAAAAAAAAAATTGCATGTGAACACATGCGCAGGCTATGCGATATATCAATACAAATTTATTGCATACTCACAATTTTTCAGAGAAACTGAATACTATCTATAAGAAAATGATCAAAGTTCGTCTTCCTTAAAAACATTTCAATCATTTGAAATAGAAAATTACAGTATGCCCAAAACACCTAAATATTGCTTCATTTGGCAACGCTAATTTTGATCTGAACCAAGTGCTGCCCAGTAAACTAAATAGACCGATAACAAATTGACGCTGAAATTAATTGATTTAATTTAAAAGGACTTAACTGAAAGCATTTAAAGGGAAGGATAGCTACAATAAAATTTGAGTTATTATTTTTAGTATTTTGTAACAGAAGTGGAAACCAGTAGAAACTGAAACGGAATTAAGGAAGTTGGCAACAGATTGTTAAGCTTCCGGTTTTTTTTTAATAGTACAGCCTCAAAATGTTTTGTAATCTTTTAAAAATTAGCATGGACAGGAAGTGAAACTTATTTTTTTTTTTAATATTTTATTTTATATTTATACAGAAATTAATTTATATATCTTTTGTGCATATATACATTTGTAGTTAACGCAAAGCGGCACGTAAATTTACTTGTTTTTTGTGACGATTCAGATATTCATAAACAAATGTGCGGAAAATTTTATTAAAATTTCGTATTGATGGCCAATGTAAATTTTCCGCATTATCGTTTGGTGTGTGCCATTGCGGCGGAAATGGTGTAGTTATAAGATGCAAAATCGGCACATCTGTTTAAAATAAAAAGGAAATACAAAAACAAAAAACGTAAATAAACCACAATGAATAAATATATAGTAGTACGTAAAAGAAGATGACGCACTTCGTTGTAAAAATGGTCTGTGGTCGTCATCGACGAACCCTGTAGATGGACGCCGCATAAACATTAAACTTTTTCCTTCAAGCTGACGCGTCGCTGATAGAGACAATTCAATTTCAGACAAACTATGGTGTAAGCCATGAGTATTCGGGAAAAAACTGTAGAATTTGGGATTGGCAGCGCCAATTAAATCGAGCAGCACTAAAACTTCCTGAAAAAAAAGTTTAAAAATAATTAAACAAAAAAAATTTATTATAAATATAATAAAAAATACAACTAGTCGATTTAGTTCTTTTAATTCCACTTACAATTCGGTCAATGCTACTGCCCGAACCAGTTGAAGAGCGAGTATTGGATAATTTGGTTGCCAAGTGACGTGAGCCATATATTGAATCGGTGTCTGACCAGTCCTTGAAAGCTTCTTCACCATCGAAAAATATCAACTAAAATAAATAGTCACGAACACAAATACAGATATGAGTATTTTATATACAAAGTTGTATCTCCATAAAATGGTGTGTATACACTACCATTAAACCAATATCTGTGCGGTCCTTGAAATTTCCATGCAAATATGAGGATAAAGTCTTAGCGGTATTTAACATAATTGCACATGGCACGGCGGAATCTATAGCGGCCACGAAACCAGGATCATCTTGAAAGTACTTGCTATCATAATGGCAAGCTAATGCCAGAAAGTCGCGTGCGCGGGGATTTAAAACACCAATAATGTTTGTGAAAGTCACATTGCCAAATATGGGAACTCGTTCAGAAAATTGATCAACTTCCGTGTTGAAGCCTAGTGTTTTCAGTTCACTTAAAAAAAAGAAAAACAAATGATAATAATAATAACAATACTAATTCATTGAAAAAAAATTAATTACTTAATTAGCTAACTGTATTTAAGAAATTTTTTAGGAAAACTTTGTTGAAAAATTGATGAAATTTTAAATATGTAAGTAATATTCATTCAAACCTCTTTATAAAATTTTCCACTTTTCTATGGCCCGCCGTACCCACCACTCTGGGACGCATAATACCGGCCAGCGTTCGATTGAAGTGTTCATTGTCATCTGGAAACTGCACAAAAAAAAATTGTTAATGTATTTTGAAACTATGTTATCAAACACTCTTATATACAAATATGATTATGATATTTATTCAAGTATATACATATATATTATGTAAGTATGCGTGTTTGTCTTTAACCGACTTGTGTGATATCCAAAGCGAAAACCGACAAGATCAACAATTGAACGCTTAGACCAAAAATAAACACAGTTCGCAGCATTTTATGGCCAACGCTGAATGCTTTGTTGTCTTGTAAAGAAAAAAAATATTTTTTACCACCGTTAAACTGTGTTACGTATGTTCGCGCTTGAGCTGATCCGATGAAAATTCAAGTGTGTACGACCGTATGGAAACACCAAATACAACTAAAAACAAGAATACTATCTATGTATGATTCAAGCGAAACGGAGCTTTAAAATCAATGCAAACTTGTAAACTCAAACAAATTAGCTTTTGGAGCGACACTGTGAGTGTATTCAAATTGAGTCTCTCATTTTTTGCAGTTCCGCAGAAAGTACCACATACACACTCAGTATGTACTTACATGAGGGTTATGGCAATGTATCTTCATATATTCAATACAAATGGAGCGATTTATAGCTTTAAGACGTTTTCAAATGCTTTAAGACGTCTTCAAATGGTTGTAGCTTGTGCGGGAGGGTCGTGTATTCGAATCTTGGTGAGATAGATGTATCTCAAAATGTCTTAATGGGTGAAGCCACTTTAGGATTTTGGAAAACGCAATTTTTTGTTTTGCTCACAGGGCACCTTTGGCTCATTGAAATGATATGCAATTGATTTTAAAGTGAAAAAAAATAGTTCAAATAGCTGAAGTTTTTATTTTGCTGCAGCTCCTCAGAGCGTGCACTGAGTACAATGAAAACTTTATCTCAAAAACAAATTTTTCAAACTGGAAGGACAGATTATTCGGACCCTATCGATTTATCTGAAATTTTGTTGGTAGCTTCACAAATACAATTTTTTTTGAGGAACGTAGTCATTTTTCGTATAATTGTAAAATTTTTTTTAATAATTTAGAGCGTATTTTTTAGTCAAAAATCTATTTTTTAGAAAAAGTTCACAAAAATTAGTTAAAAAATAAATCTGTACGTACTTCAAAAAGCCATAGTTGGTAGATCATAAAATTATTTGCTTTTCAACGCGACTGTATCGTTTGTTTTTCAAAAAAATTAAGGGATTTACAGTTTATTCTACGTCAGTTCCGAACGGTCTATGAATTCTTATGTGGTGCATTTATTTCATGTCAGAAATATAATACTTTCGGAGGACTTGATCGCAATGAGAAAAAATTATTTTCTATCATTTTGGATGTTGGTCAAACTGGGTCGCTAGCCCTAGTCTTCCGTTGTTTAAAAGCTCGTACAAACTCTGCGTCTTTTAAAGCATTATTTTCGTCAGTCGAGGGGGTTCTACTGTTCTACTGTACATTTGCTTACTGAGTCCACTGATTGGCAACTATGAACAGCGAACATACGTAACACAGTTTAACGGTGGTAAAAAATATTTTTTCTTTACAACAACAAAGCTTCCTGCATTGGCCATAAAATGCTGCGGACTGTGTTTATTTTTGACCTAAGAAGTGTTACAACATACAGGTTTTTATACCGGCACGACCCGAATTCTTGTCTTGTCTACCATTGCCTACATAGTAGCTTATAATTTAAACCCTGAATATGAAGCTAAGATTGAAGTTACACGCGATCCCAGTTCACCAACTCATGGATTATATATATTACGACTCTTCTTTTTCCATAACAGATTTCATGCATTCCGGAACCTCTCCCTCTCTTCGTCTAGCCCAGCGTGGCTTTATACTGTGACCCAACCCTCACCTGACATATAGAACATCGTTTTGTTTCCTTCCTCCCTTTGGCCGTCTACTACGAATTTATTAAATATTATTATTTAATTAATAATTATTATTATATTTATATTGTGACTAATTAATCATAAATAAAGTAAATTTTGTTTACTTAAATTAAATAATTGTTTTATCTGAATGAAACTTCGTAGTTTAACTCCTACTTCTACGCTCCCCTGCTATCACGAGTTAATCTGCTGCCTACATCATAGCAATTAAACTATTCCCTTTCTCTCTCGGCCGAGCCAAATAGTTTATGGACGCTTTCTAAATGCAGAAAATTTCTTTGATACAGAAAAATAATTATCAGGCGGTCAATTTAGTCTAGAAGCGTCGAAAGTTAGGTTAGATTGAAGAAGTTAACAATGTATAAGTATCAATACAGTTTGATGTCACACTTTTTACCCGATCACCAAGCTTCACTATCCATCGTCGGGGCAGCTACAAAGGAGGTGAGATACCGTTTCTTGTTCCTCAAAAATTCTTTCAGCTTCTACAGCATCTCCTTCATCCTATCAAACAGGGACCTGTTAAAACTGCTACAACATTAAAGATGTCCTCTCTTTCGAGCGAATGTATTTTGTTATATCAGGTCAAGTAAAAAATAATCCATTTTTGCATTAAATTTAAGAATTTATATACCATTATTATCGATTTATATCAAATGTGTACCGTTTTGCTCGATAACTTTTTGCCATTTTGAACATAATATCACTATGTCTCTCTCATAGCACACATCCCTATTGGCAAAAATTGAGACCAACAATTTTCACATGGCGCTCTTGAGGCCGAAACAAAAATAATACCTTCCTGGCTTTCAATACTGGCTTGGAGGCTTACTGCCCTCTGACCACCACATTTTTCATTTAACGTTGCTGGAAGTAATGAGCTTTTCATTACTATTCACCATCCCCTTCAGAGGTGGAAATTCAACTATAGAAATTCGGTCCATTAGGTTTTTTCTAATTAACTCATATGCAACACTTTCAGCTTCTTTGTGTATCCAGTTTTTTTTTTTTTTGATTTCAAACTGATTCCTGGGTAATCGAAAAAGTGCTCGCGGGGTGGCCAGACTCGACGATTTCCATTATTTTATCAACTTTTTCGGCTACTGACCTTCCACACCTCGAAACATCGTTACAAAAACTGTGGAAATATACAGAATATTTACTCTTTACCGAGTTAAGTGATCAAAACTTCTCTTAATAGCTTTTCTAGTACAAAATGTCGTCCTTTTAACACTATCAAGCGTATTCCAATTTCACTTATAGAACGCGAAATACAGTTCACTAAATCCATTTACGGGAAAAATAATGAATGACTTGTTACTTTACCTAATATTTCGCTTGACCTTTTCCGATTCCATTTTGACCAAGTTTGTGTAGAAATTCGGCAAGTAGCAGTCTGGTTCTATCTCAATTCGTCCTGCTCATATATAAGAAAAGTATATGTGTGTCAGTGTGCATGTACCGGCCGAAATAGTGGTTAGCATTGTGCCACTGCCATTCTAAAGGCTAGAGTTCGAGTCCTGGTTCAACCAACATCCAAAATTATAGAATCTAATGACAGCCTTCTCTCGTCGACAGGGAATGTTTAGCACTTCGAGTGTATTTGTGACATGAGATAAAAGCTCCTCATCCAACTGCCGCTCGATAGCGGCTTAGAATAAGCTGTGGGTCCCTCTATTTGTTGGTAACACATTAAGACGCCAACTACAACTTGAAGGAGGAGTTTGGCCGAAAATCGCTTCAGCGGTTACAAAGCGCCAATTATATAAATATTAAAAGCATACCAATGCGTTCTTTGTTGAGAAGAATTCTGCTATGTCGTGTATAGGTTGGCAAGTTCGTCTACCTTATAATTTCCTTCTATGTTGCTTTAATCAAATGGTAATCCTTACAGTTTGGCGATCTTTAGAAATTTGCGTTATACTCGTTTAAATGTTGCCAGCAAAAGTTGAGCAGCAGCGGCCTATGGTACTTGGTATGGCATATTATCTTTCTAAGATTGCCGTGTGTTCAAATCGTCGAAAGTTTTGCAAAAACAAAAACACAATTTTAAGAGAACCTTTAAAACTAACGAAAATTGATGTACCACCCTAGTGATTACAACCAATCATACATATATCCATATATTTAGAGAGATAAATAAGTGATTTGAATGTTGTACCACCGACAGTTACAATATGCAACAAACAAAGACTTGCCGTTTCCAAAAATGTTCCTCTTAACATTTGAAAACTCTTACTTTTATCGTGGAATTTCGTATAAATATGTTTATTTTGTGATAAATACTTTTAGGTTTCAGTTTATAAGAATTCAAAGCATTTTTTCTGTTGTACATAAATTCTTAACAAACAACAACAACAACAATCGATTGTTGGTTTTTTACTTCCTTATACAGAGGTGTTCTCTCAAGCAGTTATGAACATACATACAAACATTCTTATATATGAAGGTTTGTTAGGTATGCTAGACCAGTATATAACATATGTACATATGTATATACTATGTATCTGTATTATTTGTTGAACAATTACGTGTATTGAATTGTATTCAATTGCGCTGCTCTTTAGATTTCAATTCAACTAAGTTTTTAGTTGACTCATGTCCATATTATTGGGTTGCCCTAAAAGAAACTGGCGATTTTTTAAGAGGAAGTAAATACATTTTTTTTTTTTAATTTAATAATGAGCTTTCATCAATTTTGAAATTTCCATTTCGCCATCTCTCCGGCTGATTGATCTTTTGGTCTTTATTTGCAAAAAACTGAACCAAGTACGATTTGATAACCACGCCATTTTTGTAAATTTTACCATTGAATGAGTTCTGCAAAGATTGAATCAATTGGTTGTCTGACAGTGCAAAGTCAGGGCTATATATCATGGGTGCATCAAAAGTTCCCAGCCAAGCTATCTCAGTTTTTGGCGAGTGACCAAAGATGTGTGGGGTTTAGCATTGTCCTGGTGGAATATGACAACTTTACGTTTGACCAATTGTGGACGCTTCTCGTTGATGAATGTATTCAATTTGTACAGTTGTTTACAGTAGACATCTTAATTGATCATTTTGTTCCTTGGAAGCAGCTCAAAATATAACAGACCCACCACCAAACTGACAGCATAATCTTCTTTTGGTGAATATCAGTCTTTGAAATAGTTTGTGGCGCTTCATCATGCTTGGACCATCGTTTCCGAATGACGTTATTGTAAACAACTTATTTTTCATTTTCAGTTATGATTTGCTGCAAAAATGAATCATATTCATTGCACTTAAGATGCATATCACGCTCAGTTACATGACGAACCAATTCGATTAAAGTAGTGAATGGTCTTCATTAACTTCACTCAGCCGGAGTAGAGGTAGATAACATTCTGGATATCGTAAGCGGTAAGTTTTCGATGCAGTACCTACAGCAAGTGGAAGCGATGAAAGAGGTAGAACTTCACTCCTTGCAAGGATCAGTTTGAGAAGGGCCACGCGGTAGTTAGTGCCTGCAATTGGCGCGAGCGGCTAAGAAAAGAACGAATGGTGCGCTAGTGTTCACACCAAGAAAGAAAAATAAACGGTTGTGTCTGGCACTTGGAACAATAAATAACTGGACTAATTTGGTGGTATATTAATGATAAAATATATGGAAGAGCAAGCTAAGTGGTTCTATAAGAATACGTATTATAGAAAACACTTGGATCCAACCTTTCCAAGTGTTTTCTATAATACGTATTTTTATAGAACCACTTAGCTTGCTCTTCCATATATTTTATGGATATTCAGAAAGGACGTTTAAGTCCCAGAATCAATCGCTGGATTTTCATTTTTCTTGTAAAACCAATACTTGTATACGGTATACCAGAAAGGTCATCGGTGCCGACTCTTCACTTAAGGGAATAGAAACAGTAGAGTTGATAACCTTAAGAGCACTCAAGAATCCTAAATAATTATAGTTATATTGTATCTCCCTTCCAAGCAGCACAGCACGAAGCGAATGGGCAAACAAATATGAAACTAAAGCTTGTTATATTGCGGCGGACACGGATAGCTAAAAACTTGATGGTAGATTAGGAGAAGGTGATTTATCACACAGCCCTTCATTGTAACTCTCGTTCAAGCTTGTCAACACATTGCATACCCAGAAAGAGAAATCTTTTTCTTCAGCGGTAGTAAAGCAGCAATAAAAGCTCAAGCGATCACAACAAACTCAGCAGTTTATCCCTCGTTTGGGTTCCTAGTGACAGATACATAAAGTAGATCGAAAAGGCTGACGATCATTCTAGGTAAGGTATGACCAAGCAGATTTTTTTTTGGCTAAAGAACGCCTCCAGCCAATATGTAAACTGATATTAAAGGAATATATTCAAATACAGACCGCGTTCAGGTGGTAAACAAAAACCTAAATCCGACTCAACTACAATAGAAGCAAACTAGACCGAAAACGAGCGCAGAAGGGTGAATGGGCTTATACGATGTGGAAAAGGAGGACATTTCAAAGGTAAGAGGATCTTTTTATAAGATACTATAGAAGCTGTATGAAAGATGAAGAGGAAGAGACGCCGCTCCACATGTTATGCGATTCCCCTGCTCTTAAAGGAATAATACTTCAGGCATTAGTGGCCCGAAATATATGCATGTAAAAGGATGTTGGGCTGCACTTAGGACTTCTCCCCGCTATCTGCCAATGTACATATATTCTTTGCGACTGTCAAGCCAATAATTTTCTTTGGAGCTTTAATATGGTGAAAGGGTCTTCAGACTTTCAGTACCCAGTTCTACCAGCTGATCTTGGATTTAAAACATAACATTCCTACTTTCGGAAAGCTGTTGTCAGCTGCAAGAGAGGCGACATATTTTACAGATGTTTCTAAAATAAAAGAAGAAGGGAGGAACCCCCAGTTTGTTGCGCCAAGTTAAAGAAAAGGAAGTTAATTAAGCTGCAAACCGTTGCAATATCTTCCAAACCGAAATATTTGCTAAAAGACTGACGACAGAGCAATTGCAGGGTGTTACTTTTCCAAGGAAAAGGTATAAAAATATTATCTGGAAAAAAAGAGTTTACATTTACTGGGTCACGCGAGCATTGAAGAGATTGAGATAGGTGACGGACCAGCTAAGGAGGGTGTTCTTTTCCATTCACATAGGTAGCGCAAATACAAGAACTAATCTTAGTTCGTCAGGCGTATAGACACTGACAAGGAACCAAGGGCTGCTGACTTACGAAAACTATGTGCAAAATTGATGATGCTAAAATTACCAAGTTTCTACAAGCGCTAAAGATGCCGTATTTAATTGAAGTATGACTGAAGACAACAAGTGCAGAAAATGTGGTGTATGTGTGGAGATAGTGGAGCACGTAAACTGTAAGTGTTGTCCAGCATTTGGCAGACTTGGCGTAGAAAGGCTATAGGACCTTTAACAGACAATTGCCTAAGAGCCGAAATAACTACTTCAATTTGCCAAAAAGACCGTCAATGTTCTTATCACTAGAGAAACCAAGAGTCTAGTAGTTCAGCTTGGTTGTATGATAGTGTGTATGGTAATGTTATGAACGTAATATCGCCTATGTGAGAGCTGATGGGTCAGCCAGTTCAACCTAACATAATCCCATCTAACAATGGGTTACCCAATGTTTTTACCCAACCACTTCTGACAAACCTAACTTAACCTTTTATAAAACAATTAAAAGTTAAAATTAACTAATATTTTGCTAAAAATTTTCTTTTTTCCAAATCTTTTGCAGATATATTGTATTTACCAGGAGTAGTAAACCCGTTATATTTCTTCTTTGACAACGGCAGTCACCCGAAAAGTAATTAATTAAATAAATGGTTAAAAAAATGGGGAAAAAATTAAATTATTTTCGACAAAAAGTTCATAGTATAAACACATACCTTTTATAAATAAATGTAAAAAAAATATTAAAAAAATTAAAATAATGTGAGAAAGCAGTTTCAGCTCATTGCGGGAGCTTTATATTAGGTGCAGTAAAAAGATATTTATCTGTATCTTGCGTTATACGAGGTGTGTTCAAAAAGTATCGCGAATTTTAAATTTTCGCGGGTTATGTATAATCGAATTTCGATTTTTTTGTGGCGTTATGTTGGTACTCAGGTTTGTCACTTATGCCGACAAGCTCGGCCATTTTGAATGATCACTTAATTGTTGACAGCTGCTTTGCTACCACGTGTTTTGGATGGTCTTCGATTTTTACCTATTCAAAAAAAAAAAAAAAAAAATGGATCAAAGAACCTGTATCAAATTTTGTGTGAAAAACGAAATTAAGTGCGTGGATGCATTCCGAATTTTGACTGTGGCATACGGAGAAGCTACCTTGGACCGAAGCAGTGTTTTTCGGTGGTACAAAATATTCTCAGAAGGCCGAGAAGATGTGAACGACGAAGAGCGTGCCGGACGCCCGAGCACTTCAACAACAGACGAAAAAATTAATGAAGTGGAGAAAATGGTATTGCCATAGGGTAGAACGGTCAATAGGAAATATAACCTGCAAATTATGTGCAATTTGCGCGAAATAATCCGCCAGAAACTCCCGGATTTGTGGAATAACAAAAATTGGCTTTTACACCACGATAACGCCCCTGCCAAAAACAACACACTAATGATGCCGCAGCCACCGTATTCCTCAGATTTGGCCCCCTGTGACTATTTCTTGTTCCCTAAACTGAAGAGGCCAATTGACGAGATAAAGACGGCATCGAAGGAGGAGCTGAACAAGATAAAAAATTTTATTTTTTGAAGTGCTTCGAAGATTGGAAAAACGTTGGCACAAGTGTCTAATATCTCATGTGGATTACTTTGAAGGGGACCAAATTTCTGACCGGTTTTGTGATTGGTTGATTCAGTTTGGTTTGAGCGTGCGTCCAATATGGACACTAGCTAAAAGAAATTACGCTATATTTTAAAGTATTTCTTCGATAACTGGTGAAAACACAAGCCGGTTGGCTGAAAATGTGAATAGCGTTCATGGACCTGATACTGTTACAGTCAATCGTACGCAATTTCGGTTTAATTCCGGTAATTTTGATGTAAACAATGCTTCACGGAGTGGAGATGCCGATAAAATCATGGACATTGTCGTGTGCGACAGTCACGTAAACACTTTTTCGATTGCCTAAGTGCTAAAGATTGCACAAAAACCCGTTTGGAACCATTTGATTAAGGCTGGGGACGAGAAGAAAAAATTAAACCATTAAATTTCATGCGAAAATAATGGATTTCTTTTTACTACACCTAATACAATGTTGAGTTTAATCAAATGCTTAAACAGAAAAAAAAATCGTTCACAATTTATTGTACAGATTAATGCAAAAATACTCTATTTAACTGAAGATTTTCAAAATAAATGCAATAAAAATTAATGAATTCCCCACAACTTTAATATTGTGCAGAACTCTGTAAAAAGGTTCGCCTATTTTTTACACAAAAACAAAAACACAGCAATAAATTATTTATTTTATTTTGACAACAATTGTCATATGTATATTGTTCTTTAGTTAGTGTTACAAATGTTTTTTTTTTAAAGTTATATAATCAGGTACTTTAAGGTTAAAGTAGCTGACCAAATAAAGAAAATCGTTCATATGTAATTATATACATACAAATGCAACTTCTTATGCCGCGACAGTGTATAAGCAGGCATTTGTATGTGCATAAAAAATATGTGATTAATTAAGCCACAGATAATAAATTTTACATAATTTTTTTTTTTTGTTTTTTCGAATATACAACTGTTTCATAAAATTAAATATTTCGTAAAATAAAATAAAATTGTGCTTAACTAAATATATATCAGCGAATACATATACAATATAACTACATACATATATAAAATATTTTGGATAAATTATATGACTGTCAAAGAATTGCATAAATTTGGTTTATGTTTACGAGTTTTCGACTATAAACTCGTGTGACTTGTTTAGTAATTAAGAAATAAATATGCATTTTCAGCTTTATTAAACATATTTAGTAAATATTGTATAAGCATGCATATTAATCACTTTGTCGTTGTATTAAAAATAAAATTTAGTTTTAAAAATAAAAAATTTGAATTTGTTTCAAATTTGTATACTTCTCACAATAGGCATAATTATTAAATTAGATTCGAAAAATGGCCTTGCTATGATAATTTAAATTAATTGGCCATGCTCAACGGTTTTCATTTAAATGTAATCACAATATTATATATTTGATGTAGAAGTGCCGGCGTGTGTATGTATACATATTAGAATTAAGTATATACACTTTTTGCTAAAAAAAAACATTTTTTAAGTCAAATAAAATTAGAAAAATGAAACAAGTGCAAAAACAATTTTTAACATACAAATATACAGATGTATATACATACAAACAATCCCACAAATTGCAGTGCGTAATTTTTTTCTTCTTTTTACATTTTGTTGTTTTTGTAATTTTCATTATTTATACAAAACCGCATTTTAACTTGCATATTTATTTTATTTTCAACATAATTTTACTAAACAAACATACATACATAAAGTTGCCGGCTCTGACTCTGAAACCAGCGTTGTTAGCAAATAATTTTTTAGAATTTTTTTTTTGAAATGTGCTGAGTACACGTTTTGAGTAGTAAACATTTAAAGGTCGAATTTTCTCATATACACGTATGTATGTACATACATACATGCCGGGTGTGAGATATTTTTAATTCTTCGCATTTCAATATAATTTTACAATTAACAATCTCGACAAAATATTTTCTGTGCTTTGCATTGTAAATGTTTTTTTTTTCTCTTTTTTTAATTTCAAAATTGGCTTGATTTTAAGTATCTGATTTCGTTTTACAAAGTATGACATTTGTAGGTTTTCTTTTCGAAAAGTACTTGCGAAAACCTCAAATATACTCTAGAAAACGTCGTATGTCGAACGCTAAGGAATAGTCAATTGCAAATAATCCGGTAAACAAATTATATGAAGAGGATTTCTAAATTGCATCTCAAAAATCATTAATTAGAAAATTTTTTGAAGTTTAGATATGTACATATGTATATTGCAATTAAGTACATATATTGCAATTATGTAGACAAAATGTTTTTGAAGCGTGTTTCAACAGTTTTAACATAAATTTCTTTATTTTAAAGTATAATTTACTGTTCAATCACTCATTTTTTGTACTTTAATAGTATGTAAACGCCTGCATACATATGTACATACATAACGACATACTTGTATTAGATAAATTTGACATTAATTTTGACTTTGAACGTCCAGTTATCCCTTCACAAGCCTGACCTTAATACACATACACACATACATATGTATTGATTATTACATTCCATAAACTAATTATGTAGTTTTCCTCACAAAAAAAAAATCAGCATAAATTAGCCATAAATCGGCTTTACAAATACTAAGTAGATTCAATTATTTATATATATATATATTAAGACCAGAAAGTTTCCGCATATCTTCTTTTCGATATTCGAGGTTTGGTTCATCATGATTTCGTTCCAACGGGACAGACGGTGAATTAAGAGTGTTATTTGAGCGTTTGAGGCGTTTGCGAGAAAACCACCGTCGTAAACAGTTAACATTTCATGTATTTTTCATGACAACGAGCTGTATTTGCGAACGATTTTAAGACAAAAAACTGGTTCAGTACGAACGATCAACCACCGTATTCACCGGATTTGGTTCCAAGCGACTTTTTTTGTTTACAAAACACAAGTTACTACCCCTTGGAACCCATCTCGACTCGATTGAGGCGGTAAAAGGAAATTCGGAGAGGGAACTGTAGGCGATCTCAGCAAGCGCCTACAAGGCTTGTCTTGATGATTGGAAAAAAAAGTTGACATAAGTATGTGTATCGCTTCAGAAGGAGCATATTTTGAATGCAATATAAAAAATATTGGAGGAAATTTTAAAAATTTTTCGTTTTATTGATGCTTTCCGGAAATTGTCTGGTCTTAAGTATATAAATTTAGCAGTGTCTAGAGCTTGAAAATTATAAAAATAAAAATAAAATTATTTATCTTTCTATTCAAGAAACAAAATTGATTTTTTTAATTGCCGCATTAAATTTAATTTAAAGTTATATATGTATATATATGTATGTATGCATATACAAACAGTTTGTGGTTGCTCTTTTATGAAACGCCTTATGAAATGATAAGTATTTTCAAATTTTAATTTGTTTACCAATCAGAAAGCTTTATAGCTGCAGTTAGTTAAAAATTATTAATACAAATTAAAAAAATAATTTAACTGAAAATTATAAAGTTTACCAAAAAATATTTTCCATTAAATTCATTGCCTATAACTTTCATTTAAGAATTATACTCACGATTTATGCGCTGAGTGTTAATAGTATGTTAGAAAGCTAACGGCAATATTTGTAATCTATAAAGTTATACTGTTATACATATGTACATAAGATGCATTTGTATATCAAAGCGAAACTATAAGTGTATAGAGAGGCAGATAAAACTGTTTCATACTTTGTTTCACTAACGTAAATAAAATGTGGATGCGAATATGTATAATACGTACGTATGTATGCATTTGAATATACATAATAGCAAATTTCAAAATGTGTATATATCGTTAGCTTAATATTGAACGGTGCTGTCTAACGGATTTCAAGAGCTTCTATAATTATTTGCAAACACTTCGAGGAGTTCCGGAAGCTCTCTGCTATATGTCATTCATAAATCAAAAGTCAATTTTACTTTAGAGACGTAAGTAGAAAAAACTAAAATTTAGAACTTAAATTTTCATTAAAGTGACAAAATAATTAACTGTTAAAAAGACAAGTTTTAAATTAAAAAAAAATTTTACTTTACAAACGATGGATAACACAATTAATATATAGAGCCTTCTCTTGCTATATCAAGAAAAAAACAATACATATGTATGATTATGTAGTACATAATTATATTAACTATATAAATTTAGAATCTTTTTATAAACCGATTCGTCGACTTTACGACGTTTTAATTTTCGCAATTAATTACACAAATGGCACAAAGGTTTTTTCTTCTTTGCTTTACAAATCGCCGGTGTTACAGGACCGAAATTTTCTAAGAAAAAAAAAAAACAATTTTTACTTTTAGTGTAGTCGCTTTTAAGCGGAAATAATTAACAAAATAATCTGCTTAGAGTTAAATATTCATAAGCTTACGTATGTTTGTTTATTTGCTTTTTATGTTTTAGTTTCATTTTATTTATTTATTTTTTGTTTTAGCCTAATTTTATTTGTGTTTTTTTTCTATTAAAACAGCTTACATTCCAAAAGTGAGTTGTTCATTTTTTTAAGACAAAATATGTGAAAAATATAACTTTTTCTTTGTACCAATGCTTAGTGCATAAAACAACAATGTGTATGCCTTGTATTAAGCTCACACTAAATACATACATGCATACATATACAAAAGTTTCACAAAAAAAAAAAAAAAAATCTTTCCTCATTGCCATTGCACCTTGGTACCTTAGGCATTTACAAAACGTTCGCCAACATGCCATGCCACAGGTTAACAATTGAAAATGGACTTTCTTGCACAGCAACAAGTCTTAAAATGACAAAGCTCAGCTTGCACGCTGTTACAATTGTGTGGCTCTCAAGTACAATACATAACCTCAAAAATCTTTCTGCAATTTTATTTTTCGTTTTTATTTTGTTTTATTTCATTTTTTTCGCATACAAATATTTATATCTTATACTCCATACTCCATGCAAATTCAATTTGCACTTTTGCGGAGTTTAAGTATGTGATTTATTTTGTTTTTTAGTTAATTTTTTTTTTTTGACTTAAAGGCGGGACTTATAAGGCAAAAAACCCTTGACCCAAAATCAATGGTGACCTTAGCCCACCTTACAACAAACAACAATCTTTTTATCTCCGGCAAATGCTGCCGGTTCAACAATAAATAGTTTTCAAAAAAACATAGCTCCAGCAGTAATTTAACGCTTTCAAATGGTTTCAGTTTTGGAATATAGTCGCGTGCTATTACCGCCATTGCCACTATTTCCACTTCTGCCCGTGGTACCTGAGTATGATTTACTATTGCCATCGTTGCCGGACGAAGTACTTGCCGCTTCATTGTTTTGTCGCTCGTGATATTCTTGAAAACATGGTACAATGCATAAATTCGTTTGACACTCGGGGCAGTGGTATTTGGTTTTGCGCCGCAAAATTCTACCATGCCCATCGATGGTGTTCCAACAAAAATTGCAGCCCAGTGCCGGCCCGGGCCGTATAACAGGACAATGACTAGAACGAGGATTCTCCAAAGTGATGATCTCCCGAGAGGTCTGGAAGTAAAGAAAATTTTAGTATAAGTAAATGATAGCAAAAAAAAAAAATAGTAATAAGAAAACTTTTCCAAAGCTTTTTAGGCATTTCAGGGGGTGGATACAGGATTTTCATTTTCAACAGTTGTTTTGTTGCAGCGCATCACTCACCCTGATTAGACGCAGGTAGGGCTAGTCTTAGTCACCGAGGTCATCTAATGGGAGGTCTACGAAACGAGCTGTTTCGGCGAGTTCGAGTTAAGAAGGGGTTAGATGAGTAGGGTCTAAGCGGCCAGCAAAGAGATGGTTAGTGTTCGGTGGGATCTCTTTGCGTGAACCGAACGTATTTTCTGAATGGGTAGGAATCCAGATCTTAATTTTACCAGTATTACTAGTGTCTCTAAGGTTTCTAATTGCGATGGTCCCTCGGCAGGGTATGTAAACCCCTCCTAGTGTACTGTTGACATGAAATAAAGCTCTTCATAAGAAAACCATCAGCCGTTCGGAGGCGGCTTAGTATAAACTGTAGGTCCCTCCAATTTTTGAAAAAAGACAAGACGCAAAACCACAAATTGGAGGGGGAGCTCGGCGGAAAATCGCTTCAGCGGTTACAAAGCGCCAATTATATTATACTAGGGTCTCTCGAGAATGTCCGAGGATACGATTAAGAGAACTGGAAGAGAGTTCATGACGGTTACTCGGAAATTAGCGTTTAAAACCCGTCTAAGGTACTAGATGGAGTCGGAATTTCCTGGAGCATTCTTGAATGGATCAAATATAAGCGTTCACTGCTTGAAATGTATATATGTATACGTATGTAATTAACGCTTTATAACCGCTGCAGTGATCTGTGACCGAGCTCTTCCTCCATTTTGTGATGTGCATCTTTTTTCCAAACAAAAGAAGCAATATACAGTTTTTTCTAAGCTGCCTTCTAACGGTTAATAGATTTTTATGAACTCGTCATTTTTTGTAGGAAAATTCTTTTCTAAAATTTAGAAAAATGCTGGTCTGACCAGGATTCGAACTTATGACTCTCCGCAGCGATATCATACAGACACACAACCAGGGCGGTTCGGTTTAGCGTCATAATGCTATATGTGATAAATAGATACGGTATAGCTTTAAAGAACTCACTTGTGGAGATGACACCGATCTCTGCAATTCCTCACTCTTGACACGCAACGAAGGTAAATGCTCAAATGAGCTGCTACCCGTTGCCGTCGTTCCAGGATGTAAACTGCTCATGCGCTCCGAAAGCGAAACGCTCGATGTTGATTTCGAGCTGCGTATCTTGGCCGCCGATGGCGGTGGCGTGTTCGACTCCGCCGAATGGACGCGTTCCAAAGGCGCCGAGCTAATGCTCGTTGTATTGTGTTGAGCGCCAATCATGGATGAAGTGGTAGCTGGTGAATTAGTGCGACCACTCGCATCGCTGTCATCAATATAAGTTGTAGTAAATTGTGGTATGCTCAGCATTTTCGAAGGACTCGCTGACGTAGCTGATGTGTTAACGTCCAGAGCTTCCTTTGTCGTACCCAAACCGCCACTAACACTATTTCCGCCACTAGCGGCAATTTGTTGTGGTACCACATATTGTGAAGAACCAACAGGCGGCGGTGAACCACCGGATGTGTACATCGATTCCGGTAATGATATGTGGTGTGAATGATGTAATGAAGCGCTGGTGATGTGACTAGTACCTGCGCTACTGCTGCCGCAACTAACGCCACTGGTGGTACATGAGAGCGGATGTGAATACTGACGATGTAGCGGTGCGAAAGGATTTGTGCCGCCACCACCGCCAACAATTAATGCGCCAGCGCCACTTAATGAATGTTGCGATGGTAGCAATGGATCCGAATGCTGTTTCATCAGAAAAGGTGTATTCTGCGGTACAGACAACAAATGGGGAGAAGATGGTGTTAATGTCGGAGCCGGTTCGGAGGAGTGACGTTCAATACGTGGCGGCACAGCCAGCAGATGATGATGGCCGTGATGTGCATGCAATTGAAGTGCATGTGCTGGGATGTAGTTCGAATGTGAACTACTGCCAGGTGAATTGCTAAATGGATCATAATCAACACACGATCCAGATGGTTCTGGTGAAGCTTGAGCATTTGATAGGCTGTCACTGTCACGTTTTACACGCGGCTGACGTGTTAATACACGATTACGTTTAGTGCCCATTTGTTGTTGTTGTGAATGTTGGTGTTGCAATTGCGCTGGAGGTTGCTGTTGCAGCTGCTGTGGAAGTAAGCTGGCAGGTGACGGTGACATAGCCATATTAACAGCACGTGGCGAGCACTCCGGCTGAGGGACAATGGCAGCGACATTAGCATTCGTCGCGATATCTGAAAGTAATTTTTAAAGATATTCATTAACATTAGTTAATAAACATTAAGTATAATGAGATTCATAATATATTTGAGGTTAGATGTTCTATTTTATGGCACACGCCAATAAAATACCGTCTATCTGAAGTAGACTGACATTTCAAAGAAAATTCGGATCCTGACTTGCCATTACCTTATAAGAGAGCCATGCAAAAAGGCTGCGTGTATAGATAATGCACTGCTCGATACTCGATTAGAATTTCTGTACCAAAACCTGGGAAACCAGCCCACAAAGGGAAGCCTGATAACCTCCTTTCCACCGTCAATAACGCAGTGCTACTATCGGACATCAGAGATTCCCAACTGCCCTTAGAGTTGAAGCAGTTGTCTGTGAATTCCGATGTCAAAACTCAGAACTAATCAAACTTATAGAAGATTTTTCGCAAGGTAGTATATATATATATGTAAGTAGTAGTAGTAGTGTTCCCTATATACATATAATATATATATAATTGGTGCTTTGTAACCGCTAGAGTGATTTTCCGCCGAGCTCCTCCTCCAATTTGTGGTTTTGCGTCTTGTGTTTTTTTCAAAAAATGGAAGGACCTACAAATTATACTAAGCCGCCTCCGAGCAGCTGATGGTTTTTTATGAGAAGCTTCTGATGTTCATGTCAGAAATACACTAGGAGGGGTTGACATTTCCTACCGAGGGGCGACCGCTATTAGAAAATTTAACTTAATTTTGTATTTATATTAATTTTCAATAACTTTTGGAATGTGCTGACACCGGAATACGAGCCCGGGACTTCCGAATGGCAGTACGCAATGTTAACCACTCGGCTACCGCGACTGCTTTAACTGTCAATAATCCAAAGTTAGTCAGCCTACATTCCATCACTCCCTGAACGACTCCCGATTGTTCCAGAGTAAAGAGCGGTAAGAGTATCCCAAAGTCAATTATAAAGAAGCGTTGATGGCAACGTACATCCTGACCCTGTCACACCTGCACAATGTAGATCACGAAGGGAGTGCTAGGCAATGAGGACTTTGCCCTAAGTGCTTTCTACAAGCAACAGCAATCATAAAGAGTCGGTAAACAACCTTCTCTCCTCTAATTTCGCCTCAGAAGAGCTTGAGCCCTTAGGACAACTATGGTGTGGATATTGCCGTAAACCAAATTGCGACCAGTCAAGACTCGTACCAGTCATATCCAAAGAAAGTCCACTTTGCTTATCTCCTAAAAACAAAAAAGGAATGTGTCCTGTATCTTTCTTTAGATGATTTTGACGATATCGGCTAGCTTTATTTACCCTGAAACATAGCGACTCAATCTTAAGCTAATATCCCTCTCCAAGCAGAAGTAAATTACGAATCATTGGAGTCGCTAACTTGCTTTAGCTTGTTATAATAGAATAAGTTAATTGAGTACAATAATAAAATATCGAAAAAGGTAATCGACTACGGTCCTAATAAATTACTGTTATATTTACCTTATTTACTAATTTATATCCGACGCAGAGTATCTAAGCTATAATATCTCATTTCAAAACAGACTCTAATTACATAAATGTTTTAAATTAAATATATATGTAAATAATAAGCGCTTTGCAACCTTCTCCTCCTCCTCAAAATCCTACAGTTTATTTTAAGTCGTCCCCAAAAGGTTGATGGATTTTTATAAGGGGCTTTGATTTTCGTGTCAGGAACAGACTTAGAGAGATTGACATTCCCTCACACAATAAGAAAAAATAATTTTCGGTTATTTAAGATGTTGGTCGAGCCCTAGTCTTCCGAATATCAATAAGCCATGCTAACCACTTGTGTTTGCCGCAATGGATATTACACAGTTAAGCAAAACCAAAAAAAAACCTGTTTCTTTTATAAACTATTTATATTTATTTCTTTACACGTATATCGCACATTTATTAAATTTAAGGATATCATTTTATATTTAATGCTTTAATTCTTAATTTCGCTGGTTTGAAATATGCAATCTAATTCTTATCTTTTAGTTAAAAACAAAATTTTGTTTCATAATAAATAGTTACGCAATTAAGTCTATCAGAAGATGACGCACCGTTTCGTGTGCTTTGTGTATATCATTTATGTGTGTATGTGTGAGTTTAAGTTTTATTTCTTTACTTTCTCTTGCTTGATTTTTAATTCACTGTACAAAAAATTGTTTTCTAAAAATACAAAAGGGGGAAAAAATAGTTTTTGAAAAATTTTCTTCACTTCTTCTCTTGGTTGTTGTGAGCAGAGTGTTTGTGTATATGTATATAAGAGGAATTAATTGCAATTTATTTATGTACTACTGTAATTCTTGTTTGCAAATATATAGTTTACAACTACCAACACACTAACCAGACCTTGAATTATGTTAGCAATCGTTTAAGAAAATACATATGCCTGTATGTACTTATTTATGAATAAATATACAAATAATATATATAGATATATGGTAGTGACAATTATTAAAAAAAATCTGGTTTCCTTCCATTTCTTTTGCGAACTGTACATACAACTTTAACATTATCATAATATTTATATATATTATTACATATGTATGTATATATATATATATATCTTATGTATTTTGCAAGAATTTTTAAAAAATATTTTTTACTTAATTAAACTACATACGATCTTATGGTAATATGATTTCCTTTTCAAACAATTTCGAGTTTGCGCTGTACGCTTGTTTCTATTTCATTTCATTTTATCGCTAATAGGTATTAACTGCTACAGTGCGCTTGTGATACAGTAATATGCGAAATTCGGCAAAGTCTTCGCTTTCCGAGAGAGAGAGGGAGAGAGAGATATAAAGTAATACGAATATCTGTAATTAAATCCGTACACCGTCCAAGTATCCCGCAGCACAAGCACACTGCTTATTTATTTGTTTGTATATCTGTATGTTTGTATGCATGTTTATGTTTGTCCTTATCGATGAATTTTATTCAGTTGAATTTAATTTCCTGTAATGCCATTATCTGTCAATGTCTATCTCTATGTGTTTGTATATTGACCAGTTGGTTTCCTTCTCAATTAAGTTCATGTTATGAATAGTGCTGTACCAGCTGGAGCTCCGCTATGAGCGAGTGCCAGTGGATGTGAGTGGGCTAATACCGTATGATTGCCGCCACCGCCACCACCCACCACACCGGCCGCACCAGTTACACTAGCAATGCTATGGTGTGTGGGCTGTGTGGTTGTTTGTATTATAGCTGTAGTTATTGGATGTGCATGTGTGGTAGCTGCTGCTGCTGCCGTCGGTTGGTTTTGTTGATGATGATGTTGTGCAATATGCATCGAAATTGTCGTCGCAGTGTTTGCACTCGAAACTGAATTCTATATTGAATTGAAGTTAATACTTTGTAAATTCATTGCAGCTGCCGGATTAACATTGATGGTACCGGCGCCGGTGCTAGCGCCTACACCACTCGCATCGATATATCGTTGTCTGGATACGGTATGTAGACCAGCTGCCGAGAAGTCCATATGACGGGGATCTAAGAAATTCATTACACCCATAGACGGATGGGCACCGCCTGCTCCAGCAGCTGTGCCAGCATGATGCGGCGTACACATGACCGATGGTGTTGGTGTTTCGGCTGGTGGTGGTATTTGCATATTTAATGCAGCCGATTGGGCAACCGCAGCTACGGCGGCCGTTAGATGTTCATAATTTTCGTTCGTAGTATCATCGGTAGCGGTATTCGGTGGTGTTGGTGATGGCGACATATTTGGTTCTTGTTTAACGACACGTGCCTTGATGCTGGGCCGTGAAACGGGATAGCCACGTTTCTTATATTCTAACCACAAAGTACGATTATTTACGCCATATAGGCGCGCAGCCTTACAGAAACCAATACCACCGGAACGTACTGCCTCCAAAGCGCGTATGAAATTTTCATCACCTTGAGGATTGACAGAACGTTTACGTTTTGCAGATTGATTGCCACCGCTGCCGCTATTGGCATTACCACCACTTGAGCTGCTGCCACCGCCACCGCCACCACCTGCGCCACTGCCGCTGCCACCACCACCACCACCACCACTTGTAGCGGTGTTACCGGTGGATACATTGCTGGCACCACTACCAGATGCATTTCCTGTAACATCGTTAGGATGTACGGGTGATTGAATGGGTGTCGGCCCTTGACTGTATACCGATTGCACCATACTTGCTTCATTGGGTGATGTTGGCGATAGATTTTGTGCTGCTGCATTGGTGCCGCCGCCATAATTTAGACTATTCACCGTTATGATCTGTGGCGAATATGTAGTGGCTGCATTTTGCTGCTGCTGCTGCTGTTGTTGTTGCTGCTGCTGCTGTTGTTGTTGCTGCTGCTGTTGTTGTTGCTGTTGATAGTGTAGTTGTTGGAAATGCTGCTGCTGTTGTTGCTGTTGTCCAGCGGCTGCCTGTTGTGCTGCCGATTCCTGCGCATGTTGCTGTCGTTGTTGTTGCTGGGGATCACTATTATTGTTGGCATTTGGTTGTGCAGCCGCACCGCCGGCTCCATTGCCTCCGTTACCAATCAAATTCGGTTGGCAAGTCGAAAGCGAAAAGCGAGAGTAATTCGAGTCAACGACCGTCCATTGCAGACCTGGGAAGGGGAGAGAGAGAGAGTAAGAGAGTGTGAGAGGTTTTGTATTTCTTTTTTTTTCTTTCATTTCTTCTACATTACTAACACCACTATTTTTGGTGTATTGTATACTTTTCATCAATTCTGCTTTACTTCAACTAACTATATAAACTACGGTTACTTTATGACAAAATATACAACGAATTTGGATCGTTCATTGGTTTGAGAGAGAAACAGAGAGTTTGAAAGTTTAATATTAAAATTGAGGGATGCTTATATTCAATATTGGGGTTTTGCGAAATTTTATTACAATTTTATAGTTTTGTCAAAAACAAAAAAAAGATTAACTCATTACTCTTTTTCATACAAATTAAATATTTTTTTGTTCTTGATTCAGAAACGATCTCACTTTACTTGCTACATTTTACGAAATTACAAAAATTAACAATTTTGATCAGACTCTGTGCATAGCTCTCTCCTGATCCCCAAGTACAGCAAGATAGGTCTCTTAAAAAACTTACAACTCCACATTTTTGTAAAGTTGCGTATTTTTTTTTTAGTGTTTTTCTTACTATTATCTTATTTTTAAGCGCAAAAAAAATTAATTGTTAGTTTACCATTTATGTATTTGTTTTATAACTATATTTTAGTCTTAAAATAAACCCGTTCCATTTCGTATGCGTCTATTCTTCGTTTAAGGTGCAGCCATAAATAATGGAAACATCTTCATTTTTGAAAACGCTGTTTTCAATATCCATATATTATGCTAGATTTGTAGCTTTATACATAATATACTAAATAAAACTCTTTTGTAATGAGTAATTCTCAATCTTCTTTTATATGTGTAAACAGATGGAAGCTTTTGAAAGCCAGATACGGAGTGATGAATAAAAATCATGTCTGTAGTTAAGTTCTCTTTGCGATTCCGCACTTTTCTACAACAATTTATAGAATTTCTGAGACTTCTGTGTTGACTGAGGTTCATAGAACTGTACCCACGTTTCCTTTCCAGGCCACGTTTCCATTTCACTGCTGTTTTTACCGGGTTTCTTTCGTCAGTCAGGAAGAAAAATACTCTACCTATCTTTAAAGACGAACCAAATATACAATCAAAAACTTCATTGCTTCTTCTTAGCCACTTAACTGGCTATTGGTGATTTTCATCCGGCCAAAGATTGTCTCTCCCGAAACATTTTCCAAATTGGCCGCCACATTTAGAAAAATAACTATTGCTATATCTTTTCATGTTGGTCTGGTCGGGATTCAAACATCGCATATAAAATGTACTGCTACCCAATCGTCTATAGCGATCGGATAACCATTACACCAATAAAAAAAAATTTTGAAAAAGGTTTGAGACTCTCTGGAATATGTTCAAATCTTATATATGCAAAATATTTAATTTAATATTTTATCCAATATAGAATGTATTCAGCTTTCAAATGAGTTTTACTTAGTTGTCCATTGGCATATGTATGTTTATCAGCGATTGCACTTTAACGAAATGTCATTGCATGGTCAATGGTGGCTTTTGCATCATCGTCAAACTTCTCAAGATGCTCTAGAATATCCTTCGTTGAAGTTATTGTGCTTATTATTTGTTCTAGTTGTTGTTGTAGCTGAAAAAATATTCCACTAAGTACTTTTAGGGGAATGTTGCACTCCCGCAACAGTCCGTGGACGGATAAAAATCCGGAACAATATTAAAACGCGATTATCGCGGGAACTATTGGATCCTAGTCGACTCAGTCCATTCCAAGTCATTATAATTTCGACCACCATTTTGTTGGTGTTCAGCGCGCCTCGATTTTACCAAATGTCATGCTGTCTTATAAGCAATACCTAAAACATTTGAAAAGGGAAAATCACTCCTATCTCCAACAATTTTGTTGGAGAATCATGTAGTCTATTGACGAGATTAATTCCTTTCAAATGGAACAATCAATCAATTGGAACAATCAAAAAACTACATTAACGGAATGAGGAAATAACAACCGCCCTGCTATTTTAATTTTTTGTCGATTCTTTCTTGATTTTGTTGTTGTTGTTGTAGCGATTCGATGTGCCCACTTAGAAGCAGGCAATATCAGTCTAAGTCATCTAGGTCATTTAACGATAAATCCTGGAAACGAGCTATTCCGACGGGCTCCGACCGTTTCGGCGACCTAATCTCATTTAGATCAACAGGTAACATTGTCTACGGGAAGTCCCTTTCTTGTAGATGGGATGCAATACTCAAGTGTGTAGCAGTGTCAATTGGTCTTCAACGGGTTGTAAATTTTGGGTTCCTGCAAGAGTAAGATCTACAAAAGTTTTTTAGTGTTCCCTGTTGCTTCCAAAGATATAACTACAGAAGGTTCATCTATAGCAGTTTCAAGGAAATATGTGTGTATGAGTGTTCTCATAAAAAAAAACTTTGCTCGATCCAATTATTCTTTGGGTTGTGCATATTATAGATACATAAGTATATATATATATATTCCCCACCACAAAATATTTTAAGGTTTTGTTTTTTGCTAAGGCCTGCGGGACTTTACCTAATCACCATCACCACCATGTATTGTGTTTTACAACTTTCAACTTCATTAAGCTGCGAATATGCTTCTTCAAATATAAATCTCACCAAAAGATTATAGAGAATAAAAAAGAGAATGCACAATGGCCTTTTCCCCACATTACAAAAAGAAAAAAAAAAAAAAAAATACATAAAATCCTAAGGTTAGTAAGATACTTTATCATCCACAGCTATTTCGCTAACACAATCTACTTTGTATAATAAATATGTCAATTATAAATATCCAAATAGAACATGCAATAATTAACAAAACTGTAAATTATTAACTGTTACTTACCAGAATGAGATGATTGAGAATTTGGAGCATCGTGTTCTGAAGGAGTTGTAGCAGCGGAAATATCCAGCGGCATTGACTGTTGAACACTACTCATATCAACTTCGGGTTTCTAGAATACAGTGAAAGAGAACGTAAGCGATTAAATTTGTGAACTTTTCAAATAAAATAACAAATATGAATTACAATTTGCATGTGTACATGTCCATGAGCATCATCTAAACTATCGTCTTGTGGATGTGGTTCAACCTCTGTCCTACCCGATTCTTTTAACAATTTTACTGTGTGAAGTGAGTGAGTTTGCATGCCACTGATAGTACCGCCCGTGGTTCCAAATGACATTTGATCCATTTGTGTAAGACTTATGCCGCCAGTATTATTTCCACTATCCAAAGAAGTATTATGTTGTTCTTCCGAATTATTCCGATCGCCAGATCCTGAAGTTTTTTCAAGAAATATGTTATTAAATTAGATGTAATGGATTTCGTATCAAGTTGGTGTAACAAATATTTCAAGGTCATGTTAGTGATATATGAAAACTGATCTTTTTTTAATGTTGCGTTTGGCATATTTTTTTTTTTTTTTTTTGGAAGTAGTCTTACCATTATTTGAAGATTTCCGTAAGCGTTTTCGTCGTGTGGCTGGTGATGCACCCGCTCCTAATGGTGAAGGAGTGCGCCTTAATTGATGATGTTGTTGTTGTTGCTGTTGTGATGTTTGTGTTTGGCTGTTTTGTTGTTGTTGATGGTGGTGCGTCTGAAACTGAGCGTCACTATGTTGCCCATGGTGATGTTGCGGCTGAATAAGAAGAAATTAATAAACAAAAAAAATTAATATCTCATATCCAAAATAGTATCTAGTTCAAGTTAGCTATGCATGCCTAAAATTAAAGATATTTAATGAGATTATTAGAAAAGAAAATTTTTTATGAATATGCCTAGTAATATTCGGTTTGCTAGACAAGTGCATACATTTATTAATTTAGCACGTAATTACCTCCCACAATGATTCATTCAAGCTACCGCCAGCACTACTACCCATACCGCCGCTGGTAACACCACTGCTACTTTGGCCATTGCTGCCAGTGCTACCGCTACCCACTAAATCGGTGGGTTCATTCGATGATTTGCTTTCAGATTTAGTTAAATTGGCAGGATCGGTGGGCATTTCAGCAAGTCCTTTGATTTTAAGCATCTCGGCCGTTTTTAGAATGTGTGGCAATTGTTCCTGCGATACATTTACCTCACCGTAGTACATAAAATCAACCATAGTTTTAAGATCATCGTATTGTACATCTTTAAGTATTACAATTGGATGCTGACATGGATTCGATGTAAATAATGTCTAAAAACAGTTTAAGACAATAAGTTAATGTTTAAATAATAATCATATGTTGTAATGGGTTTGACAAACTTACTTGAAAATATGAGCTGCAAGCAGAGAGAACAATTTTATGAGCCTGAAGTTGTCGACCCTCTGCTGCTAAGGTAACATCCACCAATGTACCGTTATGGAGTAACGAAGAACAAACCGAAATGAAATTCGGTTGATGGTTATTCCAGCGCAAACAAAATTGTTGCACCGACATGGTCAAAAAGTTCTTGACCGAAGTCGCCGGTGAAGCGTTTGCTGTGGACGTCTATAACTATACTTTGTTGTTCTCCTTTGTACAACAATTAATGTTAAATAAGTAAAAATGGATTTGAACTTTGTTCTGAAGATGTATTTTTTGTACAAAATTATTCGTTCTCTATTTTTCCGGATTCAAGTCAATAGTATGGGTTAATAATTTTTTTTGTACAATTCTATTTGGTTTCCGTATTTTTTTCCCACTAACTTTCACATAATCTAATTGGAAAGAAAAAAATTTTATGTTATTTTTATTTCTAATATTTTAGGTAATTCACTAGAATATGTTTTAATGAAACCACATTTATTTTCAATCATTCATTATTTTTTGCCAATATGTAGACTTATCAATTTTACTTTGCCCCGTGTTTGGTCGTTCCTGCTGCGTATACACATTTGTTCAGCCAATACAATAACAAAAACAAACTATACGCCAATCAGCTTTTGTGCTATCGGTCAGCGCAGCTTTCTTAGACGAAAAATAATAATAAATAAAGAACATCTACGTAACGAAATTTAATAGTTTTACTAGTGTGTGTTTGTGTTTTGTGGAAGACCTTGAATGACGTCATTTGCGCGTATTTCTATCTTTACAACGAAATTTTCCGATATTCATTTTCATTTTAATAAAGGAATTTTCATTTTATAAAATTTCGGAGAAAACATATCACTTATTATTTTTCCTTTTAAGTATATAAGTATAACCTTTTTGAACTGTACAATTTTCATATATGCACATGAAACAAATTTCCAAAAGAATGCCTTTCATGCATTATTAATATATATTGAGTACTAAATGTGTGCACCAATTTATAACAAAGTCACTGTATTAATTTGTAAATTCTTAACAAATTTTAGCGTGGTTTAAATGTTATGGAAAAAATTTTCTTTAACACCAGTCCTTGAACTTTGATGAATGAAAACTCAAGAATAATGGTGGAAACACTGTCGCACTGGTGGGTATGTACATGGAAAAGCGTAATGTCGAAATGTAAACAATACACATTTGTTTAAATCATTTTAGAGCTTTCCAAAACATTTATATAATTCTTTAACTACGGTTTTTAAGAACAACAAATGAGTTTATAAAATTCAATTTTTTTTAATTAATTTGGGTGGAATTTAGATTTAAATTTAAAACATCCACAATTTCGTTTTTCATTTTAGGCATCATTCTTAATAAATGCAACCCTGCACAAGACGAGCTAGAACACACGAAGTAGAAGGGGTGCGTTTGCTCGTCTTCGATTTAATTTGCATATTTGGTCGAATGATTTTTTCCACATTTATTCCTTCAATGTCCATTTTCATATACGATTTTTTATATTTAATTACTGCTTCGCTAAATTACATATAATCCAACACTATCCTGCTTATATAATATTTTGTAAAGTAAATAAACTTTTTGGTGGGATTTTATTTTTTCACACGTTTCAGAAGTGTGCACTATAAAGGAATAAAATACAAAATGGCGCGTTAGCACAGAATTTTCGCTGCATCACAAAAGGCACTCCACCGACAGCTTGTGTTTACTTTTTACAAAATTTGTCCTCAAACATTTGTTTACACCGATATAGCATTCATACTTCATGTACCATAATATATTAAAAAGATTGCTATTATAAACACTACACAATTTTAGTTATTTATGAAGAAAATCGAATCTTACTTTTCTTTTCAAAAGATAGCACAAAAGGAAAAGAGAGCGAATAGAGCCAACACCAACGAACTGTTTCTTTATGTAATGAGAAGTTGAACAGTGCTGCCCAACGATATGAATTTTAAAGTTTTCGATGAAATGCATCGCGTATTTGCAGATGTGATGGGCAATAGAAAAATTTACAAAATTAGAAAAATTACGAACTATTTCCAGCATTTTTCTAACAAAAAATACAGAAAATACATTGAAACATTATTCTTCTACTGACATACGTGAAATAATATCTAACGTTGATCAGCACTGTTATTGATGCTTCTTCTTCTACTACAGCCATGTTTTCAATAGAGCGACATCAAAGCTGTGCTTTCATTATGCGGTGTCTCCACTCGCTTTAAAATTCGTCTTCCTTACCATTCGTTTCCTATGAAACGTATTAAGCCTTTCTTAGCCAAGCTTACCATTATGGGACCAATGATTGTTTCAATCAATGAAATTTGCAGGCGATAGTGTTGCTGCAGATAAGGTGGACGTTTTTAGAGCTTTCACTCATTTTTAGAAAGACTCGATACTAAATACGAAACAAGTTTTTTAAACCTTTCCCCCTTAAATTTTTAATCATTCATAGCATTCGTAGTTAGCTGTGAAATGAATATTTCAGTATAAATGGGATCTTTTTCTTATGGGAAATCCTGAAAGTTTTTTTTTAAAGTGGATCACCTGAATCTAGTGTTTTTTAAGTAAAGTGGTACTATTCTAAGTGTGGCATTGTTATCAAATTTCAAAATGAGTATTTCGAATTGGAACAGTTAATAAATGAGCGCCTCATAACTCGTTTTCGCAAGCAAACTTTTTTCTATTTTACATAATATGTACAGTGTTGTTAAGTAAATTATCAGCCAATTTAAAATAAACCAGCTGGGCGTTCGTTTGAAGGCAGTGTGCATAAGAAAGGATATAATAAAGAAGCTGAACAACAAATTTTGGGTAATTTATTTAACAATCCAGTGAGAGAATTCGATGGATTTGGGGGGAAAAAATCGTCGTTATTTACCGAAAATCGTTACATTAGAAAAATTTAGCTATCAATTTACGGGACGGTAACACTGGCTTTTGTTTTGATTTACAGTGACCTGCAATGTTTCAATTAACGACAATAGATTTTGTACATTTCAAATAACTTAGTTTGAACCACACAAAATATTGAAAAATTTTTAACTTACAAATTTAAAAATAGAGAATATCCTAGATTTGTGAGTAAGAACGTTTTGTATTAAAAGTAAAGGTACAATTTTATTAACCTACAAAAATATTTTATAATTTGTGCTCTTAGTCAATAATCACCAGATTGTAGCTTATTGCGGCTTGGATTGTCAAAACTCGTGTAATTTTTTTGGTAATCTACCCAGTTAGCAAAATTAAAAATATTTTTTGTTACCTATGCCTATGCTCAAGGCGAATTGAGATAAGGTGTAATTGGTAGTACATCTGTTTTATTCTTCTATCGACTGCTGGGAGTTATCTTTGTCCAGAATGTTGAGCAATACGGAATCGAAATCAAATCGTTCAATTACCAATTGTAACTGAATTTAATTTTTAAACAAAATATAAATATTCTTTAGGCAAAGTAATTATTTTTATTTGAAAGCTGTTTTTCGTATTTTTCTTAGCTTATGCTATGACATTCCGGTTTTAAATTTGCGTCTACCTGTATTGAATTCGCCTTGCATGTGCTCAAACTAAGGTGAATTCTAAAGTTGGGAGCAGGATAACAAATATAACATTATCACGCATTTTGATTTTCTTGTGTGTAGGGGCTGTTAAAATCATAGGAAATTACAACGTCTGTTCAAGGAATAAATCACAAAACTTAATCTAAGCTAATTAAGCCGCCTAATGGGGGATAAGGGAATAAAATATCCGAATATAGTTTTCAGATCTTTGTATTAATTTATTTTTCCCTGTAAAAACATTTTTTTCTCTTTATCTCCAAAACGCGCCGAAACTGCGTCCTTGACTTCTTTGGTGGTAAATTTTTAACTCTCATCTTTTTGTTCCCCTTTTGAAACTAGTAATAATCACTAGGTGGCTTTAGGGTGGGCGATTAAAAATTATGCAAACATTGTACAACAATTTGTAGGTACATTACGTTCTTGTTGACAGTTTGAGAGTTTTTACATTTTCCCATCTCATTTTGGTAAGAAAATATAGTTCTTGGTTCTTGCTTCTCTTCTGGGTGTGGCACCACTTGTGCGGTTATAGCCGAATCAACAATAGTGCGCTATTTGTTCCTTCTCTTCGCTGTATAACGGCGATTGGAAATACCAAGTGAAACCAAGTCACTCTCCACCTGATCCTTCCCACGAGTGGAAGGTCTTCCAGACAGCGTACCCGCTGTCTCTTCATTCGTTGCACTACATCAAAGGATTATAAATCACAAAACTTTTTTCTCGAAAGCTCCCACAGCCGACGTACCGGATGGCGACATTGTCCTTGCTATCGCACAAAATAGGGATGATGAGTATCTTTGGTTTTGGATAGTTCTTAATTTTCACTTGCCTACTTAGTCCAAAGTGACAGCTGTTGGCAAAAATAATTCTGCGTTGGATTTCAATGCTGACATTGTTATTATTGTTTATATTGTTCCCTAGACAAACGAAAATATCTACGATCTATAGAAGTTATGACTATCAACACTGATGTGGGGGCCAACCTTTTCTCCGACTATTTGTTGAATGACAGAATATATTTCATTTTGCCCTCGTCCACTACCAGTCTTGATCATATAGTGTCTTTGTCAAGCTTGGATCATGCTGAACTAACAGCGTGGTTGTTAAGTTCGATTATAACGGAGTCAACGGCATATGCCAGCAGTTGTACAAACTTGTAAGAAGTTGTGCCTTCTCTATTTAGCTCTGCAGCTCTTATAATAGCTCCAGCAATAAATTAGAGTAGTCACACGATAAGGAATCTGTTGTCTAAAACCTCGTTTGGTATCGAATAGCTCAAAGAGGGCTTTCTCAATTATGACTGCGCCTCTGCGCAGAGGCAGCACTTTACTGTGCTGTCGAAGTCATTTTTATAATCGATAAAAATTTTATTGTGTGTCGATTCTTCTTTCACGGGTCATTTCCAAGAATTGGCGTATGGTGAATATTTGGTGAATATTCGGTTAATGGTTTATTTACCAGATTTAAAGCCACACTGATAAGGTCTTTCGTTAATTTGTTCAAAACCACGTGGGACATAGTTCGTAGTTCGAAGCAGTCATGAAAGCGTATCTCGTGAAAAGTAAAAAAAAATGTAAAAGACCAACAAACTTAAATAAAGAACAAATTTTTCTAAAGCAATTCTTGCTCATACTTCTCCTTCCACATATGTACATTAAGACCGGAAAATTTCCGGAAATTGTTTTTCTATTTGCGGTTTGGTTGATCATGAATTCGTTCCAGCGGAACAGATTGTCAGTAGAGAGTACAATTTCAGCGTTTTGAGGTTAACAATAATGCGCCATCGCACGGAGCTGTAGTTGTGAACGATTTTAAGACCGAAAATTCGCTCAATACATTAGATTAATCGCGGTATTCACCGGATTTGGCGCCTTGTGACTCTTTTTGTTTTCGTGGGACCCATTTCGACTCGTTTGAGGCCGTAAAAGAAAATTCGCAGATGGAAGTGAGATCAAACGATTTCAACAGCTGTTGCGCTTATCTTTGGCATAGTACAATAATTATGTACAGTGCTACCAACTTAACAAAAAAAAAAAAAGTGTTGAAAAATATCCTTACTTGTGTTTGTATTTTACTTTTTTCTGCATTCGCTATTGAAATCGCATTTTGAAAGAAAAAAAATACAACTTTCTCGATATTACTCTGGACCGGGCTCGAACTACGAACTACTCTCTGTTTATATACATACGTATCTGCTGTCACGTTGGACTTCACTTATCGTCTATCAGTGATTTTACACACTTTGTTTTTATTTAATTAAATTTTATTTATTGTTGCATTCAGAACAATCATGTACATATCGCAATATTCTATACATACATAGTAGCTATGTATGTGTGTACATTTTTAAATTCATTTCTTATTCGTATAAAAAATAAATTTGACATATTTACAAACATAAAGTGCAGGTGAGATTAGAGAAAATTCCGCCAAAATGCACGCACCTATATTAGCATTTGATGTTAGTCTCCCAAAAAGGAGGAACTCTCCAATTTCACTCACACTTTCAAAAGGCATATATATATACAATAAATAATAACTATTTCGCACCTGTTATTATTTATTGTATTTACAATCTAGTTGTTTGTTTGTAATTTGTTTTCTTGTTATATAATTTTTTCTAATAAATTTTGCGACATATTTAATGTTTTCCATTGACATTTTGACATTTATCACAGTTTTAATAAATAATAAACAAAACTAAATTTTATAAATAGATTATTAATTCGAAATTAAATTTTTAAACAATTCAAAAAAAATTTTTTTTTTTAATTTCAATCAATGTCTTCTAAAATTGTTATTGATTTAACACTCTTTATTTATGTATGTATGTACATATTTGAATCCATAATTGCTTGAAATTTTTTCACAATTTATTGGTTGTAAAAATTTTCTTCGCTCGCATTTCTCCAACCATTGTGAAAAATTTAATAGCATTAGTGGCGGAAACAAATATGCTCATGTATGATTTTTTAACGGTAACGCACATTTAACGGCGTTTATAATTAACATACAATACATTGTATGTATGTATGAAAACAAATATGTTTTTATATTAATTAAAATCGTTGAATGAATATAAAACAGTTTCAAAAAACTATATTAATGAACATATACACTCACTTACATTCGTTAATCGGTATGTATGTATGCATGTTTTTTCTGTATAAATATAATATTATCAGTAATTACATAATGTAAGTGATTTTTTAAGTCATTAGTAGTTTCGAGTTTCTTTTTGTTTTTGTTATGATTTTTAGATTTTTACAATATTTCTGATATTGATTGTATTTTTTTTTAGTATTATTTTGAATTTTTCTTTTTGCTCTTCGGCATTTTCGCCCAAATGCGGAAGAAGTATTCGTCACGTCGCAATAATATACCACGAGCATACGAATGTATGTCCGCATCCATGTTGTGATTACGCAACCAAGACGATGTATTGCAAGAACTTATCTCCGTATGCGGTTCATCAGGTAAACTCAAATGTCCTGTGGAGAACGAAAGAGAAAGCAATAATTAAACATATGTATATTCATTCATCAAAAAAAAAAAAATAAAAAAAAAAAATAAAAAAATAAAAATAAAATAATAATAAAAAAAAAACAACAGAAATTTTCAAATTTCCTTACCTGCTGTCATAGCCACATATGGTTCCTCCGATTCGAGTGGCTCACTAAGACCAATCTCATTTTTGGCAAATATACGTATCATATACTCATGATTCTCCTGTAAATCACGTATTTGGAATCTTTGCACACCGGCCGGTACACGACCCACCTCAATCCACATTGTCTTCTTCATGTCACGTATAGCAATGTGATAGCCGAGCAGTGGCGCACCACCATCTGACTCGGGTATACCCCATTCGAATATGTGTGCATTGGCAGCGAGCACGCGCGCCTCCAATGGCGCAGTCGGTGGCGAAGGAACGGCTGTGGAAATTAAAAATAAATTATTATCCAGTATTTTTTGTGCGTGAGAAAATGCTGTTGCAATTCTGTACTTACTTGCATGTGTTTTGAGTGATACGCTCTCGGTTACGGCTGGTGCACCTAATCCAACCGCATTTTCCGCTGACACTCTAAACCAGTATTCACACTTCTCCTTCAAATTATCCACAGTGTATTGGCGACAGTGTGCGTCCAATGTGATTACCTTTGTCCATTTGGTTGATGTTGCCGAACGTTTTTCAATACAATAGCCTTGGGGGGGAATAAAAATAATGGATATTTTTTAAGAAAATACTAATAAAAACTCAAAAAAAAAAATATTTAAATTATTAAATTCTTTCGCTTTAAGATTTAAGAAAAAGGATTCATAACTTGATTAAAAAATATTTTTCACAACTCATTATCGAAAAGGATGAAATAAGAATAAGAAATGTTGAAAAAGTTCTAGTACACCTCAGTATCAAATACATATATGTACATATACATATACCAGGAAGATTCCGAAAATTGTCATTTAATCTGCCCACGCTTTCGTTTTGTTAAGTTGGTAGCAGTGTCATTAATTACTATGCCAGCTTTTCAAACGGACTCCACGGAGTGATTGAAACAAAAAAGAGTCGCATGGGGCCAAATCTAGTGAATACGGTGGTTGATCGATGGTATTGAACAAGTTTTTGGTCTTAAAATCGTTCACAACTACAACTGCGTCATGAAAGTTTCCCCGATAATGTTGGCCCACAATTCCGGCCGTTTACGAGGGATGCTTTCCCGCAAACGCCTTAATACGCTTAAATAATACTCTTCATTGACCGTCGTTGGAACGGGTACATGATGAACCAAATCGCGAGTATCGAAAAGAATACAATTTCCGTAAACTTTCTGGTCTCAATGTATGCATAACGGGTCCGCTCCCAATACAGCAGTCGTCGCCATTATATCAAAAGTAACCTGTTGATCGATGCCCAATCTATGGAGAGAATATTTCTTCAGCCAGTTAAATTGCAGTGAAAGCGATACACCAGAAGATGATGAACTCGAAACCCCAATCGATATCAGTGAAAAAAGCTGTACAAAAAGAACTGAAAGAACTGAACATCAAAGCGACGGAAAGTGATGGCTTACAGGCAGAGCTATTCAAATATGAAGGAGAAGAACTGACAAGGTGTATGTGTCAGCTTCTTTGTAGAATATATCCGTTACGTCACAAGGCGATTTCTACAATCTCAACCGATTATAGCGAATACGATCTTATAGAACTTACTGTGTGAATTAAAGCTTCCGTCTACGAATTGTGAATTCAGACTTGGCATCTCTATCATTGATAAAATATTAACCATGCGCTAATTCTTGGAAAAAGTACGTGAGAAAAAGTTTGGTAGCACGAAAAGGAGCTGTCTCTACGAAACTCATACGTTTATGTAAATTAATGCTCAAGAACACAAAAAGTTCCGTCGGTATCGGTGATACTAAACGACATTTCGGTCAATGTTACTTATTATGGGATGACCTTTTCTTTTTTTTAACTTAATACCAGCTTTAGAGCTAAACAGAGCAGGTATAAACTTCTATAAGACCGTACTGCTATCGATTTATGCCTCAACAAGCGTGCCATTAGTACTGCTTTCTTCAGACTGGATAAGGAAGTGAAGCGAATGGGTCTGATAGTGAACGAGGACAAGACGAAATATCTCCTGCCATTAAACAAAAAGTCAGCGCCAATTGCGTATGGTCACTTCGTCTATCTTGAAACCAGCTTTACCAACAACAATAATACCGGCTTTGAAATCCAACGCAGATTCACTGTCGCCAACAGTTGCTACCTTGCACAGTAAAGTCTGAGAGTCGGCAAGAGGACTAATGCTGCTTTGCGCATTAATATTGATATGGAAGAGACTATAGTTATGTTGTGATGCTGTCCGGATATACAAGAGTACGCCAGCTTCGAAGATTTTCGAAACAGTACCCGGGGTAGAGACAGTGGAAGAGGAAGACCTAAAATCCGATGGAAATGTCAGGTGGAGAGAAACCTGGCTACCTTTGATATCTCAAAAAGGAAAAAAAAATAATAAAAGAAGAAAAATAATCAAAGTCGCATATAAAAGTATTTTTACAGTGAGTTTAAGCCGCTTGGAGGAACATTTCTAACTTAAACGAAATAAATTCATTTCATGGCTAATTGAACTTCCATCTTTTCTAGATCATCGTAGGATTAACTCATTCGTCATACAAAAAAAAAAACAAAAAAAAACTACTTGCTTAAAGATATCTTTTTGCCACCAACAGTTAATGACTTCATTAGCAAACCCTGCGATTTTCAGTTATATAGTTAAATTGTTTTAGTAACTGAGACAACTGTTTAGACCTTGTTCACACGTTGCAATTCTTGTTGCGAAAAATCTTAGTTTGTAGGATAGAAGGCGACAACGGGAAGGAAGTAAAAAAAATGAAGTCAACACAATTTCTATGTGTGTACATGGATAACAACATCAAAAGAGAAATTGACGACCAAAAGTGTATTTGTATTAACCTAGTTAACCTAATACAGGCCTATTCTGTCGAGGTAATAAAATTTACTTTAGTATTAAAATTTACCATTCAGTAAATTTTGTTACTATTTCGTATTCTGAGTTCACTGTCACCTTGTAAATTTTGTTACCGGCGAAATCGGAGATAACAAAAAATCTGCTGTTTGATTTTGTGTTGTCAGTTTAAGAAAAAATAAATACAAAAATTTGTAGGCATATTTTATGTCTGGAATTCATTGAAGATGAAGAAAAAAGTGCAAAAAGGTGCATGTTAAGAAGTTTGCGAGAAAAAAATCACCCTTTTAATTTGGAAGATATCATTTTCATTCAGTTTTTTTTTTATCGTACCGGCATATTTTCCATAATTAGATTCAAATATTTATGATTTAATAAACAAATAAATAAAACTTATTTATGTTGTTGTGCACCGCCTTCTATTTCGATGTAAATATTCTTCTTTTTACTGTGCCAACTTGCAAATGTAATTTGACATGATCGAAAAAGCAGTGCTGCCAAGATTTTGTCAAACAATATAACCTGTGCGCTAGACCACCAAATTTAATTCAGGGTGTTAAAAAAAAGTAACCAAATTTACTTTACCGGTAACAGTGAGAATAGGCTTGTTAATGATTTTTTTTTTAAATCTATTTACGTACCAGTTATTTCAGAGCCTCCGTTACTCGCTGGTACTTCCCAGTCAAGCGTTACACTGCGATTCGTCACATCTGGGATGCGTAAGTTTTGCGGTGGTGATGGAGGTGCTTTTGTTGTAAAGTTGTACAAAAATAATTGATATTAATAATTCAGTTTTAAATGTGTAAACATGAAAAAAATGTAAATATGAATACTTTTCTATAATAATATCACAATAACGGTTCAAGGCGAATTCATAAAGGTAAACAATACATAAATTGAAAAATAAATAGGTGTGGCAATCACCACGTTGAAAACTTGAATTCGCAGTTGTAGTAAGTTCACCATTTTAAATTCGCCTTAATAAAACTTAAAAGTTATTATTACTTTTTTATTTGTATAAACAATACGCATTTACATACCTACTTTTTCCCAAGCACGTACTGCATATAAATTGTAATAAATTTGCGGTTAGTAGCATAGCGCGGCAGGGTTTAGCGTGTAAGGAATTAAGCAGATTTTTAATTAAGTATATGTTTTTATAATTTCATTTCATTCTGGATTTCATTATGAATAAATAATATTTTCAACTAATTTTAAGGTTTTATTCAAACTTAGAAATGTAAACAGCTTAACAGTTTTTGACAGCTTTGTGGCATCTCTTTTTGACAGCTGCCAAAGTCAGCTGATTGCAATTCACAATTCAGCTGAAAATTTGTTTTATGAATTTTAATTTTTAAAAAAGCTTGAATATGTTGCATATGCTTATGAAAGCGCTATAGATATTTTACCAGGATATACATACATACTCATATGTTTTTCTTGCGTACCAAGCGAGTAGCTTTTAAGCGCAGGTCATTTATAAAGCAAAATGTAAACAATTCGCTGTAGGAATAATAAATAAAATAAAATATTCAGACACTTACTTATCTTACGGCTTACAACTATTTTATCTTCAGTCTCTAGAGCTTCACTAATGCCAACTTCATTCTTTGCATAAATCTTGAATTGGTATGCACGATCTTTGATCACATCACTAACAAGAATATTTGTGACATTGCCGGTCGTGCTGCCGAGCAGACGATATTCAGTTTCATGGAATTCTTTGATTTCGACAATATATTCGATAATTCTTGAGCCGCCATCGCTTTCAGATGGTTCCCATGCGAGCGTAAATGCTGTATCTGTCATACCGAAAACTTCCGTCGGACCACGTGGAGCTGATGGTTTTTCTGAGAGGATGAGAGATATTGGTGGAGATATGTTATTAATAAATTTTTGAAACTATTTTTTTTTACAAACTTACCGAATTTCCTTGCTATTGTCACCGGATCACTCTCAACCGGTTCAGATTCACCAACCGGATTGGCGGCAACCACTCTGAACATGTATTGTGAGTTCATGGAAAGTTTTTGTACTGCATAGGAGTGTATGTCTTTTTCCAAATCGGCCACCTTCATCCACAGATTATTTTGCAAATCGCATTTCTCCAATACATACTTATTCAACTCAAGACCACCATCATCAATTGGTGGCGTCCACGCGAGTGTGATGGCATCCTTTTTCATTTCTTTAATTTCTATTGATCGTGGTCGACTTGGCTTGTCAATCACTTGTATGGTACATTCAGTCGTGGCGGTGCCCGATGTATTTGTAGCTGTGATCTTATAACGTCCCGAATCTTCACGCGTCACCTTTTCCAATGAGTATGTTGTTGTGGTCTCTGTGGTTTCGATTGTTACACGTTCCGTTGTCGTCGTTTGCTCTGTGGTCTCTCTATACCATGTAGCTTTTGGTTGTGGATAACCACGTACTGTGGCCGGAATGTTCAAAGTGGTGCCAGCACGTATTTTTTGTGCAAGATACTTTTCATCGATATCAATGGTTGGCTTCTCTTGCAGTATTATTCTACATGAGGTCTCCACACTGCCCATATCATTTTCAGCTACGCATGTATACGTCGCTTCAGTCTCAATTGTTGTCTTCTCAATTGTGTATTTCGATACACGATTCTCATAGCGCATAGTCTTTGTTTTGATTACCTCGCCGTTCTTCTTCCACGTCACCTTAGGCTCTGGTATGCCACCGAAGACGCATGACAGCGTAATCTCCTTATTCAATTCGGTGACAATATCCTGTAGTGGCTCTTGCACAGTTGGTTTTTCCTTCTTAACCTCCGCCACGAGGCGTATGGGTGGTGAGAGTGGAGATGGTGGCGAAGGGCCAACATCATTTATGGCAATCGCACGGAATACATACTCGGTTTCGATTTTCAATTTGCTTATCGTGTAGGTGGTATCTTTGATTTTGCGAATTTCAATCCATCTGAAATGAGTTGAAGATTAGTAAGTATTACTAGATTTCTAGCTTTCCCATGGTGGAGATGGTTTAGCATGGTTACCTCTCCTCTTTCACATCTTGGTATTCGAGCACATATTCGGTAATTTCACATTTGCCGTCGTCCTCGGGCGCCTTCCAGAAGAGTGTGATTGAGTCATGTGTTACCTCTAGTGGCTCCGGTGCACCAGGTGCCGTTGGTTTTCCTTTAAAAGATTTCGAAATTTATTTTAATTTGTGTTTAAGTAGACACAACGAAAATGTTGTATGTCTCGAATTTCCCACAAGAAACTACGTACGTATCGAGGTTGACTAAATGTTGCTCTAGCAATCTTTAAGCAGATAAGTAAGGGCTTGGGAAGCGTGAAATCGCATAAAAAACCGTTATTTACTTCTTTTCTCGTGAATGCCGTCATGTGGGAATTCAACCAACACTCATAGGTGGTAAAGAACTCGAGTGGTTTCGCGACTTATCTTCCTTTTACTCAGACTTTGCCCTGTCGTTACGTATCTCGCGCATGCAATAAGTACCCGCACTACACTAACCAACCCTTTGAACTTCCACTAAAACTCTGCTAGATGATCTTTTTTGAAATCGACTAACTATTCTAAGAAGCGTTACTAGACGGGTTTCTAATCCTTAACGTAAGTCTCATAAAGTCACTTTATATATGTATAATTGACGCTTTATAGTACCTACTCCATTTTGGTGTGTGACGGTTTGTTATTCCTACAAATGGAGAGACTCACAATTAATTCTAAGCCACCACCGAACGGCTGATGGTTCCTCAGAAGAAGCCCTTCATTCCTGCTGAGGGCGACTGCAATTAGAAAAATTATTTTTCTATAGGTTTTGGATATTGATCGAACCATGAATCGAACCGCGATCTTACGAACGTTAGTAACATTAGTAAATAGTGAAAAGTCAATAAAACCTTCAAGTTCTCACATCGTAGTAAACTAAGGTGGTTTGTGACTATTCGTTTGGCAGCCTCGTTCAGCGAGAAACAAAAAATACGGACGGATCTACTATGATTTAATGATCGTTTACTCATCAGTTCGGAATAAAACTCCCGATCTTAAGCTAATTTTCAAATCAGAAAATAGAAGAAATATTAATCAGATACTTACTCATTATAATTAAGTTGAGTGTAGCCTCCACATCGCCAACTGGATTCTTCAGTCTTACTGTGTATAAGCCTTCGTCATCGTCCACCACCTTCTTAATGGTGAGCGTTGCCGATTGTTCATCTAGAGTGGGTATTAAATGCTTATTCTTTACGATAACATTCTTCGTTGTACTCCATTCGGCTTCGGGTTTGGGTGTGCCCGTGAACTTGACAGTCATCGTTACATCATCATTCTCTTTCACCTTGATCGTTTGATCTTTGTCACTAGTGATGATCGGTAATGTCTGAATTTCCTCCACGCACAATTTACTGGTTGTTGTAGCATTAGCAGCCGTACAACTGATATCACCAGCATCATCATCTTCTGCATCGTGTATTACGAAACGTCTGACGGTACCCTCTACAAATACTTCGTGCTTCTTATTTGGTTTAATTGGTTTAGCTTTTTTGAACCAGGTAACCTCGACATCTGGTTGTGATAACTCAACAGTAAATTCAGCATCTGTGCCCTTGGTGGCAATGGTGACATCGGGCAATGGCAAAACAAAGTTCACCAATGGTTCTTCCACCGTCAACTGAGCTTGAGACGTTTGTGGTCCCACTTGTATGGAGTATTTGCCAATGTCTGTTGGTTTCGCGTCGAGAATGCGAAGCGTTTGTTTCTTGCCATCGATCGTCAGTTGTACATGTTCGTTGAGCGGCAACTCTTTGCCATCCTTTAACCATTTAACTAAAGCATCACCCTTACTTAATTCCACTTCGAATACTGCATTCTCGCCTTTTGTCACAGTCACATCTTTCAAAGGTTTAACAATTTCGGGCGGCAGTTCAATAACCGTCAGTTCGGCGCTACATTCCTGTTCATCTAATTTACAGGTGTATTCACCCTCGTCGTGTATGGTTGTATCACGTATAACGAGCTTACGCACTTTACCCTCCGTAACGAATTCCACATTCTTATTTTCGGGCGTGATCTTTTCACCATCCTTATACCACACAACTTCGGCGTTGTCGGTAGAAACCTCTACGTCCAGGATTGCTGTATTCTTTTCGGTTACTTCGTAGTCTTCAAGTATTTTAATGAACTCCGGCTTACGTGGCAATACTTCAACAGTGGATTCAGTCTCCTTATTCTTCACCTTACAAACATATGTGCCGCTATCACGCAAATTGGTATTACGTATAACGAGCTTATGTACTTTGCCATCTTCGACCACTACACGATGATCCATGCCGCTGAGTTCCTTGCCATTGAAGAACCATTTCGTGGTGACCACATGTGAGGTTTCACATTCTAGAGTAAGTGATTGGATTTCTTCAATAGAAATGGTTTTCTTAAGTTTCTTGGTGAAGGTGACCTCATCGACTTCGACAATAACACGCGCACCATGCGATGTTTTGCCGAGTGGATTGCTGGCAATACATTTGTAATCACCGGAGTCTGTGTCGGGATTGGCATCATTGATAATGAGTTCAATGCTCTCGCCATCATACTTTTGTAGTATGCGTTGTGAGGGATAGAGCGGATTGTTGTTGAAAAGCCATTGGACTTCAGGCACCGGATTGCCGGTAACCTTAGCAGGCAAACGGATTGTGCCCTTTTGTGGCACGGACTGCTCCTCGAAACGCTCGACAAACAATGGTGGTTCGGCGTTGCCGCTAGATGGCTCTGTTCGGGCGAGGAAGATGGGAAATTTGCATTAGTAGTGAGTAAAGAAAGTAAAGAAAGAATTTTTTCTAAACAAAACATAAAACAATAAACAAGAGACTTTACTACCTTCAATTGTCAGATTTGCCGTTGTTTCCACGCTACCCAATGGATTTTCTGCTTTCACAGTATATTCGCCACTTTCTGCCGCCTTGGGTGAGATCAGTGTCAGCGTATGTGTATCTTTGTCTGATTTCGTATTCTTCGTAATCGGTTTGCCATCTTTGTACCATGTCACCTTAGGACGTGGATTGCCCACAATTTGTGTGGTCAAAACTACGCTCTCACCTTCGCGTACGACGGTGTTGCGTAGTGGTTCCAAAATTTGTGGCGCTTCCTTCTCGTCTGTGCGTACCTTCAGCACGATCGGTAGGCGTGACTCACCCTCCCGGTTTGTGGCAATCACTTCATAAGTACCCTCCTGTGATTTCTTCACCTTTGTTATGTGCACAACACTACAGTACATATGCATATCTGATTCCGTTACAACGCGTACATTCTTGATCTCTTTCACATCGATCTCTTCGCCATTGAAAGTCCAAACGATATCTGGCTCCGGTACGGCAACTAAACGGCATTCCAATAACACATTTGTGTTCTCATCGACATACTGCGCCTTCGGTTTGCGTGAGAAAGTGGGTGGTATACCTTCGAGTATGTCGGCTAGTGAGGATTCTCGTGACATGCTCTTACGCGACAAGCCGGTAGCATCGGAACCGTGATCGGACAAAGGTGTCTCAACAATTAGTTCCGTTGTGGATGATGTAAAACCGGCGACATTCTTAGCGACACAAGTAAATTTACCCGCATCCTCGGGGAATACTTCACGTATAATCAATGTGGCTACATTATCATCGTCATAGTACATTTGGAAGTCTTGAGATGGCTTAATAATGGCCGTCTCACGGAACCAAGCAATTTGTGGGCGTGGCATACCTTCAACCTTGCATTCAAACTGTACGGTGTAACCATCGGGCGTATGAATGGGTTGAAGTTTTTCAATGAAACGTGGTGCCATGGGTTTCTCTTCGGGACCGGGACCTTCAAACATTCACGTGTTATATATATGTATATAAAAGAGAACAACAGAACAGAACACAATATGTTAAACATAAGGTGTGTACAAGACGTAAGGAAAACAATGGACAAATATTACAGCAATAAAAATTTATACTAACGACACAGTGTGGCAAAAAAGAGTGTTTATTCGAAAAATTAAGAATAGCTTCATCAAAGTCCGAGCCGGCGAGAGCAGCGCGATTAACGAACGAACGGCGCTGAACAGGTTTTATGATTTTTTAACTCAAACAACTGCGATATCAACCTTCAGATCATTAATACTGATTGAGTTCGAGCCCTCGTCGTAGGCAACTAGAGTTAAGACTTCAGGTTACTCTGTTCTACCACAGTTTGTCCTCAGAAATACGAATCACATTCGGTTCCTCCGAGACTTTAATAGTTTTGAAAAGAAAGATTTTGCGGAAGAAGATCCTTTGCTTCTGGACCAGCCTTGCCATAGCTTGAGGACTTTTAAAGTAATGGAAGATAAAGGTCTTTAATTCTTTGGTAATCTCAGATAGGCAGCAGCTTGAAACGCGACGCCTACAACAGTTTAGAGGAAATTCTTTTCAAAGTCTTCGCATCGCTAATTCATAACTGGTGCTACAGCCAGAGGAACACTTAGAGTCCTGTAGCATTCCCAACGTAGAGCGTGCTACTAAACTACTCTGGAACCATAGAACAAACTTTTACTCTGTTACTGTTACTCAGTTCCAATAGCCTGGTAAAGTAAAGTCGGCAAAGTGTAAAACCCGCAGAGAAAAGGACGAAACGCGACAGTCTGATCTTTAGCGCGTCTAAAGGAAATTGGCAAACATGGATTGAAGAGAATGTATCAAACCGAGCGTTGAGTTGAGCAGGAGAGTGCAATGAGCCTACTTACTGGTTGGCTTAAGTCTTTGACTTATACCGTTGAACCGATTTTCGGCCCAGCTATTATTTCAGTACTTACGGGTTGGCTTAAGCGTGGTCAGGTTACCAACCACCTCTTTTACTTATACCCGTGAACCGATTTTCGGCCGAGCTGCTATTTCAATTTGTGGAAAGAACGGGTTGATATCCCTTGCCGAGAAATGATCGCAATTACATATTTATTTTTTATGATTTGGTCTAATCAGGATTCGCACGAGGCCAACTGCAGTCTACAATATTTTAAAAATATTTCTAAACATTTTCCTTGGCAAATAGTCCCATATCTAACCCTGGTAAATAGCATATTTTTTAATTAAAAAAAAAAATTAAAAAAAAAACTCCAAATAACTTTCAGGGAATTTCCTTCTCGCGAAGAGCTCAACTGACACTAAATGTCAGGCGTGTTGCGAGTTGCCTACAACAGTTAAGGAAAATGGGATGTGTGCCATTAATTCATTGCTGGGTATAAAAATTAAGGTGAAATGTGCCTTCAATCTGTAATCAAAGGAGAAACCAATAAATCAGATAGTCTGCTTTGCAAAGAGCTGTGAGCTTTTTTTAGCTTACAGAAACCAACTAGTTAAATAAGCTCCATAGTGAGGCGTTTCAGCAGTTTCTTGGCGAGAAGTTTCTCAGGTACTTTTCAGAAACTAGCCAACTGTATATGGTGAGTTCAGAGAATATTGAGAGTTTTATGAACAAAATTAGATCCAAAGCTCTTGAAGGCCTAGGAAGCAGAAAAGAATAAAGAATTTACTAAAATATTTTTTCTTTTTGTTAAGACCCCATTTTTGCCACGCTGTACAACATCGTCATTTCACACACGAATATGTAAATGAGTTTTTAAATTTATAAAAAAAACTTACGTTCAAACACTGGCAATTTGTCGATCTTCTCGTGCAATTTCTTCTGCACGTAGTGTGTATATTCAACAGGCTCCATAAGATATTGAGCCGGCACCCAGCCTTCTTCTTCGGTGATATTCTTCTTCACATACCACCACTCGGAACTGTGACGCCCAATGACGTAGACCTTCTCACCCTCAACCAAATTGATTGCCTCATCGTTGTCGGCAACATAATTGCAAATCGAATACATGGCGTTCTCGTCATCCGTTTCTGGCAAATAAAGAAGAAGTAACGGTAAAGGGAGAATAATTTCAAATTTATCAATGGAGACTCACCTTCAATATGCGCTTCGCGTGTGATATTCAAAGAAGCGCCCTCTGTTGGTGTATAGTGTAGAAAAGACAAAGAAAAGTTAAGGTGAATATACACGAAGAGAGAGAGGATATTTATCGATTATTTATACACATGAATGGTTAATGGAGCAAAACACGTATTGAGCATGAGTACACAGAGAGAGAGAGAATGGGTAGACATGATACTAAATACTAAATATATGTATTTGTGCATAACTGCCGTTACCTCGCGTTGTCACGCTGTTATCATATAAGCCTGTCAGTTTAAATTAATTAATTTATAAAATAATTGTGATTCATGTTTATTTATTTTAATGCCAAGCATAGAAATGTTCAAATGTGAAGTTAAGAATTTTTTCATAAAAAATTATTACTAAATTTAAATAAATTGTTCTCATCATACTGACCTTCATTGAAGATTTGTTGCACAACCTTTCGCTTCTTCTTCAAGGTGAACGAGTCTTCATCGTATGTCACCGAATGGCTCTTGGGTCGTCGCAAACCAATCAAAAACTGTTCCTCTTCCTCGTCTTGTATCGAGTATCTAGGCTTGGCTGGCTTTTTGGGTTTAATTGTGAAATCGAAATCGTCTGGTGGCAATTCTTCAACTTGATACTCTTCGGGCTCTTCTACATCATACATTGTATCTTCAATGCTACTATCGTCACGTATCTCCTCGATGATAGGTCCTTCGTCATCGTCATAATCTTCGTAGATCTTGATTTTGGCTTCATCAGCCGCTTCGGAATATGTTTTGGTAATGGGTTTCTTCAATTTTACTTTGCCGGACATAGAGATCTCCTCCTCAGCATAGGAATCCAATGCAATATTGAATTCTTGATCGACATCTTCTTTAGTTTTAATTATTTTGGGGCGGAATGTAACATTTTCAACCTCCGTGTACTCGGGTATTTCAACACCCTTCTTGCGTTTCTTCAATTTTTTAATTGTATATTCTTGTTCATTTTCTTCGGTAATTTGCAATGGTTTCGGTTTTGATTTTGTTTCTACTACAAAGTCCTCGATGTCTTCACCCTCTTCATATTCCTCTTCCCGTCTGATAGAGAGTTCAGCGGCCGCTTCATCGAATACCATTGGTCGTGATGGTCGTTTTGTCAAGACGGTTGCCGCTTCAGCTACATCTTCATTTATCTGTCGTGGTTTCTTTAGTGACATACTGAATTCTTCTTCTTCATGTTCTTCCACAGTTGGCTCGTATGGTTTCTTCGGTTTTCTGCGCATAACAATTGCCTCTTCGACGATTTCTTCTTCTTCGACTTCAACTGGTCGCTCTTCGATGACTTCCTTTGTTATTTTCAGTTCATCAGCCGCTTCTTCGATCACTGGCTTTGGTTTCTTCTTCTTTTTCAATGCGACAGTTTCGTCGGCAGTTTCCGGTGCTGCTTCCTTTTGTTTAGGCAGCTTGACGTCGACAGCGAACTCTTCTGTTTCGACCTGTTTGGGTTTCTTGGGCTTGAGCACAACGTCAACTTGTACATCTTCTGGTACTTCTTCCGGCGCAGGTTTCTTTAATTTTACTTCAACCTCTTCAGCCGTTTGCTCCTTTGGCTTCTTGGGTACAAAGACTTCTTCGATTTCCTCAACTTCCTCAACAACAGGTTCGGGCACCACTTCTTCCTCCACTTGTACAGTGAATTCAGCTGCGGCTTCCTCCTTTGGCTTCTTTTGTTTTTTCTTCACAACCTTAAGTTCTTCCTCGACTTCTTCTACCTTCTTTTTCGGTTTTAAAGTAACTTCCGCTTCGGGTTCTTCAGTTATTTCTGGTTTAATTTGTTTCTTTTGTGGCAAGGTGACTTCTTCTTCGAGTACTTGTTCGGGCAGAGGCGCAGTTTCCTTAAGCTTAATTTCGTATTCCTTTGGCTTTTCCTCAGGTTTCTTTTCTACAACTTCTTCTATCTCTTCTACCTCCTCTATTACTTGCTCTTGTGGTACAACTTCTTCAATTGTTACCTTGAGTTCAGCAGCCGCTTCTTCAGGTTTCTGTTCCTTTTTAGACTTCTTCTTAATCTTAACCTTCTCTTGCACCTCTTCCGTTGGTTGTTTTGGTGTAAGTGTAACCTCAGCTTCTGGTTCTTCTGTAACTTGTGGTGCTGGTTTCTTTTTCTTCGGGAGTGTCACCTGTTCTTCAGAGACTTCTTCCATTGGTTTTTCAGTTTCCGTTACCTTAAACTCATATTCCTTCGGTTTCTTTTCTTCTGGTTGAGGTTGAATTTCCTCCACAACCTCTTCGATTTCTTCAACGACCTCCGGAGCAGATGGAACTTCCTCCGCAATAGTTACCTTTAGTTCAGCTTGAGCTTCTTCAACTTTAGGTTCCTTTTTCGGTTTCTTTTTAATTTTGACTTCTTCCTGAACCTCTTCGGTTGGTTTCTTGGTTGTCAGTGTCACTTCTGCTTCTGGTTCTTCTGTAACTTGCGGAACTGGCTTCTTTTTCTTTGGCAGTATTACCTGTTCTTCAGAGACTTCTTCCATTGGTTTTTCAATAACACTCTCTTTCACTTTAATTTCGTATTCTTCGTATTCTTCTTTCACTACTTGAGGTGCAGGTTTGATTTCCTCTTCTTTTTCTTCTTCCACAACTACTTCTTCAATCTCAGGCACGGCCGGAACCTCTTCAATAACACTAACCTTTAATTCGGCTTCAGCTACATCTTCTTGTGGCTTCTTCTTTGGTTTCTTTTTGATTTTAATTTCTTCTTCAGCCTCCTTAACCGGTTCTTTTGTGGTCAGCTTAACTTCTACTTCTGGCTCATCTTGTACTTGAGGTACAGGTTTCTTCTTCTTTTGTGGAATGCTAACTTCTTCTTCGGTGACTTCTTCCTTAGGCTTCACAGCTTCACTTTCAGTTACTCTGAACTCATATTCTTTATGCTTTTCTTCTTCCATGACCACGGGTACAGGCTTTACTTCCTCTACTTCCTCGACCACCTCCTCAATTTCTTTGACAACGGGTACTTCTTCAACAACGGTTACTTTAAGTTCAGCTGCTGCTTCAGTCTCTTCTGGCTTCTTCTTGGGTTTCTTCTTGATTTTGATTTCTTCCTGAACATCCTCGGTTGGTTGCTTTGTTGTCAATGTAACCTCTGCTTCTGGTTCTTCTGTAACCTTAGGAACTGATTTTTTCTTCTTTGGTAGGACAACTTGTTCTTCAGTCGTTTCTTCTACAGCTTCAGTTTCTTGAATTTTAACCTCATAAGTGGCTGGCTTTTCCTCCCCTTGCTCTTCTATGACTGGCGCGCTTATTTCAGGTTGGGTTTCTTCTTCAACAGCCTTGGGTACTTCTTCAACAACCTCAACTTTGTGATCCTCCTTGGCTTCCTTCGGTTTCTTCACCTTTTTCTTGACCACAGATACTTCTTCAGTGATTTCCTCCTTTGGTGTTGTGGTGATAACCTTCACCTCTTGTACTGGCGCTTCTTCGATAATTTCTTCTACCTTAGGTACTTCTGTTTCTTCGACAGGTACGGGCTTGGGTTTTTCTTCTGGCACGGATTCCTTAATACCAATAACATATTCTTTCGGTTTTTCTTCTGTCACAATCTTTTCGGGTACGGTGGTAATCTCTTTTACCTCTTCCACCACTTCTGCGGGTTGCTCTTGTAATTCCTCGGTAACTTTCACCTTCATTTCAACTTCTTGGGTATCTGTAGGTTTCTTTTTCGATTTTTTGGTCTTGATCTTGGTCTCCTCTACAACTACATCTGCTGGTTTGCTTTCCTTAATAACAAACTCGGCTTCAGGCTCCTCTTTTGGTTGTTCAACAATTTCCTTTTCTTCGACTGTGAACTCGGCCTCGGGAATTTCTTCTTCGACTTGAGATTCCACAACGTCTATTTCGTATTCTTTAGGCTTTTCTTCAGCAGCTGGTGCTTTGGTTATAACTGCTACTTCTTCTTCTTTTTGTTCGAAAACTTCTTCTTTCGGAACCTCAGATTCAACAATCTTGATTTCATGAACGGCGGCAGCCTCATCCTTTGTTTTTGGTTTCTTCGGCTTTTTCTTAATAGCCACCTCAGTTTCGACCTCTTCTATGGGCTTGGGTTCTGTCAAAACTACCTTAGCCTCAAATTCTTCAGGTGTCTCTTTCTTTGGTTTCTTCTTAATAGAGAAGGTTGCGCCATCTGGCTGATCATCTTCTTCAACAGCTTGGGGAGCCACTTCTTCTACCACGCCAACCTTATATTCCTTAGGAGCCTCAGTAACTTTCGGCTTTTTAGGTTTCTTCTCCTTGACTTCAGCTTCCTGTACTTCTTTCACAGGTTCAATAACCTCAGCTTCGATATCTTTTGTGGTGATTTCGTATGTTGGGAAGTCTTTTATTACTTCTTCCACAATGGGCTGAGGCTTTTCAGGCTCCTCTGGTACTTCTTCAACAGGTTGTTCTACAATTTCTTCAGCTTCTGTTTCGGTTATCTTAAATTGATAGCTCTTTGGCTTCTTCTTCTTAGTCACCTCTTCTGTGATGATATTTTCAACCACTTCTTGTTCAGGGATATCTTCTTTAATTTCTTCAACGACAGGCACATCCTTGACTACAGTTTCTTCTTCTGGTTTTTTCGTTGGCTTCTTCTTTTTCACACTGACCTTAGCAAGTGGTTCTTCGGGTGTATCAGATATCTCCCTAACTTCCACTACGGCTTCTTCTGTCGGGATTTCTTCGGGCTTCTCAGGTTGTTCGGGCAACACTACTACCTCTTCTGATGGCAGCTCTATTTCTTCGGGCTCTGTAACCGTGTACTCATATTCCTCTGGCTTTTGTGGTTTGGGCTTCTTCTTGCGTGTAACAACCCTTTCTTCCACTACTTCCTCGACTGTGACCTCCTTCTGATCGTAATCAATAACGCGCACTTTGTGCTCTTCTGGTGCCTCTTCAGGCTCAGTGACAGTTGTTGTAATTTTGTATTCAATTGGTGTTTCTTCAATTACGTCTTCTTTGGGAACCTCTTCAACCACTTGTACTTCCGCCAATGGCGCTTCTTTAGGCTTCTTCTTCTTTATTTTGACTTCGGCAGGTTTCTCTTCAGCAGGCTGTTCTGGTAGAGTCACTTGCTCTTCGGTAACAGAAATTTCATATTGTTCTTCTGGTCTTTCTTCCACAACTTCTTCCTGCTGTTCTTGTGGTTTCTTTGCTTTCGGTTTCTTTTTCTTTTCTGGCTGCTCCTCTGTCTCAGGAACCGGTGCTTTCTCAACTTCTTCTTCAGTGGGCACCACCGTCACTTCTTCTTCGGGGGCTTTCGTAATCTTTTCTTTCTTAACAGGCTTTAGTTTAGTTTCCTTCTTTTTCTCTTCGGGGGCTTCACTCTCGGGTATACGGAATTTGACCTCATCCTCGGGAGCCTCTTCTTGTTCTTTAGGTACACCGGGCACTATCTGAGTTACGTTAACTTCTGGTTCAGGCTTAGATTTTGGTTTAGGCTTAGGCTTTTGTTTCGGTTCCTTCTTTTCTGGTTTTGGTTCTTCAGGCATTTCGAAGGGTTGCAATTCCTCCTTTTCATACTCTGGTTGTTCGAAATCTGTTGGTTCGAATGGTTGCAATTCATATGTTGGCTGCTCTGCAGTCTCTTCGATTACTTTCACAACTGCCTTCTCCTTCTTTTTCACAACAGTTTCTTCAGCGACCACAGCCTCTTGCGGTTTAACTGGTGTCTTCTTCAAAGTGACACTTTCCGGTTGCTCCTCAACGATAGGCTTCTTCTTACCCTTGCCGATCTTGAGCTTAGCTTCATCTGGCTTTTCTTCTTGCTTTGGCACTTTCTCAGGTTTTTTATATGGCGTCTTCTCTTCAACTTCTTCTTCACTGCTCACATACTTCTCATATTTCTCCAATTGAGGCTTCTCTAAATCATCTTTAATTGGCTTCAACTTCTTTACTTTGCGTGGTTTGAATTTCAAAACCTCCTCGGCTTCTTCAATATTACGCGAAAGATCGCCAGTTTCGCGTACTGCACCGATTTCGGTTATTTTAGGTACGAGTAGCTCCGGTGGGTATTGAACCTCCTCTATGCGACTCTTCAGTTTGAATTTAGGCAATTGCACAGTTTGTTCCTCCACCGCTTTGGGCTTACGCTTGGCTGGTTTCAGTTTAATCGATTGCGGCACCTCGGCTGCCTCAACAATCACCACCTTGGTTGGTTTCTGATCTTTACGTATAATTTTCTCTGGCTCTATATTGGCAAATTCTGGCTTAACCCTTTCAGGTTTCTCGAATTCGAACTTTTCATATTTCTCAAGTTCGGTCTTCTCAATTTCCTGTTCCAGCAATTTTTGTATGATAAGATCATGTTCGTCTAACTTCTTTTTCACTGGCTTCTTTTTCTTTTTAGGCTTCTCCTGTTCACCGACTGTAGGCGCTTCAACTTCATCCTCCTCTGGCTGCTCCTCCTCGATGACATCAATTGGATGGGCTTCTACTTCCTCGGGCTCTTCTTCTATAATTCTCACCTGTAATGGATGTTCTTCTGGTTGCTCTTGCTCTTCTTCTGTGGGCTCCTCTTCCAAGATGCTGACAATGTAATCCTTATGTACCACCGTTTCTTCTCCTAATATACATACATATACACATGAAAAATGTATAACGTGAGTACAAAAATATGAAATTTAATAAAAGAAATTTGGAAAAAAAAAATTTGGTTTGTATCCATGTGAAAAGGCTCGTTTACATATATACAGCACAAAATATATAACTAAAATTATTTTCATTATTTTTTTTTTTTTTTTTTTTTTTAGCTATGGATAACGAGGAAAACGAAGCTGGACGGACAAAAGGGGCATAAATGCAATACAGAAATGCGTAGAGAGTGGTGGCTATTAATCATAATAGAGGGAAGATAATATAGCAATCATTTTTATGATACTCACTTATCACATATAAATATTATATGGTATTAATTATTAATTATATAGGTATGTAACACACATAGACTTACAAATTTATTTTCTAAAAGACGGTACACAATTTTTTTTTTGTAAATATTTTTTGTTTTCAACAGTTAAAACGAAAATTAAGCAGGACGAACACTAAGAAGTACAGGACTAAGAATAAGTGCAATTCGACAGTTGGCGCAATCGTTATAACGGGGTTATAAGAAAAATCCAAGTTTAAAACATACATTTGAAGAAATAACAGATTTAAAGGTAATTAAAGTAATATAACAAAATGTGCTTGTGTTAAGGCAAAAATGATTTTTTGTGAGAAACTTCAGTATTTAATCAGAATAAAAGAGAGTTTCAGTATTTGTTTGAAATTTTAAATGCCATCCAGGTTTCATATTTAATTTTAAAGTTTATTATTTTCAAAATGTTATAACTAAATTTAAATTTACTCGTATTCATTATAAGAAATTTTTAACAATGAAAGGCTTAATATAAAAAATTCGGAACGTAAATGTTTCTTTCTGAAATGTTATTAAAGTCTGTATTATCTTTTCCAGATTTATCATGCTAAATAAATCTAATTTTTTTATATTTTTTAATAACGAAATCTTTGCAACCTTTTGTTTGATTTTAATTTTTTTAAGTTTTAAGGTTTTTCTTTTAAAGCTTTTTTTCAATTTTGTATTATTTTATGGCATTGTTAAATATACTTAAAATATTAGTCTCCATTCAAAATCAATGAGAAACCTAGAAATTAACCAATTAAATTAAAATTATAAAATTCTTCTAAATATTTATTTCAATTAATTGATTAAAGATTTTTAATACCACTTGAAGCTTTTTATAAATTAATTTTAAATATTTTAACATAATTAAAAAACGCTTTTTTTAAACAAATATTAAATTTCAGCTTTAAATTATTTTCATAAATATGTCTTAAATATTATATATATATATATATTAAAATAACGGTTAACTTTGAAATAATGCATTTAAAAATTTAAATAAGTTGTTTTAATTAAAAATTAAACTATTTGGGATTATCGAAAAGTATAATGCTCAATTTATGTTAAATAGTTATAATTAGTACTTTTAACTTTAACTAAAATAAAAAAAAACTTTCAAACTTTCAAAGTAATTAATTAAAATATAAATGTAACATTAAAAATAAAAATAATAATAGCAATAATAATAATAAGTATTTTTATTATTTTAAAAATACAAATAAAAACTAATATTTAATAACAACAAAAATAATAATAATATTAATAATAATAATAATAATAATAATAATAATAATAATAATAATAATAATAATAATAATAATAATAATAATAGCAAAATCAATAATAGAAACAAAAATAATAGTAATAATTATTATATTATAATAATAATGTCAATAATGAAAATAATAATAATAATAATAATGACAAAAATAATAGTGACAAAAAAGTAATAAAAATAATAATAATAGTAATAATATTGATCATAATGCAATAGTTCATTTCATATTATTAATAATTTAATTAAGAATTAAATGCTATTTACGGTTACATAAAAATTGTAATTTGAATTTGTTTGAAATAACTTTTAAACACTTTTGATAATTTACAAAAAAAAAGTCATTTTATAAAAGAAATGCAGATTTAAAAAATGAATTTCTTTAAATAAGCAAATTTTTAATTTTTTGTTACAATTATTTAAAAAAAAAAATTATATATAAATATATAAAAGATGTTATTATATACGTGTATAATTATTGTATATAGAAAAGTTTTCTCTTCAAACTTTTACTTTTTTATTTACTTTACTTTTTGGTTTGAAAATGTCAAAATTTCTTTTAATAAAAATAAAGTCTGTTTGAGATCAACGAACCTAATTTAATTTTTCTCTCTAATTTAGAAAAAAATAGATTAAAATCGTGGAATATTTTTGAATATTATTTTTTCTAATGCTAATGCATTGTTTCTAGCTTTCAAATTTCAACTAGAAACTTTTATTTTCAATTTCAATCAACTTCTATTTAAATTTAATTTAAAATATATTGTATTTTCAATTATTTTTTATTACCTGATAAATAGTTTCATTTAATTGGAAATTAAATTATATTTGGGTTCTGGGAAAGGTCTAACCACGAGATTAAAATAAAAATTAGTTAATTAAATTTATAAAATGGTTAGAAACATAATTTTTTTTAATTTAAATTCTGCGTAAAATATCATTGAAATTTTGAGCTTTTCTCTGTTTGAATAATAGTTTTTTGAGATTTTTCAAATAAGAGATAACTCAAATAAAAATTTCAAAATTCATAATATATTGTATTATAAACGTATGTATAGAAAATTTAACTTGAAAATATTACACTTATTTTTCTTACTTTTAAGCATCATTCGGAGCTTAGAATTTAAATTCAATATGATATTTAGGAAAAGTTTTAATATCTTCCAAATAAACCAAATTCATTTTTTTTGTTTTTTTTATGTTTGGTCATATATTTCGTGAAGTTTTTTAATGCCAACTGAAGTTTCTAAACTTTGATTTATTTGAAATTAATGTTAAATAGTTTTTAATAATATTTATATTTTGTTTAACATATAAAAAAAATTAATTTCATTTATTCAATTTTTATAAATATTTCTTGAATGCAAATTATGATATATTATTATTTTAAATATATTTAGTTTAAAAATATATTTTATTTATTTATTATTATTATTATTTAGTTTTTGGATTCGGTTTCGCGTGAGATTTTGTGTGAAAATTGTATATTTATATATTTTTTAATAAATATTTTTTTTGTTCTAAATAATTTGGGATTAAATTTTAATTATTTAGTTTTTTTTACCTAAAATATAAAAAATCAAAATTATTTTAGTTGATCTTTAAGGTATTAAAAAGCAAAAACTATATTATATTATTAAAGATTATGCTATTATTTCTTTTTTCTTTACTAATTTCTTTTTTATTTTGTTTAATAATACTGAGTACTGGAATGCTGAATTATTTTTGCCTTAAACGGAGCAAGCTTTTCCGCACATAAAATTCTTTATTGTTTCCTAAAGTTATTATGTTATGGATTTTTGTTTTTTTTTGTACATAAAATGTTTAGTATTTAATTATAATATTTTGGGAATTCAGTAGCAAAAGAGAGGGAGAAAATAAATATTGTATGCACAGCAGATAGACAAAAAAAAAAAAAAGTGGTATAAAGTTGCGTGGAATTTGTTGCAAGTAAGGAAATACATAGTAAGTAGAGAGTATAAATGTAGTGGTAGTATGTAGTACGTATATAACGAAGGTTGTGAGCATAGCAACATTTGCTGGCGCCAGCAATAAGAGTCGCAAATGCACTTACTTGTATCATCAGTGAGTTTTTGTTCTTTGGGCTTAGGTTTTATTGTTTTTGGTTTTGTATCCGATGGTGTTGTTGTTGTTGTTGTTTCAGTGTCCTCTAATTGTGTTTCTTGTTGTGGTTGTTGTTTAGGTTGTTTTCGTGTTTTTGGCTTAGTGATTTCTTCAACTACACTAACAACCGCGTCTGTAGTGTCTGTAAGTGGTGTTTCGTCGATTTGTGTAATCTGTTCAGTAGGTATTGGTGTTGGTGTTTCACTGTGTTTCTTTGATTTCTTAACCTTTTCTGGTTTCTTTTCACTATCTACAGGTGTTTCTTCAAGTATTTCCGTTTGTTGTACGGTGTCGTGTGGTTTAGTGGCGATTTCTTTCTTTTCTTTTGGTTTCTTAACGATTGGCAGATCTGGTTTCTCGTATTGTTCTAGTTCTACTTTTGGTATTTCTTCTTCAATTAATTTCTGTACATATTCGTCGAGTTCGTCCTTTTTAATTTTCTTAATTGTCTTTTTGGGTTTCTTTGGTTTTTGTTCTTTGACTTGTACAGTTTCTTCGGGTTGTTGTTCTTCTTCGTTAGCAGTTGGCACGGCTTCCGGTTCTTCGGTTATTATGACAGTCGCTTCTGGACTTGTATCGTCTTGTACGGTAATTATATTTATGGTGCTATCCTTTTTGCCCTTTTCCTTCTTTTTCAGTGTACGTTTGGTGGTGACTTGTTGAATTGGTTCACCTGTTTGATCTGTGATCTCTTCAACTTTCACTTCAGCTGGTGTTTCTTCAGTTATGACAACTGGTTCTTCAGTTGTTTCGATTTCGATGACTTTAATTTGTGCTGCCGGTACATCGGTATCTGGTACTGGTTGCTCAACAATGCGCACTTCGGCAAGTGGATGTTCCTCGGCGGATTGTTGTGGTTTCTTTGGTTTCGGTTTTTTCTTCGACTCTGGTTTGGTGGTTGTTTCTGGTGTTTCGTCATCGACGGTGACATCGAAATGTCCTTCGGTTGCCTTTTTAGCTTTCGGTAATGTTTCAAATTCAATTTTTTCATATTTTTCTAGTTCGGTTTTTGGTATTTCCTCTTCGATGAGTTTTTGTATGTAATCATGTAAATCGTCCTTTTTAACTTTCTTGACCTTCTTTTTCTGTACTTTGGGTTTAACACTTTCCTCTATATTTTCTTTTTGTGTCTCGATGATTGTTACTTCGGCTTCGGGCTGATCAGCTGTTTGTACTTCAATTATCTCGATAACATCCTCCTTGGGTCCTTGCTGGCGCTTCAGCTTGCGTTTGGTTACTATTTGTTTTTGAACTTCACCCTTGTCGTCCACAATTTCTTTGACTTCCGTTTTAGTTTCAATCTCCTCAACCTGCATTGGTTCAGCGGGCACATCCTCAGGTTTATCTTCTTCAGCTGTTGTGATCTTCTGCTTCGCTGGTTTCTTTTTCTTTGGTTTCTCATGTTCTTCGATTATTTTAACTTCGAAACTTTCCATCTCTGTGGTAGGTTTATCGTCAATATCTTCGCGTACATTTTCTGGTACTTCAACCACTTCAGCAGGTACTTCCTCTGGCCTTTCTTCATCAATAACCTTAATTTTATGCTTTGTTGGTTTCTTTTTCTTTGGTTTTTCTTCATCTTCCTTCGGTTTAACTTCAAAGTCTTCGGTTTCGGACGTAGGTTGATCCTCGGTTATCTTTATTTCATCAGATGGAATTTCTTCGACCTCTTTTGGTATATCTTCTGGAATCTGAATCACTTCAGAAGGTACCTCTTCAGATTTTTCTTCTTCCTTGACTTTAATCTTTTCTTTGGTAGGCTTCTTTTTCTTCGGTTTTTGTTGTTCTTCTGTTGGTTGAACTTCAAAATCTTCGGTTTCAGATATAGGTTGCTCCTCGGTAAGCTTTATTTCTTCAGAAGGCACTTCCTCAGGCCTATCCTCATCAATTGATTTAATCTTTTGTTTGGTAGGCTTCTTTTTCTTTGGTTTCTCTTTTTCTTCCTTTGGTTTAATTTCAAAATCTTCGATTTCAGTTGTAGGTTGATCGTCATTTATCTTTATTTCCTCAGAGGGAATATCTTCAACATCTTCAGGTATCATTTCTTGCACTGAAATTTCCTCAGAAGGCACATCCACTGGCTTGTCCTCTTCAACGACTTTAACCTTCTGTTTAGCTGGTTTCTTTTTCTTTTGTTTAGCATGTTCTTCAGTTACTGAGACTTCATAGCCTTCAGTTTCAGTTTCAGGTTGTTCGTGGATAATCTTTATTTCCTCGGTGAGATCTTTCTCACTTTTATCTTCTGGAGCCTGTTCTTGGATTGCGATTTCGTCGGAAGGAACCTCTTCTGGTTTGCCCTCTTCCACAACTTTAACTCTCTGTTTGGCTGGTTTCTTTTTCTTTGGTTTTGTCTCTTCTTCAGTTACTTTAACTTCATACTCATCTGTTTCGGATGTAGGTTGTTCGGCTTCCTGAATTGTAACAACATCAGAAGGCACCTCCTCAGGTTTATCCTGTTCCATTATTTTAATCTTCTTTTTAGTTGGTTTCTTTATTTTTGGTTTTGGTTGTTCCTCCGTTGTTGTTATTTCTAAATCTTCCGTTTCAGATGTCGGTTGTTCTTCCGAAATTTTTACTTCTTCCTCCGGAATTTCTTCGCTTTCATCTTCAGGCGCTGTTTCTTGTACACCAATAGTGGCAGAAGTTTCTTCTTCAGGTTTACTTTCCTCAATGACCTTAACTTTCTGCTTGGTAGGCTTCTTTTTCTTTGGCTTAGTATCTTCCTCAATTGTTGTTATTTTATATTCTTCTTCTTCAATTGTTGGTACTTCGTCTTCCACAATTTTTATTACGTCAGAAGGCTCTGGTTTATCCTCGACAACTTGAGAGTCAGTATCCTTAACAACTATTTCAGCCAATTGTGTGTCCTCGGGTTTCTCCTCTTCTGTTACTTTTACCTTTGATTTGACGGGCTTCTTTTTCTTGGGCTTAGGCTCCTCTTCCACTATTTTCATTTCATAATCAATATCGTCGGCTTGTGGTTGGTCTTCCTCTAGAACTATCGTAGTGAATTCATGGATTTTCTCTTCATCTTTAACCACTTCATCTTCGATTGGTTTGACTTTGAGTTTTGGTTTTTTCTCTTGTTTTTTGGGAGCCTCTGTAATTTCGTCGTGTTTATATTCCTCGAAAATTTCAGCGGGCATTTCTTCTACTATTTTCGCTATATATTCAGGAATATCTTTTGTTTTGATTTTCTTTGTTTTCTTTTGCTTGACTTGTACCTCCTGGGGCATATCATCCTCCTTGTTGGGCATAGTGGCTGTTACAGTGATTTCAGCTTCATCATTTTCCTTATCGTGTACTTCGACAATATCTAGCATAACTTCTTCAGGTCCTTTGGAGTGTTTGACCTTCTTCTTTTTCACAATTTTTTCCTTAACCTTACCAGATTCATCGGTAATCTTTTCCTTTTCAACCGTCTCCTCGATTACTTCCACCTTGTATTCTACATCTGTGATTTCCTGCGGCGCAGTTTCGGTAACAGACACAGGTAGTTTCTTGACCTTCTTCGGTTTTTTAGGAACCTCCTCTTCTTTTATTGTAACTGTGAGCTCTTCTTCTGCTTGTGCTGGTTGTATGTCCTCTTCTTTCACTACTACATCCCTGGAGGGTTTCTTTTTTGGTTTCTTCGATTTTACCTCTTCAATATCAGTTACGTCGACCTCTAAAGATTCTGGTTGTTCTTCAGCGGGTATCTCTTCTTTTACTGTAACTTCTTTTTTTTCAGGTTTCTTCTTCTTTTTCAGTTTTATTGGTTCTTCCAAGTCGACTCTTTCATACTTTTCTAATTCGGTTTTTGGGATGTCCTCCTCAATTAGTTTGTAGATGTATTCAATGAGGTCGTCCTTTTTAACTTTCTTTATTTTCTTTGGTTTATCAACTTGAGGCTTATCTTTCACCGGCGTGTCCGGCACTTTTCCTATCTCCTCAATTACAACAGTTACTTCTGCAATTGGTGAATTGTCTAATTGTGTTTCTATAATTTCTATTATCTCTTCTTTCGGTCCAACTGCTTTCTTAATCTTACGTTTCTTTGTGGTTTGTTTTACTTTTTCGCCAGTTTCGTCGATAATCTCCTTAACATCTTCTGTTGTTTCAATCTCTTCAACTACCACCTTAAAATCTTCTACTGTTTCTGATTCTACCGGCTGCGATAATGTAACCTCTTCCATTGATGTTTGTTCTTCTGGTGCTTCTTCAAACGATGATAAGCGTATTATAAATTCTGGACTCTCCTCATCCGGTACCTCTGTGGTCGATTTCTGCTTTTTGATTTTTTTAATTGTCTTTTTGGCAGGTTTTTCAGGCACTGTTGTTTCAGTTATTTCAGCCTCGTACTCATCCGCTGTTCTTAAAATCTTATCGGGCTTTTCCTCTTCGGAAGTGAAATGTTCGACAGGCTTATCTTCACCAGGCTGGATGTCTTCTTCAGTGAGTTTGACTTTGTGCTTTTTAGGTTTAGAGGCACGCTTCTTAGTGACCTCCTCCACTTGTTTTACTTCGTCCTCTTCCTCACTTTGTGGAATTATTTCGCGTTGCACATATTCTTCGATGATGTTTACTAAATAGTTTTGTACATCCTCCTTTGGAATTTGTTTTGGTTTTTTCACAATCTTTCTAACAGGCTTAGCTGGATGTTGCTCCTGAGGTGTCACTTGTACTTCGTCAATTTCTACAATTGTGACTTCCGCAATTGGTTGATCTTCACCTTCGGCTATTTCAGTTATTTCAAATACCGCCTCCTTAGGTCCTTGCTTACGTTTAATCTTTCGCTTCTTAACGGTCTTTTCTTTTACTTCGCCAGTTTCATCTGCCTCCTGGACAGTCGTAACGGTTTCTTCTAATTCTTCCAAAGTAACAGGAGCTTCCTCAATCGGCACATCCTTGGGCTTCTTAGGTTTCTTCACCTTGACTGGTCGATCCTCAATAATCTCCTCATCGAATTTCATTGGTTCCACTTGATCATCTGTAACACCTATTTTGTACTCTGGATGATCCTGTGGTGCCGGCTGTTCTTCCCCAATCTCCTCAATTGGTACTTCTTCAATTTCCTCTTCCTTTTCACTTGGTATTTCTTCCACGTCAAATTCATGAATTGTCACAGCCGCGCCATCGACAATTTCGACTGTTTTCTTGTGATGTTTCGTCTTCTTTTTCGGTTTAGTTTTCTTTGGTGTTTTACCAAATTCGATTGGTGTGAATTCCTCCAATTCCGTTTTGGGTATTTCCTGCTCGATTAACTGCTGTAAGTATTCATCGAAACTATCCTTAGGTGATTTCTTCTTTTTGATCTTCTTCGTTACTTTAAGTGGCTCTACCACTTCCTCAGTGAAATCAGTAGGAGTGACCTCGGTTGTTGAGACTGTTATCTCGACTTCGTCCGGCTTATTTTCTTCAAATGTCTCTACAACTTCAATAACGTATTCCTTAGGTCCTTCCTTCTTCTTAAGTTTACGTTTCGTTGTTGTTTGGATTGTGACCTCGCCTTGATCGTCAACGACTTCTGTGGTGGTAACTTCCGGGGCTGATTCTTCAATTCGTACAACATATTTCTCAATGGGTTGCACTTCCTTAGGCTTCACACGTTTTACCTTCTTTGTTTTCTTAACATCCTTTTCTTTTACTTCAATCTGGAATTTATCCACAACTGGACTTTCTGTTACATCAGTTTCTTCCTCGGATTGCACTTCGACTTCGTCTGGCTTGTCCTCTTGTCTTTCTGGTTGTGTTTCGACAATCTTGTATTGTTTGGATTTCTTAGGCCTCTTAATTTTCTCTTCGATTTTTTCTTTAACAGGCGTAACATCCTCGGTTGTCGGAGTGTCTTTGTCTTCAGGCGCATCTTCCACGACAGTGGTTGTGAAGAAAATATCCTCTTCCACTGGCTTTTTAACTTCTTCCTTAATTTCTGTTTCCTCTCTAGGTTGTATTTCAAATTCCTCTGGTATTTCTTCAACAACTTTCATTATATAATCTTTGAGTTCTTCCTTTCTGACCTTTTTGGTAGTTTTCTTCGGTTTACGTTTTGGTACCGATGGTAATATTTCTTCAGTCTTCTCGACGTCCTCAGTTGTTATGACTGTTACCTCGGCAACTGGTTCATCCTTGGCATGTGTCTCGATAACTTCCACGAGGTAGACCTTTGCACCCTTCTTCTTCTTGAATTTCCGTTTTGTTATTGTTTCTTCTTTAACTTCACCGCTCGGTTCTTGCTTTGTCACAATTTTCACATCCTCGGAGATTTCCTCAATGTGTACAAAATCGCCCTCAACGATTTCCGGTGCAGGCGTAATCTTTGTTGTAGTTACCGAGTCGTCTGCAACATTTTCTTTATCCTCTTCGATGGGTACAGTATCCTTAACTCCAACTGCGTACTCAGTTGTGGGCACTTCGGTAGGCTCTTCTTGGGCCTGTTCTTCTTTGGGAATTACCTTCTTCTTTGGTTTCTTTTGCTTAGCTGTTTCTTTTGGAATCGTTTCAACTATGTCTACTTCCAAAGCATCAGGTATTTCCAACACTGCCTTTTGTGGCGCTTTCTTTGCTTTCTTAGGCTTTTTCGGCTTACCATCTACGTCGATCTTTTCGTATTTTTCAAGTTCTGTCTTAGGAATTTCAGCGTTGATTAATTTCTGTATGTACTCATCCAATTCATCTTTATTCAGTTTCTTGGGCTTGCGCTTTTTCTCTTTAGTCACTGTTGATTCGGGTGTTAGCTCTTCTTCAACGTCAACAACAAGCACTTCATACAAAGTTTCCTTTGAGTCAGGCGTAGATTCGGTTGTTTCCACAATTTCGATCAACCGCTCTTCGTCACCCTTCTTGTGTAGGAGTTTCCGTTTCTTACGTACTTCTGTTTTAACTTTACCGTCGTCCTTAACCACAGTTTCTTCGATAAATTCCGGCTGTAATTCTTGTACTTTAACCTCATAGAAATCGATGGTGTCGAAATCATATACCTTATCTTCGGGTGCTTCAGTTAATTCAGCAATAAAGTCTTCCAGTTCTTCTTCTTTCATCAACTTGACGCGCTTCTTTTTCAAAGTTTTTGGTTTAGTACGTTTCTCAGGTACATCCGTTGTTGTTATGGTTACTTCAAAAGTGGGCACATCCCCTTCGGCTGTTGCTGGTATTTCACTTATTTCTATAATGTTCTCTTCAACAGGTGTTTCTTGTTTGATTTTACGTATCTTCTTCGTACGTTTCTTAATAACTTCAGGCGCTGTTGGCGCTGTGGGCTGTTCGGCGTCTTCGGGCGCCATTTCCAGTATTTCGATTTTGTGATATGGCTTCAATGTCACTCCTTCATCCTCATTTTCTGGCTTTTTACCTTGCGATTTTCGTAGCTTCCATTCCGGTTCTATAGTATCCTCGGTTTCCTTTGGTTTTTGTGGCTTAATAGCATATTCTATGGTCTCTGGTTTTGCTGGTGTCTTCTTCTTACGTTTGTACTTTGGTTTATCCGGTGTAATATCCGTTTCTGGTTGTGAAGCATCCGTGCCTTCGGATAGTACTTCATCTTCACTTGCTATCTCTTCGAAATCGAGAGGCTCGAACTGTATAGATGTATCACCAGCGCCGGGCTTGCGGCCACGCTTCTTCTTTTTCGGTTTCTCTTCTGTTGGCTTGTCAGGCATTTCTTCAACAATATCTGATTTATCTGCCTTAGATATTGGCTTCAATTTCACTTCCTCCGTATCGTCTACGCTCTCTGGTAGTTTACCTTTGCCCAGTTTCAATTTCTTAGGCACTTCAGTTGTTTCCACCTTTTGCAACTTCTTAGGTCGCTTATATTTCTCTACCTTCTCCGGTTGTTGCTCCTCAAGCGGTTGTGGAGCTTCACATGTTTCGAGATCAAGTATTTCAAGATCTTTTTCGGGCTTTTCACTGTGTTTAACCTTAACGCGTCGCTTCTTTACTATAACCAAAGCTTCCTCGATGTTTCGCGATAACTCACCACAGCCGCGTATTGGTTCCAAATCAGTTATGGTGGGCTTAAAGCAGTACGGTGCAAATGGTATGAAATTTATCCAGCTCTTCAATTTGAAATTCTTGAAAGCCGCTGTATCCTTCTTAGGTTTTTCTACCTTCGGTTTCTGTTTAGGCTTCTTGAGTTTCAACATTTGCGGGAACTCAGCCACCGATGTGATTTCAATTTGTCGCGATTTTTTCACCTCAACATTTTCCACTTTCATTGGTACTAATTTAATTGGTTTCGGCTTTGGCAATGTTTCACTTTGCGCCTTTTGCGGTTGCTCCATTTCTATGCGTTTATATTCTTGTAATACAGTTTTGGGTATTTCCTGTTCGATCAGGAATTGTATATATTCATCCAGATCATCTTTTTTCACCACCTTTTTGGGCTTGCGTTTTCTCTTTGTTACCGGCTTTTCTTCAACAGCCGCTTTGGGTGCACCAACCAACTCTTCAACCACATTTATTTCATGCATTGACGGTTGTGCTTCATCTACATCGTCATCATGATCCGAATGAACAACCACCACTGTACTCTCGTCATCCTCACCTTCTTCTTGTTTAGTAACAACTTCAATAACCTGTTCACGATCACCTATCTTTTGTTTAATTCTTCGCTTTTTAACCACAGTTACTTTGGGCTCAACCAAATCACCTTCATCTACTGTCACCTCACTCACTTCGACTGGTTTTTGTACTTCGTATACCTCTTCGGGCATATATTCAATCACCACTTCGTCGGGCAATTCGTCGATACTTTCGAATTGTTTTTGTGTAGTTGGTTTTCTAAGTTTATGTTTCGTTTTCTTAATTGTATCTGGTGTTTGTGTAATGTCTTCAATGACATCATCGGGTTCTGTAATTGTGTACTCTTTGCTATCTTGGTCTATACAAGAGAAAATTTGGGTCTATGTTAGCTCAGCACGGTAACGATAGCAGCTTTGTTTAATTTATTATTATTATTATTTTATATTTTTAATTATTCTTTTTTATTTCTAAATAATTTTTAATTAATTTCATTTTTCGTCTAACCTACTTATGTATGTATATACGTAAATATCAGTGTGTGCTGTCTTTATTCATCATTTTTACATAAATTTTATTTTGGAAATGTGCATTTGAACGCAATAGATTGGCCTTTAATTGTTTAAATAAATATTGGCAGAGGAATGTAAACCGTTTGTGCTTTTCTTTTCTATTTTTGGTTTTGTATGTTTCTCTATATAAAGCAGTGTTAGTCAATAATCTTATATATACATATATATGTGTATATAATACTATCTTCATTTCATTTGTAAATATAAAAAAAAAAATTAAATAAAGTCAGAAAAACCTCTATAAATCCTTATCGTTCTTTCTTTCTATAAATTATAATTAATCATAATTCTTTATAGAAAAATGTATGTATTGTATTATATTTAATATGGATAATAAATTCACCTGTGTATCCGTCGACCTCTACAATTTCAACATTCTTTATAGCAGTCTGATCCTCATACATAACCGGCTCAGTATCGCTAAGTACTTCCTCGACTACGATGCCTTCCTCCTCGGTTATTTTCTTATTTTCTGTTTCAATAACTGTTTCGCCATCCTCATTTTGTACCGATTTGAATGTGGTAACGAAAACGGGCTTTTCCGTTGTCAAGTGTTCGGGTGTGGGTTTGTCCACTAATATTGTTTTGTATTGATGAAATGTGAGATTTTTTGTTTTAGATTTTCAGTTAAAAAAGTTTGAGAAGTGATAGTATTTAGTAGTTGAAAAAAAAAAATCAGTAAATGTTAGTTGAAAATATCGAGCTCATATACATAGTATAGAATATGTGTTAAGCGAAAGTGTGTGTAATGCCGCTGTTGTGTTTTTGTACAGTGTAATCTTACCCTTAGTTTTGTGTTGTTTTTTAGATTTTCTTTCTGTCGTTGGTTTTGGTTTGGGTGTTTTCTCATCCTCTAACAAACTAATATCGATTATATCAGCAATACTATCATCACTAACGACACGTATGAGCGAGTAGGGCTCCTTTCCTTCCTCCTCAATGGTTTGTATTTGATAAAATTCTGGTTCAGGTGAAGCTTCTTTTTTGAATGTTCGAGTTTTTGTAATCTTTTGTTTTGGTTTTTTATTTTTCGCTACAATCTCCGAGATAATAATCTCTTCTGGCAATTCTTCGATTGGTAACGGTACATCTGTTTCATCCGCTGGCTTTATGTCGGGGAAGGGCTCGTCGTATTCTTGCACAGTAACTTTGGTAACGGGAATTTTTTCAAATTCTTCAATTGTTTCTACTTTAGTAATCTCCATTTTGGGTCCGTCAATTTTTTTAATAATCTTAGTCTTGATAACTTTCTTCGTTGGCGTGCCATCTTCGTTCTTTGATATGACAACCGATTTTTGTTCTGGCAACTCCACAACTGACACCTCGTCTGTGGGTTTCTGCACACGAATTCTTTTCTTTAAACGTGATTGTGATATAACTTCGACAAATGGTTTTTCTTCAACTGTGACAGTTGTTTTGGGTTGTTTGTCATCTTCTTCCACAGTTTCAATCTTGGTGATTTCTTCTTTATCACCCTTTACCTTTTTGATGACGCGTGTACGAATCTTCTTCTTCTTTGGCTTGCCATCTTCGGCGATAGTTTCAACCACACGCACCTCTTCGGGCATTTCTTTCACTTCTTCAGGTGCTTCCTCGGCCGGAGTTTCTTCAACGGTGACAGTGGTTTCGGGTACTTTGCCATCTTCTTCAACGGTCTCAATCTTGGTGACTTCTTGTTTGTCACCCTTCACCTTCTTGATGACGCGAGTACGTATCTTCTTTTTCTTTGGCTTTCCATCTTCGGAGATAGTTTCAACGACACGCACCTCTTCTGGAACTTCAATAACTTCCTCCAACGGAGTTTCTTCAACTGTGATGGTTGTTTTTGGTTGTTTGTCATCTTCTTCAACGGTCTCAATTTTGGTAACTTCGTGCTTGCCACCCCTCACCTTCCTGATGACGCGTGAACGTATCTTCTTCTTCTTTGGCTGCCCATCTTCAGAGATAGTTTCAACCACACGCACCTCTTCAGGCATTTCTCTTACTTCTTCAGGTGATTCTTCTACCGGAGTTTCCTCAACTGTCACAGTAGTTTCGGGTTGTTTGTCATCTTCTTCAACGGTCTCAATCTTTGTGATTTCTTGTTTGTCACCCTTCACCTTCTTGATGACACGAGTACGTATCTTCTTCTTCTTTGGCTGTCCATCTTCAGAGATAGTTTCAACCACACGCACCTCTTCAGGCATTTCTCTTACTTCTTCAGGTGCTTCCTCCACCGGAGTTTCCTCAACTGTGACAGTAGTTTCGGGTTGTTTGTCATCTTCTTCAACGGTCTCAATCTTGGTGACTTCTTGTTTGTCACCCTTCACCTTCTTGATGACGCGAGTACGTATCTTCTTCTTCTTTGGCTTTCCATCTTCAGAGATAGTTTCAACCACACGCACCTCTTCGGGTAATTCACTTACTTCCTCAGGTGCTTCCTCAACCGGAGTTTCTTCAACTGTGACAGTAGTTTCGGGATGTTTGTCATCTTCTTCAACCGTCTGAATCTTGGTGACTTCTTGTTTGTCACCCTTCACCTTCTTGATGACGCGAGTACGTATCTTCTTTTTCTTTGGCTTGCCATCCTCGGAGATTGTCTCTATTATGCGTATTTCTTCGGGCATTTCTGTGGTCTGTGCTTCATCATGAATAAGTGTTTTCTGTTGTTGTGTTTTGTGTTCTGTAGTGTGAGATTGTATCGGTGTGTCTGTGTGAGAGAATGGTTTTGGTTAATATGATAATGTTTCTTTGGTTTTTTTGGTGTTATACTAGAAGTACTAAACTGGTGTGTCATATGTGTTTTGTTTTCTAGATTTGGGGGCTCGATTGGGTGGTCGGAATAAGTAATACGCCATATATTAGAATTTTCCCTACTTATCAGTTCTAATCGTTTGTACTTACCGAAGGCGGTTTTTACACTTAGTGTTTCTACTTTATCTACTAGGTCTTTCATGGTTTCATGTATGTACTTAGGCTTTTCTTGTTTTAGACTAACTTCATCTCCTATACCTTCAACGATTGTGTGATATGCCGGTACTACTTCAACTGTAAGAGCCTCTATGGACTCCGTTTGCATTGTGATTAGTTGTTTAGGTATTGTGGTGTCTTGTACCGATAAATCTTTAGTGCTCTCATTAGCCATTTCTTTATGCTGTATGGGTAGTATGTGGCTGGGTTGAGCACTTGCTGTTTGCAGTTGTTCATGTGGATTTTGCTGTTGTTGTAATGTTTCTAACTTTGTTTCCGTCTCAAATTCAAGAACACTTGCTTGATCATATGTGATATGTGGCTGATATGTGCTTATGGCTTGATCAGTTTTAGTCCTTGTTGTAGCTAAAGTGTCTTCCGAGTTTTCTGATATGAATTGTGTCATTTGTATCTCTGTGCTTGTTGTTATAGTCTCTAGTGTTTCTGTAGCTATGCTACTTTGTGTAAAATCTGTGGCATGTGGCATCGTTTGTTCGTAAGTTTGCAACTCACTACCGGCTAAAGCATGTTGGGGTTGAACCTGCCACTTGGTCGTATCCGGTGTGGGTGTGTGTGTGTCTATAGTGTTGAGATAATCCTGTACGGTAGTTTGTTCTTGCAAATACGTACTATATTGTGGTGTTATGCTAACGTCTGCTTGCTGATCTTTATCACGCGTTATATCTTCGAGTTGAATGATGTTTTCGGTTATTGATGGCGGCGCATCAGTGATGGCCGTGTACGATGCGCTAGTATCTGTGACGCTTTGAAGAGCCTTTTGATCGTCAGGTTTTTTCAGTGTGGGCAAACTAGCGGTACTCTCATATGGAGTTTCTGTACTAACGCTAATGTTATGCTGTGCTGGTGTCTCGGCAATGGCATGCTCTTCTATCGGTTTATTGTCGGACAGGCGCTCCAGTGTCGGTTTGATCTCAACCTCATCAACCAATGGGACTTTCAGTTCGGGTAACACAATACTGCTTGCCAAACCTTCGACGGTTTGTGGCTTAAAATCACCCGCGTACTGCAGGCTTTCAAAAATATCCACTTCCGCTTTTTCGGCTGATTTCGTTTGTTCATACGGCTCCAGAGTGCTGGGTAATAAGTGTTGTGTTGGCTCGTCAGTTGTGAGTGCGGTTATATGCTCGTAGGGCACTGACTCTGTAACTCGCATGCTCTCATTCAATTCGCCGTGTGTGCTTTGTGCGACATGCTCAGGTTGCGACCGTAAGTCATATATATCTGTTATAATATTCAAGCCAATGGTCTCCTCTGTTGTGTGGGCAATATTTTTGTCGGCAGGCAAACGCACTGCGCTCTGCTGACTGGGTTGGTCGCTTGTTATGCTCTCCTCTTTGCTGAGTGTTTCTTGCAAGGTTGTAATTTGTGTTTGCTGATGACTTGCAACCAAGCTTGCGATGGCTAGCTGTGGTTGTAGGCTCTCTTTTGCTTCAGCCAGTGGCTGCACCGCTTCATAAGCCGTTAATTCGGCAATAGTTTTGTCATTTTGCAATGCTGTCGTTTGCGGCGTCGCGGTGTATGCGGTAGGCTTTGCGTCGCTACTTGGCAATTCTTTCTCCAATATTGTCTGTGTGTTAATTGTTTGCGCCTGACGCATACTGTCCTCTACAGCATGTTGTGCCAATTTGTCTGCCTTTAACTGAGCTGGTTGTAGGTCTGTTACTTGCTCGAGTGCAGCTGGTTGCGTTACAAGTGTTTCGTGCTGAGCACCCTCTATGTCGGTTTTGACCTTTTCGGTTTTGACGATGTCTTCAAAGCTATCTTCCTTATCTAATATAATATCCAGTCGCTCGACTTGCAGTTGTTGAGTATGTCCATCGATGGTGGTGTTGGGTTTGGCTTCTTTTAGCGCAAATTCCAGCTTGTCTAAGGCAACAGTTTCCTCAAACGGTTTTACATCCGTGGTTATGGTCTCCGTTAACATGCCCTCCACGTATGGTTTCGCATGCTGTTCGTCCGGCTTGAATTGCTGTATGTCACCCTCTTTCGCATACACCGGCGTGTAGGTCTCGACCTGCGTTGGTCTGTATGTACTTTCTAAATTGGGACTAAGTGTAGCTTTGGGCACGATGTCTTTTGTTAGTAGCTCACCAGTCTTCTCATAGCTTTGCACTTGCGTCACACTCAACTCGTGCTGTGCCCCTGCGAATGTGGTTTTTAGTTCCGCTGGTATGTTAGTATCCATAACTAACGGCTCTTCAGCCTCCACTACAGTGGTTTCCTTTACCACAGGCAAACCTAGTGTTTTAGTTAATTCGCCTTCGGTGGCTTGTGTACTAACCGGCTTCGGCAATTTCAGACTGCCTTCGCTTTCAGCAAGTTGCTCGCTTTGTATTGTGGCTATATGTTGAGTTGTATGTGCGATATTCGCATGCGTCTCCGGCATGAGCTCGGCATCTTTAACGGGCTTCAAATATTCGTATACACCTGTCACACTAACAATATTTGTGGTGAGTAGTGTTTGTTCAGCGCCGGATTTCGCTCTCTCCGCCTGTTGTTCTGCAGGTAGGAGCTTTGCCGGTGCATCTAATGTGCTAGCTTGCTCTAAAACTGGTGCATGCATTTGTTGCTCACTTGTGGCTTCCCTTGCTGTTTTCTTAACAAAAATCGGCTTATCTGCGAAGTGTTCGGCGTCTTCAATGACAATATTTTCACGTCCGATAGCCGCATGCTCGGCGAGAGTTAATGTTCCTTCAATTCGCTGCTCCACGTGTTCTGGCAACGCTATTGCATCGGGGCGTGAGTCTTCGTAAGCTATGATTTCTGATATTATAGTCTCACTCAAGTTTTGATATTGTGATATTGCGGAGGAAGTTGTGAGTTTCAATTTATCGATTTCGCCCAAATTCTCCAAGTCGTAAATGCTTTCGCTTAGTGGCAGTTTCAACAACTCCGTTTGTGCTGTTGTCTGTGCTGTAGCCTCCATGGGCTGTTTTTGATCGAAAGCCTGTTCAAGCTCATAAAATTGGTTCTGTTCGATCACCTTAGCATCTTCTGTATTGTAGGTTATTGTTGCGGAGTATTCTTTGCCTTTTTCATAGGCGTCGAGTGTGGTCTCCTTCTCGTAAACATTTTCTTGTTTGATTGCAACTTCAAAGAAGTTATCGGTAATCGGTTTTCCTGTAGTTTCTAATGACTCAACTCCCTTTAAGTCACCCGTTGTATCGTGCACGTAAAGCGCTTGCGTTAGTGCGGTCTTCTGCGTCGATTCATTCAATTTAAGCTCCGCGGAGCCCTTCATTATGGGCTTGTCATCGGCTAACTTTTCTTCTTTTTCGGTTAAGCTTGTGGTCTGCACCTCAAAGGCGTTCTTATGGGCAACCAACTCCATGGTGGCCATGCCGTGCGTAGGTGCTTGCTTACTTTCATACTCTTTAACGCCCTCCAGTGTCTCATCTTTAGTTTGCACTGTTGATATTAACTCGTTGTAGCCATAGTGGGCATGTTGTTTATCTAACGGTGACTCGCCGAGTGCGGCTAACGCCTCAATGGGCTGCGTACTCGCTGCGTTAGCCACGGGTAAAGTGGCTGTTGTAACCGTCAAAGCTTCCTTTACAGCAGGTGCTTCCGGTTGCGTCAGCGTTGACTCACGGTCATGTGTGGCTGTCGTCAATACTTCCAATGGTTGTGATAACTCAAAATCACTATCTGCAGTTTGTTTTGCAGGTAATTCATCCGTTCTAAGTGCCTCAACTGCATCTAATGTTGTCTGTTGCTGTTGTACTCTTGTTCCACGCTCTGTCTGTAGTGCGACATCGGCTTTAACCGTTTGTGGTTTCACTTGTTCTTCTGCGCTAAGCGTCGTGTGTAGCGTAACGACTTCGGAGCTTTCAAGTGGTGTGTATGTCTCGGGCGTAATCTCACGTAAAGCATGCATTGTAGGCTTATCCGGCAGGTGAAGTATGCCATCCATTTCGGTGGTTTGTACTTGGTATATCGCCAAAGGTTGCATTTCTCGACTTGGTAAGGGCTGCAACGCTTTCTCTGCAGGCTGGTCATGTTTTTCGAATGTCGTGTGAGTTTCCAAGATATCCTGCATTTCGCTAAGACCGCCAAATATGGCGTCAATTGTTTTGATGGCTGCAACCGATTTTGGCCTATCCACTTCCAATGCTCCAGTACTGGCTTGGGGTGGTACTTCTAGCACACTTGGTGCGGTTAAATTGATTTCCGCCCGTTTATGATTTGCGGTTGGACTGTGTGGCTGCAGGGTGGTTTGCCAATCGCCAGCTGCCTCTAGTGTTTGATCATCTGTGATGGTCAGCGGGGTTTGCTCAACATAGCTATACTTTGCTGTAGCACTTTCTTGTTTTTGCTCTGGCAATGGTATTTCTTTATCATGCGTCTCGACAGCATGCACATCGGCTACTCCAACAGCGTCTTCGTAGCCGCGCTTTGTATGCTGCGCCGCGGCTTGTTCGTTAGCCAGTAACGCGTTCGCATCATAAATTATATTCTCCGTGCGTAGCGCGATCGTATTTGTTAATGTAAGCGCAGTTTTCGTGAGCTTACCTGGTGTTGGTGTTACCTGTTCGAACTTATCTGTGCGTTCCTCCGTCACGGTTTCACTTACTTGCCCGATAAGCAGACTATGGGCTTGTTCACTTTCAGCCACGACTGCTTTTGGCATGATGTCGGGCACAAGGTCGACGGGGCGCTGCTCGAGTGTGGTCGCTACATTGCCGATTACATGTAGGTTTTCTGTTAGATTAAGCTCCGCTTGCCGTGTGGTTAAATCAGTTTGAGGTACCTCTTCCAAGGGACTCTGCAAATCTGGTTGTGTGCCTATTAAGCTACTTTGCAGGATTAAACTTTCAAGTGCACTGCTTTCGTCCGGATATTTTTGTGATCTTAACTCACGCACAGTTTCTGCGGCTGCGCTGTGTGTCACCACTAGTGGCTGTGTCTCTTCGGAGACCGCAATATCCGCAAGCGCCTGCACAGGTGCACTGGGTTGCTTAAATTCTTCCTCTTTATCAATGGTTTTCTCCACCCTAGTCACATAAGCTATTTGCTCAACCCTGGTCGGCTGCGCTACCAACTCATGCTTTACTTGCGGCGACTCGTAGTCTAATGTAGTATCTTGTGGTTGCACTTCCACCACTTCTAGGCTTGTTTCGGCAGTCACAACATCAACCGGCGCTAACTTTTCGTCCAGTTTTTGTTTAACAATTTCCGCCTCAGTTGTTTCGCTGCTTACCAACTCCTCTATAAACACACTCTTATGCGGCACAAATGCCGGCTTAGCGTGCTCAACTGTCTTTTCACGCAATACGTGTTCAGGCAGCTCGTCCAACGCATCAGCGGTTGTTAACTCCAATTGCTGTTGTGAAATATGTGGCACTAGAGTCGGCTCAATATGCTCTTCGGACACTTTAGCACTTGTCAAATCGTCTACTGAATCTTCAATAAGTGGCTTCTCCACTAATAACGCGTCCATTTTATCTACACTTGGCTGCGCTTGCGCCTTCTTTGGCTTTCTTTCTTTTACCAATTCCGTAGCGCTTTGCTTGGTCTCTAACTCACTCACTTCGGGTGCTCGTCGTGCTGCCATCGTTATGCTTTCTTGCAGTTTTTCGCTCGGTTGCCTACTTTGCAACTGAAGGTTTTTCTCTACCTCGAGCGCATTAGATTCTTCTTGCTTTGCCACTGTTTGAACGTGTGTGAGCTGAGATTGTGCCACTTTTGGCTTTGGCATATCGGTGGATAGCTCTATGACTTGCGTTAGCGCTGTTGTCTCTATGGTATCTTGTGAATGTGTTTGAGCTTGTATTGTTTCGTATTGTGGTATGTTTTCTGGTTGTAGGGTTTCTGCGGTGTCGGTGGTGTAGAAATCTTCGAGCGTTTTAGATGCTTGTAGGTTTTTATGAGTGAGCGTTTCTTGTTTTTGCTGTTTTTGTTGTTGTTCGTAGATTTCTACAATTTCTTGAATTTCTTGCTGATGTTGTGACACTTTCTTTTTCTTCTTTTTAACTTTCTCGATTACTTTTGTCACTTGTTCTTGTTCTTGTTGTTGTTCTTGTTGTTGTACTTGTTGTTTTATGATAATTGTTTGTTTATGTTCTTGTTGTTGTTGTAGTAGTTGTTGTTCTTGCACTTGTTGTATGATTTTCTCATCCACATTTGTGGCTATCAAAGGTGCTGTTGTTTCTGCGAATGCGAATGTAAGTAAATGAAAAAAAACTTATCGTGCTCATGAATGAGTAACAGAAAATGTGTGAGAGAGAGAATGGTGTTACGTTTGCACGAATGTACTTGTAAGTAATAATGCGACAGTATTGTAAGTGGCTTGTGTCAAAGATAATATGTATTGAAACTCCGCGTAACTCACCCAATATATATATATTCTCTGTACTAACGGAAGAATCGAATAGAGGAACTTTGAACAGCTGACGCTTGACAGTTGTCAGCTGATTTTCATCCAAAAAAAAAAAAAAAACGATTAAGACTAATAATTTAAAATGTAATTTTTATTTTTTGCCTGCGAAAAATGCACCAAAAAATAAAAAAAAAATAAAAAATTTTCATTCAAGTAATTTTTTTTTTAAAATATACATTTATTTATTTGTAAAAATAAGTGCATTTATAATTTATATTTTCAGTGCATCTCCACGGGTTTCGCATCATATTATCCGAGACATGTGCAGTAAAATTGTAAGTATAATTTTCATTTTGAAAAGTGACACATTTTCGTTATGAACACGATTTTGAGAACATACAACGTGTCCGCTCAGTTTTTAAGGTTAGTTGAGTGTGTTATTTGAAGATTTTTCGCATTTTTTATAGTAATGAAACGTAAAAAATATTGGTGCAAGAAAATGAATTTCTTGATCAGAAGTGGGTTATAAGAAAAAAGACGGGGTCTATTGTGATTAAAAAATTCCGCTTTGAATGATTTTCAGACACTTGAAAGTTCACATTTTCATACGAATCCCTTCAACTTCCAACGTGCGCTGGAAGAGTGGAAGAGTAAAGCGCGAAAATACTTGAAAAGAGTAATGCTGGAAAAATGTATAAAATTAAGGTGGCGCATTACAAAAGGTTTCGATACCTATGAAGGCCCCGAAGAGCTAGCTGATACCCAGAGTATGCTCAGTTTAGAGTGAAAACACTCGTCAAATCCGCTGAATGGCTGTGAAAGACCTACAACCCGACATGAATAACTCGAATCCCATATCGATGATGATAGAACGAACGTTTCATGATCATGGATTACAATAAATTTCGAATAGTAACTACCCGACTGAAAATCAACAAATTACCCGACTGGAGATCAACAAAAAAGCGAATGGTGTACTATTCAGATCTGCTGGCAAAGAACTAATAAAGTGAATTTTGGTTTAAGTGGGCTTAGCCCAACCCACCAAAGGGGTAGCCCAAAATTGGCGTCAATTATCTTAGGATAAGCCTCCTCGTTCACGTCCTGCTACGCGCCATAGTAGGTATGGACAACATGACAGCATCTGAAGAGTTGACGTTAGGAGTTTTCGAGAGAATACGCAAAGCCTTTCTTTATTTGGCTTATGGTCTTCTATGAATTGGGAACGCCGATGGTATGATGAACTATATGAGATATAATATAAGGACAATGACATTATTCATCGAATCAAAAAACAGCGGCTGCACTTCCTAGGTCATGTGGCTCGCATGGATAAGAATACTTCAGCTTTGTAAGTTTTCGATGTAGTACCCGCCGGTGGAAGCAGAGGAAATACCAGGTTATGAAGGACTTGACTGTACTTGGTATCTCCGACTGGAGCCAAACAGCGAAAAAAAGAAATGAAGAGCGCAATGTTATTAGTTCGGCTATAATTGCGAAAACGGTATCTAGACTAATAAAGAAGAAGAAGAAGCCTCCTCAATATTGCATAAAAGGTCGAACTTACCGACTGGAACTTATCAGCGTGGCTTCACACTTGACATATCTATCATTGACCAGATATTCATCATGCGCCAAATCTTCGAAAAGACCCATGAGAAAAGGAACTCCGTCGAGTGTAAAGCAACATTCGATATAACGGAAAGGAAATATTGCGAAACTCATACGACTGTATAAACTAATGCTGAACAACTTTGAAAGCTCCATCAGAGCGTATGGCGATGGTAGTCAATTCTCAGCCGCCTCCGAACGGCCGATGGAATTATATGAGCAGTTTTTTATTTCATATCAGAAATACACTCAAGGGGCTTCACATTTCCTGCGGGGTCCCTGCGAGTGTTAGCACGTAATGCTAACCATTCGCTTATTGCGGCCTTTGGACTGCGTGGGTAAACGATAAAAATAAATCCCTCTCACCACGAGCCGAACTCTACAAGTCGCTCATTATCCTTCCTATACAATACTTATATTAGGATGGGGAGCACTGTGCAATGAGAACAATAGATAAAATGGCTTTAGCGCATTGGCAACAGCGATTACGGCAGACGATGGAGCTATAAGCTCTACGAGTTATACAGTGATATTGATATAGTAGAGTGAATGAAGAGACGGCGATGCGATGCGCTGGTGGAAGCAGAGGTAGAGAATACCTCCCACTCAGTTGAAAAAATCGAGTGGAGCAGGATCGGAATTCGCTGAGTGTTTCCTATCTGGCTTTTCGGATATGCGTTTTTAAATCTAAACAGTCACATTTAAGCAGCTAAAAACAGGATATTGTCGTTCCGAGCAACTGTTGAGTTTCGATTGGTGGCTCAAAAATCTATCAAACCTGCGGCATAGTCGATTAACCCAAGAATATTGCGAAAAATCTTCATTTTCTTGCGCTCAAAAAGTACTTTTTGCCTAAGCAAACAAAAAAGCGACATAAAAAAGTGAAGTAGACCCTGGAACATACATACATTACAATACATATGCAATAATATAAATTTTGATATTATTGATTTCTTTTTTATATATTTCAAATAATTTATAAACACAGATGATTTTGAAACATTTAATGTTGTTCTTGTATAGTGTTTTGTTCTTATATAGTGTTTGTTCGTTTACATTAAACACCGACGAAGGAAACAGACAAACAAATTCGAAAATAGTAGTATATCTGCTACTAAAAATAACACTTTCCTACCTGCTTACCTTATTACTTACATACATGTTGTTTGCATTGTTGTTGTACGATTTTGAACTGTTTTTTATTTAATAGAAAGCTGAGAAAGTGTAACTTCAGGATTGAAAGCAATTAATTTATATAGCATATAATGGAAAAAGGCAGTAAGAAGTTGGCTTGCGAGTATAAAATTTTAATACAATAATATAGATATATAAGCAGTGATAAAGTAATATATTGAAATATTAAAGAAAATTTAGTAGAGAGCTAAAGCTAAATAGATGAAAAATAAAATAATAAGAAGAAAGCTTAATAGTTGAAAGCGAAAATATTAAAAAAAGAAAAAAAAAATAAATAAAAAAAATTAATAAATAAATAAAGCTTATATGATAACAGCGTAGCAGCAAAGGCGTTTAATGAAAGCGATACAACGTACCAGTACAGACATAAACGTAAATAGTGGCAAATGGCGAAAACAGTTCACACATTTTGCTTACGTACACAGTTAGTTTAAAGCTGCCAGTAAGAAAGTATTTATATACTCTTGATATTGCCATTGGTCGTAAGCGGAAGTAGTACTAGTAGTAATAGTAGTGGTAGTAGTAGTTGTTGTTGTAGTAGTAACAGTAGTAGATTATTAGCAACAGTTGTAGTATAAGTAGATATTTATATAGTAAATAGTAGAAAATTAGTAGAGCAAAAAGCAAAAGTCATAATAAAATTAACATAGACTAGTAGCCAAAAATTGTTGAAGCATATGGCCGATGCAGCAAAAAGGGCAGTAAAAAAAGTAGTAGAAAAAGGGTAGTAGAAAAAGGTAGTAGAAAAAGGTGGTAGAAAAAGGTGGCAGAAAAATGAGGAGAAAAAAGGAGTATAAAAAGGTATTAGAAAAAGGTAGTAGAAAAAAGGAGTAGAAAAAGGTGGTAGAAAAATGAGTAGAAAAAAGGAGTATAAAAAGGTAGTATAAAAAGGTAGTATAAAAAGGTAGTAGCAAAAAGGTAGTAGCAAAAAGGAGTAGAAAAAGGTAGTAGAAAAAAGGAGTAGAAAAAGGTAGTAGAAAAAAGGCAGTAGAAAGAGGTAGTAGAAAAAAGTAGTGAAAAACAGTAATTGAAAACGTAGTTTAGTAGTGACTTTTTCATATATACACGTACATATGTATATGTATATCGAGAGTCCATTACGAAAAAAAAATTTACGAATTGATTAATAAATATTATTGTTGTTTTTATTATTGTTAAAACAAATTTTTAATATATTATTACTTTTTCTTTTTTAAATATATATGTATTAATGCTAAATTATTTATATGTAATTTGTATAATTTTGGGTTGATTTAATTTTTAGATTTATTTTTAAGAATTATTATTATTGAAAAATTTCAAACATTTTTGGTTTGGTGGACACATTGTTGGATTTGTTTATTTAGCATTGGTTACTACTATTTACTTTATGTTTTTGTTTTTTTTTCTATATTTTGGTCTATTTTTTTTACAATTGTTCAGTTTCTATATTCAAACCTTCTTCGACGACTAGCGTACGCTCCTCGACGAATGTTTCCTCTGTTAGACGTTGTACAACGAGGCAGGCGGTAAATTTTGTGATAAATTGCATTTTCGCATTCGTGTAGTAAGCGGCAAAGCAAGCGTTTTGTTTTTGTTTTTGTTTTGAAGCAAATTTCATTGCGCATACGTAAGTAAAAATTAAAAAAGAATAAATAAAAAATAATGATAAAATAAAAAGGATAAATGCATTGTTATTAAGCCTACTGTTAAGCCTATCACATTGATATTTTTTGTTTTTTAATCTTTTAATTTTTTTTCTATTTTTTCTTTTTTTCTTTTGCTTACCATATTTGATATGCGTTATAGCCTCATGACTTTCAATTATTTGCGAAGTTTCAATTGTCCTCTAAAAATTGTGTGCGCACGCGTTATAGGCAAAGAGTGTTAAGCGACGAAAAAAAAGAAAAATTTTAATTTTATATACAAATTATGCAGTTTTAATAATTAAAGCTTATATACAAATTGTTATTAGGCCTTTTCTAACTAAAAGCTACAGTTCCTCCACTAGTTTTTAATGTCTTCCATACTTCTTTTTTTCTAATAATTTTTTCAATTACACCTAAAAATTCACGTCAATTGAGACTTCTTTTACTTCTTCAACGAATTCATAAGCAAAGGGTGTTTTTTTTTTTAGACGAGTGGTCTAGTGAATGCGTGAAATCGGGCCAAGTTCACGCTCACTTCCCTGTTAACGGTAATTTTAAAAAGTGAAAGTATTAAGGCCATATTCGCTGGAGTTATTAGAGATCGTATAAAACGAGTAGGTGTGGCACCACCAATTTTTTCACTTAATACAGACCCATACTTATAATTCTCATGATCTAATATAAGCACAATTTGAATAAGAGCACATTCGTGCAACAACTATGCCTTAAAGCAGCAGAACTCCATTAAATTTGGTTGCTATTTTTAACGGTGACTAAAGTCTAACCTGAGTTATGTTTAGTACAGTTTTTCTATTTGCGACCAATTCGTGGACGTATATTTAGCGCTTTACAACCGCTTAAACGATTTTCAGATGAAAAAATAAATAAATTATGATGTACATCTTAATTTGTTACCTACAGTTTCTTGGGAAAGAGACGACTTAATGTCTCCGAACGGCCGGTAGATTTCTCTAAAGCGCTCTTTTATTGAATGCCAGATATACACTCAGAGAACTAGACGTTCTCTGCCGAGAGGCGACCGTAATTGGAAAAAATATTATTCTATAATTATTGGTTGTTGGTCGGACCTTGATCTTCCGTATGATAGTATGCACTGCTAACCAAATAGATTTAAAAACTGCTCGATCGAGTCGCTAGTTGGATATCTGAAACTTCGAAGCGAGTATTTTCAATGTGACCATCATATAAGAAAGGTACAGCCTTGGTATATGGTTTGTGCCCAACATTATAATAGCTTCTTCTGGGTCAGTTGCATAAAAGTTGATTCACCTTTTTTTGTACTTTTTACTAACTGTATGAGAAGTTTTCTCTTTTGATTCTATTGACATTAGAAACCTCAACTAATTGTACCTTCTCTACTTATGATCTTCATATTAATAAGTGAAAAGAAAAAGATATTCAAATAAAACGTAAATAAAAAGAAAAAAAGTTAAATCGCATGCAAACACAAAAGCAAACCTCTTTTGCGGATATCGTCCAGTCTTGCGAAATGAAATCCTCTCTTACAAATCTCCTTATCACTCTCTCAATGGTTATTTCACATGTCTCAATCATGCGTATGAATGCCTTAAAACCGACTGTAGCGGCCAAAACGGTCTCATCCTCGGTCGTCGATTCGCCCAATATTTGAGTAATCAACTCTTCATGACCCTCGCGCTCGACCAATTGCACGAGTGCTGCTTGTGATTCGGCTCTTTGCAATGCAATGAATATATTTTGTTCATACAAATAGATAATTTCAACTGTTGTACAACCGTAACGCAACAGCAGGCCTATCGTGGCCAAATCACGCAACGCAGCCTCACCGGTTGTACCAAATGATTCGGCATCAATGATTTCAAGTAGTTCATTGATCTCTTCGTGTTGCCTTATTACATGTAGATCTTCGATTGTTATAATCTTTTGCGTGATCTTTTGACGTATCGTTCGTACGGTTTCTGTTATCTCAATGGTTTCAGTGGTTTTTGTTGTGGTTGTTGTTGTTGTTGTTTTGGTAGTAGTCACAGTTTTACTCTCCTGTTCTGCATCGGCAATTTTACGATCTTTTACTTCCATCACCTCGGAAACACCACTCTCTTCTACCAACACCGAGACCGGCCGTTGTACTTTAATCAAATTTACAGTCGTCTCTACATCGCTCTCCTCTTCTTCGGTGGGTATAATTGTAATTTCAGTTTTATGCACTTTTTGTGCTTGTTCACTACTGGACTTTTTGGCAGTTGATTTCTTTACAATTGTCTTCTTTTTACTTTTCGTCTTTTGTTCGGTTTCTTTTGTTTCGGCCACGACTGTTGCTGCTGTGGCAAGATCGAATTTACCGCGTGACATTGTCATGCCGATTTCATTGATCAGTTTGCATGTGTAAAAACCGATATCCTCATAAGTCACATTCAATATTTCTAGCCTTGCTACTGTCTCTTCGACTATCAAGCGATATTTGTTAGATTCTCTAAGCTGTACATTGTTAAAATACCATTGTATATCTAATAATACAAATAAATAAACAAAAATAAAAATAAAAATAAAAACAAAAAAAAGTAAAATATTTTGTTAGCGACACTTGGCTTGGCTTGGCTATTTAGCTTTCTCCATGTTATACGGTGCCCTAAAGGCGGCGCATACTGTACCTGGTTTTGGATTTCCGGCAAATTGAATTTCGAATTTGGCAATTTCGCCAGTGGCTGCACGGCAATCACGCAACTCATTTACTATTGAAGGCGAGCATTTAGCGGCTACAAGCAAATAGAGAATAGCAAGTTTCATCGATTTTTAATTAAGCTAAGCATTTATCTACAGCGCTTACTTAACAGTAGGAGGAGGAGGCAAGGGAATTTTGTGCCTTACACATTGTGGTATACACTTGTACAATGTTGGTGTAAAAGTTCATAATACTATGTTGTAGTACATAGACGTAGTGTTAGGTTAGCATGCAAGTGTATCGACTTTTTTATCGGACCATCTTCAAACATGAAAGAATGTGTGATTATTATTAAAACTAAGATGATCGGAATATTTTTTGACGATTGAGACACGCACCTTGTTTTACTATGTGTGTTTTAAAACCTATTTTTAAGGGAATTCAACAAGGATAACACTAGATTGAAATTAATGAGGGAAACTCTCAGAATTTTGGAGCCAAAAATACTGTTCAGCATGTCATACCGTAAATAAAATTGTTAAAAGTTTTTCACAGAAATTCTCGAAGATTTGATTGACAATGCTCGCTCTTTTACGCCCAGTACATCAGCAACCAAAGAAAATATAGAGAAAATGTTGGTTATTATTTTGGAAAATCGTTGAATCACTAACGAAGAAGCTACATCGACTGCCTAGTCATATAATTTAGTATGTTTGGACATAAAGTGAAGATATTTTCGAAATCGCTGATTTTTGACAAAAAAAAAGAAGAAGAAACCCCAATATGAACTTCGCTAAGGTATTGTTGAAAGAAATTTGAGTAATGACAATAATTTACTCTAATCTGATGTCCTAATATGTTTGTGTGGTCATGACATCGTTCCAAAGTAGGAGCACACGAATGTGAAACATGTGAAAACATGAAAACTTCGCACAAATCTTCTTTCATTATCAAGGCGTAGTGCAACAGCCGTTCTTAGCTCAAAGCTACACAACACAATTATGCCTCGATCATTCAGTAATCTGTAGGAATAGGCACTTGATACAAACTTTTGTTCCCAAAATTGGAGTGATCCATGAAAGAGCGTTGTTTTGTTACGATTCAGATGATAATCCTGAAACCACTAAGAATGCACCAAAATGTGCTTGATGTGATGAATAAATATATCTCGAAAAAAATCGCGGTTCACTTAATACAGACCTCATATTGTTGTAACATTATTTTCATAATCTGAACGTAGTGTAAGTTTAGCAAGAAGTAGGTAAATATCGAGTATGAGTTTATCGTGTGCTCGTAAGAAAAAGAAATACTTATCATCTCTATTGAAAATAATTATCATTCTATTTTTTTGCGTGCTAATCAACGGATGCGTCGTTACTTTGACTAACTATATTTTCTTCAAACAATTTTAGAATGTTTTTTTTTTTCTCAGAAGTGGAATCAACTGCTCTTTGCTGTGCAAAGCAGGCTCAGCCATATTTTTATATAGGTGTCTATAAGTTTTTGATTGTGAGAAGTCTTATTTAATTTTTTTTAAGACTTTTTATACAATTTTTTTATTTTCTTAACATTATGCACTACTGATTAGTTGAAAAAGTGTTTTAAATATTGTTGAAAAAAAAAACGCTTTGTGTTTAGTAAATTTTGTATAAATTTGTAAAAATTTGTATATATTTTGAAAGTACTTACTCGTTATGTTTTGTAAAACTGCGGTGTTCTGTAAGTTTTTCTATGATAAACTATATATGTATATTTTTTTGAAAATGTTTGTCTGTTTTATAAAAATTGGTATGTTTTAAATATATATATATTTCGTAAATGTATTCTAATACTTAAGGCTGCATGTATGTATGTACGTAGGGGTATTGAAAAGGCTGAAAGATGTTAGTTACAAAACCACGTGACAATATTTATATACGACACTATATGTATGTAACTATGTACAATGGTAAACACCGTAAAAGCTAGTCATAATTAGATAATTAGTTAGCGCTGAGTTATAAGTATTTGGAATAGGATTTAAATAATGTTAAAAAGCTATTTGAAAATTATAGAATTTTTTTTTTAGGAATTATTAGTAAATTTGGCAAAAAAAATTACTCTGGATATACAAACGTTGAAATTAGTGTGCGTTCGTTTTTTATTTATGGTTTTAAATTTTTTAAAATTTCTTTTCTGTGCTGCTTGTTGTTGAATTTTTTCTTTTTTGTTTAACGTTGGTTAGTTACAACTACTATTTGATGTGTTGCTTTCAAAACATGATGCCAATGTTTCTGTTTGTTTTTTTTTTTTTTTTACTTTTGATGACAAATGATTTTGATAACTGATATCACTGTAAAAAAGATATGTAGCATTGTAGGTAACGAAATTTGTTTTACTTGTAATATTTATGTATGTATTTACTAAAATGTAATTAAAATCTTAGTTATGGCGTATACTTTTGGGGTAGGGGTTGGCGTAAAGGGTCTAGTATTGATTAAAAAAAAAAAGTTTACTAATATAAGGGAGGGGTGCTTTGGGGGTAAGCTTTATAGCTTTATGTTGCTAGCTTTTACGTTACACAAACATAAAAAGCTTCAAAATTTTCATATACTTATATATAACGAATTTAATACATACTAAGCAATATGTATGTATGCAATGTTTTTTTGAAATTTTTTTTTGTCACTTTTTATAGTTAAGAAAATCAAATTTTCTTTATTATCTTGAACTTGGACAAACAAAAAGAGTAGAATTTGTACATATAGGTAGAAGAGAACACATAGAAATTAGCGAAAGTTTGTGAAAAGTACAGATTTTAGGGGTTTTTTTTTTATTAAAAATTTCTTTTTTGCTTGATTTTGGTTTAACAGAGCAGAAAGAGTAAATATGTGAATTTTATTGTTTTTATTACAAAGTTTAATTTGTTGAAGTAGATTAAAACACATATACACTTATACTTTTTTGATATATATATATATATACGAATATATATAGAAGGGATAACAAGACACTGACAACAAATAAAGAATAGGACAAATTTACAAAATTTATGCCAATTTCATAGGTCTGAAAAAAACTGGCATAAATTTGTAACTGTCGGTTGTATGCTTACCTTTAAGGGCCTTTTGCATTTCTTCCATATGAGTAACCCATTCCGGCTTGCGGTAGTCCTTGGTGCCAACGATGCCTTTTTGTGCATAGTTTTAATATTTATTTTTTTTTGGATTTTAATAAAATAAATAATAGTAAAAAATGAAAATTAGTCATATTGTCTATGGCGCAGTGTAAATAAAATCCAGTGTAATTTGCTGTTTTGAGAAAAGTGTGTGTTTAAAAGATATCAACTTGTAAAAACTTAAACTATATTTGTACTATTAATAACTAACTTAGTAGTTTATATTTTTGTTTTTGTATATAAAATGTTTTTTTTTTATATTTTGGATGGGTTTGGGGTTTTATATACAAGGGATTTTAGGTTATGGGCTTATAAATTTATTGCTGCTTGCTGTAAAGTAAATTTTTTTTTATTAAATAAACAATTAAATAATTTATATAAATTTCCAGATATATATATATATAAATAATACTGCAAAAAAAATGCCTTAAACTCATTCACAATCATACCTTCAACCGCAAATAGCGCCGTGGTCACTGCTACACCCAATGGATTGTGTGCCTCAAAACTAATGGTGCCCACATCATCGGGATAGACGTGATTGATGACCAGCACTGAGGTGCCATCTTCGAAATTTTCGATTTGATATTCTTCCGATGCGAATATCTCCTCGTCGTCGCGCAGCCACTTAACTTTTGGCTTTGGTTTGCCAATAACTTTAACTTCCAATTTCGCTAGTTCACCCTCTTTGGGTTCGATTTTTTCTGGTAATTTCTTAATAATTTTCGGTGGTTGTTCGTCGATTGAAAGAGTCTAATAAATAAATAGTGTTTTAGAAAAGAATGTGAAAATTAAAAAAAAAAATATCCAAAATTACCGAAAATATATAAAAATATTACAAGTAAATATGTATATTAAAAAAAAAGGAAAATTAAATGGAAATATTAAAAAAAAAAAATATGAAAACATGAAAAGAACGTGTGGCATAAAGGTTTAACCTGAGACATACCTTATCTAGGAGATCCTCTTCGGAACCAGTGAGTCCAGTGATTTCAGAATCGGGGATATATTCAAATGCTAGAAAAATATGAAAATAAATATAAAAATTATGGTTTAATTTAAGGTGCATGTCAACGAAAACTAGAAAATAGTAGTACAAGTTTCAAAACGCACATTCCAATAACAAAATGGGAAGTAGTAAATGATTTTTGCTTTCCTTAAGTAGTAATAAAGTTTATGTTAAGTCACGCATATTTACATTTATTTAATTTTTTTCATTACAGGAGCATAAAAAACATATTTTATAATAAACTAAAAGGCTTCTTCAAGCAAGAAACGAAAGAAGAAAATTTATTTAATAGTAAAGGTGAGCAATTTGAAAAGTGTTAATTATTTTTAAATAGTTCAATCTGGGTGACGTGTTTTCTAAATCGAAACAAATATTAAGTTCTAAGATAATCGACTGCTGAGCTAGATTTTCGCACGGGACAAAAGGAATGAATTGAAAAATGTATATATATAACGCTTTTTAAACGCTGAAGCGATTTTTCGGCAGAGCTCCTCCTCCAATTTGTGGTTTTGCGTCTTGATGTTTTTCCAACAAATGGAGGTATCTATAGTTTATACTAAGCCGCCTGCGAACGGCTGATGGTTTTTTTTACGAGGAGCCTTTTCTCATGTACGAAATACACTCGGAGGGGTGGACATTGCCTTGCCGATTAGAAAATTTAACTTAATTTTTTATTTAATTTAACTTTCCATAATTTTTGGATGTTGGTGGCACTGGGATATGAACCGGGCATTCCGAATGTCAGTACGCCAGTAAAGATTTAGAAGTGGAATATTTAGAAGATATTAGGAGTAAAACTAGGGTTAGAAATCTAGTTGACTACACTTTCAAAAAGGTGTTGTTTTTTTTTAATTTTCTCGGAGAGCTTGAAACCTGAACAATCAGGAAACACAGCAAAGTGGATATGCTGTGTTAATAATTAAAACATGAAAAAAAAAAAACGGTTAGTCCTAAGAGACAGTTAAAAAGTGAAGCAGAAAGGAGAAATACAGAGAATTCTCGTACAAATTAATAGAGGAAAGGAAAAGGACAGATTTATTAGAAGAAAACATCATGCTTTAAAAAAAAAGATATAAAAATAAGAACAAAAGCAATACTAAAACTAAGACCGCTAAATTACACAGAACGACCAGAAATATTTCGTTAGAATAAAAATCAGATCAGAAGCCCAAACAATAAATTGTGCAGAAATAGATAAATAAATACAATAGTACAAGTTATATACAAAATAAGGGCTGGTTAAGGCTTGTTTGTAGAAGTTGTGCTTCATTTTAATATATATATGTAACTGTTTTAATATATATAATTTCTAGTTTTAGTGTTGCAAAATGTTTGTGCAAAAAAAATGTTAAAAATGTATGCTCTTCTACTCTTATTTGCTGCTCTACCTTGTACATTAACGAATGTCTTTGTCAGCGCTTCGCCTATTTTATTACTGGCCACACACTTGTATTCACCATCATTTTCGGGGAATACTTCGGTAATTTGCAACTGACAACGGCCATCGGCATCCTGTGATATTAACGTCTCTTTGGTTTCAACAACTTTCTCCTCATTATGATACCAAACAACATGCGGCGTCGGCTTGCCAATTACTTTGCATGTAAGCAGCAACGCCTCACCATCCATTACCGTAATCGGCTCTAACAATTCTTCAACAAATCGTGGCGATTCGAATTCTTCCACAGTCTCTTGTGGACTATCTTCCAGTAATTTAACGGTGGCTGTCGATGTAACTGAACCGCCCACATTCTCCGCACGGCAAGTGTATGGACCAACGAATTTCTTTTGGAAGTTTTCAATCAATAGCGTCGACTTGTTCGCTTGCGAAACAATGCGCAGTTCATTTGTGCTTTTAAGTGGTTCGAGATTGACAAACCATTGGAATGATGAGAGTGGTTCGGATGTGACGACAGCTTCTAATATGGCTACCTCATTTTCACCGAAATATTTCGGTTGTAGCGGTTGTACGAAACGTGGTGGTATGATTTCTCTGTTTGGCGCTTGATCGGTAACCATAACCGAACCGGATGATTTAGCCTCACCCACTTTGTTCTTCGCACAAACTTCATATTTACCGGTACGCTTGCGATTCATATTAATAATCTTTATCGTTGTGGTAGTCTCTGTGGTTTCAATGGTCACATCCTCGTTGATTTGGATTTCACGACCATTACGCAACCAAGTGATTTCTGGTTTTGGCATACCCTCATATTTGGCCTCGAACAACAAGGTGCCACCGGTCGGTATAACTTGTGCATTGAGCGGTGTCACCTTAGGTGGCTTCAATACCTCCGGTGGTGCCTCATCTACGCGGCTAAGTATGTTGGCATTGCCAATGGCGCGTCCAAAATCATTTTGCGCTTGCACGGAGTACGTGATCGCTTCGTTGGGTGTGGGATTAATAACTTCCAATGCGACATCGCCGGTCTCCTCGTTGTAGAATGTCTGTACCGTTTCGCTGGGTATAACCTCTTCGGTGCCGCGATACCACTTCACTTGTGGCATTGGTTTGCCGAGAACTTGACAAGTCACAGTGACTCTCAACAATTCGGGTTCCTTCTCTTCGGTGAACTCGATTTTGAGTGGTTTTGTGAATTGTGGTGCAATGCCTTGCTCTTTTTCTAAAGTTTTTATTTTTTATTTTGAGAGTAGGTAAATGGTTTTATTAAGTATATATATGTATGTTGAATGTATATACAGAGAGGTAGAGGAAGAGAGAGAGAGAGAGAGGGGTAAACTAGTGTATAAGGACATTGAGTACAAATAGATAGACATAACTGTACAACAGAAACAGTTTAAAGGGGTTTACAATAATAAATATAATACGGTAAACATTTATATAAATATATACATATGTATATAGAATGGAAAATATCTGTCATAGAGTTGAAAACGTTACAAATCCATAAAACATAAAATCAATCTGAACAAACTCTTTGGACATTCTCTCTTTACATTCGCACAGCACGACCCTTTCAATGGACTCACCTAAAAAGATGTTGGCACGACTCGTCGCCACGCCTGCCTCGTTGCGTGCTTCGCATGTGTACACGCCCACATCGCTCGGCGTGACCTTGGCTATCTTGAGTTTGGCTACATCCTCCATTACCGTGATTTCATATTTCTCCGAAGCGAATAAGAGCACGTCATTGAAGTACCAGCTGATTTCTGGGAAGGGTGTGCCCTCGATCTTACATTCAAGTTCTGTGGGCGCTTCGGGCGTGCACATGACAGGTCGCAGTTTTTCGGTAATTCGTGGTGGCTTAATTTCCTTCTTCTTCTTGCGCACCAGTTTACGTTCCTGCTTTTGCACCTCCGATGTTGTGGTCTCCTCCTTTTGCGGTACTGTTTGATCTTCGATTAGCTCTTCATCGGGCAACATATCAATACCCTCTTGTATGCGCTTTTGTGTAATCAGCTCAAGCTCGGGTAATGGTTGACTGTCGTCCAAAATGATGCGTCGTGTTTCTTTCTTCACAATATTCGATGTGACCTTCATGTCAATGCCGCGTCGCACGTCGTCCACATCGAGTTCGATTAGTTGCTCAGTGGTTATGAATTGTGGTCGATTGTCTTCAGTCTTTTTCAATGTTATTGTCTTTTGTGATACTTCCTGTGTGGTTTCTTGTGCGACGATCTCCTCGGTTTCGAGATCAACAATTTCTGCTTCGAGCAGTTGTGGTTGGTCTTCGAGCGAGGCATCCTTTAGGCGTTTCGTACGTTTCTTGTGCGCCTTTTGTTTGGTGGTTGGGACCTCGTCAGATGGCACGACTTCTTCTTCGGGTAGCACTTCTTCGGAGATGGCTACTTCTTTGATTTCGTCAATTGGTATTTCCTCCACTTGATCTTCTTCGGTGATGGGTTCATTGAATGGCTCGGCTATTTCCTCGGTTACTTCATCTACTGATGGCGTCGCCTTTTGTAATTTTGGTTTCTTCTTTTTATCCTTCTTTGGTTTCTCCTTTTGTGGCTTGGCTTCATCTTCCACTGGTATTGGTGTGATTTCAAGTTCTTCCTCCTCGGGTTCTGGTCGTTCTTCTGGCGTCAATTTGGGTGCGGGAATTTCTTTGATTGGCTGCTCTGGCACCTCCTTAGGCTTTTGTGGTATGGGTTTGAGTGTAATCTCCTCTGGTTGCTCTTCTGGTAGTGGCCTTCTCTTGCCTGTTGGCCATTGTTTCTCGTCCATTTGTTCCTGAACAGGCTTCTTCTTTTCACCACGCTTCCATGGCACTTGCGGTTGCGGTTCCTCAACCACTGGCTCTTTTTCAATATCATAATGTTCGGCTTCTTCGAGTTGCACTGGTTCTGCATCTGGTATTTCGGACAGCTCTTCTGGTTTAGGTTTCTTTACACGTTTTACCTTTTTCTTTTCTTCAACACGTATTTCCTCCGCTTCCTTCTCCACATGCTGTAAGACTACCTCTTCCAATTTCTGTTCTTCTGGCACTTGTTGTGGTCGTCTTACAGGTTTAAGTTGAACTTCTTCGATGGGTTGCTCTTCGGGTAGCTCCTTCTTTACTTTTCTGATAGGTTTTAGTGCGACTTCTTCCACCTTCTCTTCGATAAGTGCTGGCTTCGGTTTCGGTTTGGGCTGTGTTGGCGCTTCTGGCTTTTCAACAACATCCTCAACCGGTTGTTCTACAACTTCTGGCGACGGTTCTATAACCTCCTCTTCTTCTTCTTCTACTTCCTCCGTGGGTTGTTCGCCTTCCTCGTCTACTTCTTCTTCTGCAACAGTCTTCTTCTTTGGCTTCTTCTTCTTAACACGTTTTTTGGTGATTTCTTCAATAACTTCAATAGCTACCTTTTCGGTCACATCCTGTGGTGTCTCAACTTCTACTTGCATTTCTTCTGGAACAACATGTTTCTTTGTTGGTTTTAATGCAACTTCCTCTGGTTTCTCAGATTCCGGCTTAGGTAACTGTTTGCGTGGAACTGGCTTGAGCGTGACCTTCTCGACCTGCTCAGGCTCTTCTAGCTTGATCTCCCTACGTTTAGCGGGTTTCTTCTCCTCTGGTACAGGCTCTTCTGGTACTTGTTCTTCTTCTATTTCTTCTTCCTGCACTTCTTCAGGTTGTAGCTCTTCGAGTTCTTCTTCGGCTTTCTCTTTCTTTGGTTTCTTTACCTTCTTGACTTTGCGTTTCTTCTCTTCAACACTTTCTATTATGTTGACATCAACGGTGTCTTCTACCACCTCATCTGGCACTTCTGGTTCTTCTATGGTTTCAATTTCTTCCACTGGTTTTGCCTTTGGTTTCTTTGCTTTTTTCGTTTTTGCTTTCTCCGCAATTTCCGTTGTTTCCACTATTTCCTTATCTTCTTCGATTGTTGGCTGGGTCTCCTCAGGTAGTTCTTCAGCTACTACCTCGTCTTCTTTTTCAACCTTGGGTGCCTCATCCTCAGTTTTTATTACATCGGTGACACTTGGCCTCTTCTTAGGTTTCTTAACCTTCTTCTTCTCAACTATTTCCTCTTCCCTGACTTCCTCTTTCTGAGTTTCTACGATTTCAATTTCTTCTTTTTCTTTCTCTGGCACCTTCGGTTTCTTCTTACCGCGTTCCCACATTACAGGTTTTTCTTCTGGTTGCTCCGCCTTTGGCTCTTGAATTTCATCCACCACTTCTTCTTGTGCTTGTGGTACCTCTTCGGGTTTCTCTTCTACCTTTTTGACGGGTTTCTTCTTCTTTCCACGTTCCCACACAACTGGTTGCGGTTGTTCTTCAAGTTGAGCTTCCTCTTCTTTTATTTCGTCTACGGCCTCTTCGAAGCTCTTTATGGGCTCTTCTTGCTGTGCATCCACAACTTCTGTTGGCTGCGGTCGTCTGGTTGGTTTAAGTTGTACTTCTTCAGCTTTAGGCGCTTCTTTGGGTTTTTGCTTTGGTGTGGGCTTCAGAACAACTTGTTCCACTTTTTCTGGCTCTTGTGGTATGATTTTACGTGTTGCTTTCTTCTTAGTTTCTTCAACAAGGGTGTGTTCCTCCGTAACATGCTCTTCTACTTTTTGTTTGACTTCAGCAATTTCTTCAGGCTGTGGCTTTACGCGTTTACCACGCTCCCACATAACAGGTTCTGGCTGTTTAGCTTGCTCCACAATTGGCTGCTCAGTCAACTCGTCGACAGCTTCTTCGTACGCTTTAACCGGCTGTTCTTCTAACTTTTGCTCGACAGGCTTTATGGGTTTCTTCTTACCACGTTCCCATAATACTGGTGCTTGCTCAAGCGGTTGAGGTTTCGGCTCTTCCGGTAGTTCGTCAACCGCTTCCTCGTACGCTTGTGTTGGTTGCTGTTGATCCACTACTTCGGCAGGTGTTGGCTGTCGCTGTTTGCTGGGCTTAAGTTGTACTTCTTCAGGTTTAGGTGTTTCCTTCGGTTTCTGACGTGGCGTAGGCTTGAGCACCACCTGCTCCATCTTTTGCTCTGGCTCTTGCGGTAATACCTTGCGCACGACCTTTTTAGCTTCCTCAACAACCTTTTGTTCTTCAACAACTTGTTGTTGCTGTTCTACTTGCTCTACAATACTTGTTGGCGCTTTCTTAGCACGCTCCCAGAGTGCCGGTTGTGGCTGCTCGGGTTGTTGTAATACTTGGTCCGGTAATTCGTCTACAGCCTCTTCATAAGCTTTGGTTGGCTGTTCGGTGACCACTTCTTCTGCCTGAGTTGGCTTCTTTTTACCACGTTCCCATAGAACGGGTTGTGGTGCCTGCGGCTGTTGTAGCGTTGCCGTTTCCTCAAGCGTATCAACGGCCTCCTCATAGGCCCGTGTGAGCTGCTCTTCCGTTATTTGAGTGGACTGTTTGCGTTTTACGGTTTCTAATTGCACTTCTTCAGTTTTTTGTGGCAGTTTCGGGCGTGGTCTTGGTGCGGGTTTGAGTACAACTTGTTCCATTTTCTGTTCCGGTTCTCGTGGCGCAACGGTTTTACGTACACTAGTCTTCTTAGTTTCTTCGACGTATTGTTGTTGTTCAATGATTTGCTGTTGTTCTACGTACTGTTGTTGTGCCACTTCCGATACATGACGAGTTTCAGAGATTTGCTGTTGTTGTGAAGACACCATCTTTCGACCACGTTCCCACATCACAGGTGTCGGCTGATCGGCTGGCACTGGTACAGTCTCCTCTGGCAACGTGTCGACTGCTTCTTCGTATGTCTTAGGTTGCTCGGGATATGGCTCAGCGGGTTGTGGTGCTTGTGGTTGCGCTTGCTGCGGTTGTGGTTTCTTACGGCCACGGTCCCACATAGCCGGGTGTGGCTGTGTGAATTGTTGCTCCTCTGTATCTTGGCGTTGTTGTACTGCCAATCTTGTGGTATCCTCAACTTGTTGGAATTCCTGTACTTGCCTGGGCTGACGCCATTCGACCGCCTTCTCTTCTTGCGTACGCTTCATCATTTGCAAGTGTTCGTACTCTTCAATACTCATCATTTTGGTATCTTCAACGGTTGTGAACTTCTGCTGTTGTGTGCTTTGTTCGACCTGCTCTTGCGTGGTGAGGCCAGTCTTGAGTATTGAAGTATCTTCCATTGAGGTAAGCGGCTGTAGGGTAGGTACTTTACGTCCCTGTCGCCAATTGACTGGCTGCTGTTGCTGGATGATGCGTTGTGCCTCGAGTTTCTCGCGCTCCGCTACGCTCAACATATTGATATCTTCACTTATGATATACTGTTGTTTTTGCAGTTGGTTGATATCTTCATATTGTTGTTGTACATCCTCCTTGCGCAACACCTTCTGTATGGAACCCTTTGAGCTCTCGTCCACAGTCATATAGACGGTGTCCTGCGTGGCATTGGTCACCTCTTGTGTGGTGGTGGTCTGCGATTGTAAATGACGCAGTTCTACTTCCTCAATCTTGAACTTTTCAATTTGATTTGTAACACGTTGTACACTCTTTAAATGCTGACGCATTTCCTTCCACGGTATCGCATCCTCCTTCTGGTGCTTCGTGATGAGCTTTTCGATTTGCTCCGTCATCTCGGTTATTTCAATACTCTCCATGCTACGCAGCCGCTGTATTTCGTTGGTGCGTTCGATTTGCTCTTGCTGCGCTTGCTGCGGCGCTATTTTGTCGGTGACAATTGGTTGCTCGATGGGACGCAGATACACTTCATCCAAATCGAATTTGTCCAATTGCTTTTGCACACTCTCCACGTGTTTCAGTTTATCACGCATCTTTATCCATGGAATGGCTTCCTTTTCAGTCTTACCGGCGATAATTTGATCGAGTGTGGCGCCAATACCCATCAAACCTTGATTGCGTTGCTCTTTGATGGATTTGAGTTCAACTTTAGCGGCTTCCATTTTTGGAATGACTTTCTTTTCGATTGGTGTTGGTTTCAGACTTATAGTTTCTTCAGTCCATGATTTAATCGGCTCCGGTTTGTAGCCGGGATAGAAGGGTTGCTTATCTAACGAACGTCCGCGTCTGGGTCGTGATGATTTACGCCAAGGTACAATATTTGAGTGTGGCTGTAGTGATTTACTGCGGGGCTTTTTAGTGCGTTGCCGCCCCTGATGTGGTGCCTGCCCGTTGATGGCCAAGAATTGACCATACTGCGGTGCGCCGGGCTGTTGGGGGTGTGGCGATTCGGGTGAGCTGTCTTCCTTACCGGATGATGAAGTCTCATCTTCGACCGAGTCGATTGGACGTAGTTGGAAGGCCGAAATGCGTCGTTCTGGAAAATTATGTTCATTAATTTGATTTTTTTATAAAAGATAAAGTTTGTTTTGAGTTCACAAGCAAAGTGTTCCAGCAGGTCCTTGTCGATTGTCTTTGAAAATGTTTTATATTTAAGTGAAGCATTAATAAAGGCATTTTTCATAGCTGAAAGCGTAGCACAGAACGTACTTATCATAGTTAATTAAATACATACCGACTGATTCCAAAGGTATCGAGCTGAAATTCGAGAAGCCATCGCGTTTCCTGCCACGAAATTTTGTTTTGAAAAAAGGTCTTAAACCAAGATTTTATCTATTATCAGCTTGAATGTCCATGGAATTAAAAAAAATACTAATTTCGAAAACACAATTTCAGCGCATCCATGAGGAAGTTTTCTTCGAAAGAGTAATGAAAACTTTAATCATCCCACGGCAGCCGTCCCTTTATGCGAAAATAGGAGTTTTGTGACTTCTTTTCCAAATTCTTTTGTCTCTCCGAGCTCTACTCTTTAAGGGATCATACTTAACTTAATAACAAAAGCTCCATGGCGAGTGGTTATCATAGTGAATGAATCCAAGGGGTCGAAGCAGCGAAAGCGGTTACTGATTACCGTGTCTAAAGCTCGGTTCGAGTATCACGGGCCAGGTTGACAAGAATACCCAAAGTAAAGGAAGCGCCTGAACTTCCGCGCCATTGTTGAAAGTTAGAAGTTTGAAGATTGTCTACTTTTTCAAAGTATAGGAACCAGCTTCTACACCAACAACAATGTAAATATTGAAATCGAACGTAGACTCACTCCCACTCCCAATGTAAAGGAACCGCCTGGGCTCCCGCGCCACTATTGAAAGTTAGAAGTTTAAAGATTGTCTACTTTTTCAAAGTCTCGGAACCAGCTTCTACACCAACAACAATGTATATATTGAAATCGAACGTAGAATCACTCCCACCAACAGATTCTACTTTGAAATGAAAGTTCTCTCTCAACGAACAAAGATTGAGCTCATCCTTTTCGCTGTTGTGTTGCTGTTGACGGTTACCTAATGGGTGATTCTGGAAACGATCTAATTTGACGTATTCAGATCAAAAAGAGAGGAGTGTTAGATGAGACTTAGCCTGTGCTGGTGCTCATTAGGTGCGGGACATCTTTATAGCAACTGAATTTTAATTGTGCCAATATTAGTCGTGTCCCGCGAGGCATATAAAGCTCTTTGTCTACTAATTATCATTTTCGCTCTGCTGGAACTACTTGAAAAGGGCTAGATGCACACAGGAACTCGATACATTTACGAGTATAAGTGTGCGAGTAAAAAGCTCATGGACAGAATTTCCAACTGCGAATCACCGTTAAAACGTAACAGAATCCACACATTTCTGAAGTTACTGGTGATCGAAAGTGGATCACTCGCTGTAACGTCAATTGATAACGTTGGTGGTCAAAGGGCAATAAGGCGGCACAAACGGTTTCCAAGTCAGAATTGACTACCAGGAATGTTTTGTTTGATTGAATTGCCAAGGAATCGCCAACTACGAGCTACTTACCTATAGCCAAATTCTTAATTAAGACCTATACTGTCAGCAATTGGACTGTCTGAAGGAGTCCTTCAGCCAGAAACGCTCAGCTTAGGCCAATAGCAGGGGAATTGTGTTTTGTCAGCACAACGACAGCGACTCGCTGGAAGCTCTGAGAGCTTGGTTGGGAGGTTCTTATGCATCCACCTTCTAGTTCGGATTTCGCGCCAAGTGATTAATATCTGTTCCTGTCCCTGGCGAATGAGTGTGAAAATCGATTGTCTAATTTTGGGCCCATAGTGAAGAGGATTTCTATGAGAGAGGCATAATTAAATAATCTTGGAAAATTCTAACTATGGTAACAAATGCAAAAACAATAAACCACTTTTTATTATAATATATATTTATACACATTTGAGCTTTTCACATCAACACTCGTCGTTTGAAATGAGTTTGAAACAAACTTGACCTCACAGTACAGATCGTCCTTGCAATATTGTAATTTTGTTGTTAAATAAACTCATATGAATCGTCTTCCACTTTAAGAAAGAAATTTACTTTTAATTAAAAAAAACTCAATATATTTTTACCCACACAATTTTCCAAAAAGGTCAGTGAACGTTTTTAAAAATTTAAAGGCTGTTTAGTGCCCTGCTAATTGATTGGTCTTCAATTCAAAGGTCTTTTCATGGCTACTCATATATTTTTGAGTCACTTTATTAAATGTACATATTTAATAGCATTTTAAAAAACAATAAATATTCACGTTGACAGATTCTGCCCAAAATTATAGCCATCTTAATATTAAAGAGATTATAAATATTTTTTATTAAGCTTTCTTATTTGTTTTTTTTTTTTTTTTTTTTTAGTATGACGAATAATGACAAAGGCATACATATGTATATATACATATATATAAAAACAAGCACACACTACATACATGTGTATTTGCAAAGTGAGAATCTTGGTGCTCCGATGACATCAAGAGGTTTGCTCTCACTGTTCTGAGTGCGGTGTTCTCACATGTGTGTAAGTGTGAGTGAGCTGAAAAGGGCCTGAGCATTTGAAGATAAAAGTTTTCTTTTTTGAAATTTTAAGTATTGTGTTGGGTTAACCTATCGATTATAAGTAACTCTTTCAACGACGGTTTTCCAGATAACTTAATATTTTCGGAGTAATTAATTTCCAAAGTTGTTTTTGTATGAAGTAAAGCAAAAAAAAAAAATGAAAATGGGGAAATCTCTAAAATCTCAAATTTTCTCAAAGATTTGACTTTACGTAAATGTATGCATAGTACGTATTTTTGTCCCATTTAAGCTCCTTTTCTGTGGTAGCGCATTTTAATTGAATATGCTTGAATACTCAAGTCCGTTTTCTAATTTTTCATCATCTACTTGGATTTTTTTTGTTCCTAATTGGTTTGACAGCCGCAGTAGCCGAGTGGCTAGCGTTGCATACTGACATTCGGAAGGCTCGGGCTCATATCCCGTTGCGACCAACTTTCAAAAAGTTATTGAAAATTAATTTAAAATTAAAAATTCTAATTGCGGTTGCCCCTCGGCAAGGAATGTCCACTCCTCCGAGTGTATTTCGGACGTGAAATAAAGCTCCTCATGAAAAACCATCGGCCGTCGCGAAAAAACATCAAGACGCAAAACCACAAATTAGAGCAGGAGCTTGGCCGAAAATCACTTCAGCGGTTGCAAAGCGTATATATAATAGAACATTGATGTAGCTTTGAATGCAACCGTGCATTCTATACACTGTCGTTGCACCGTAAGTAGGTATCGAGGTGCTTCAGCCCGTTTAGTGTACACGGTGTGTCCAAAAAATAACCGAACTTTATATTTAAATCATACAACATACAGCGCCATCTATTAAAAATTTGCATCATTAAAAACATACATTCATCCTCTTTCAAATGCACCTAACATCATGTAAGTCGGAAGACAGATGTAAAAGTGACAGCCATTTCAATAAAACCAAAAGTGTGCTAATGGTTCAAAAATCAAATGGAACAAAGAGCAAATATAAAATTTTGTGTCAAACTTGAAAAAAAAAAAATTAATGAAAAAAGTTTATTGTGATGATTGTATGAGTCGTACGCAAGTTCACACGTGGCTTACACGATTTAAAAATGGTCGTGAGGATTTAAATGACGACCCTAGAGCAGGACGTCCAGAAACTAGTAATCGTGCTGAACTGGTGGAAAAAGTCCGTGAAATCATTGGTATCGATGCAAAATTTACTACGAGAATGTTGGTTGAGGAATTGAATACGAGTAAAAACACTTTTTGGAGAATTTTAACTGAAGATTTGGGGAAAAGAGAGGTCTGTGCGCGATTTGATCCACATGAATTAAATGACGACCAAAAAATCGCTCGAATTTTTAATAAAAACAGGGATTTCTCTCATCGACCATTCTCCGTATTCGCCTGAACTATCACCATGCGACTATTTTTTATTTCCAAAACTGAAAACCAAGATGAAGGGAGCATTTTATGATGATATCCCACCCATTCAAGCAGCCGTAACCGAGGTACTGAAGAACATTTCTATAAATAACATAAAAAAATCTATGCATGCGCTGGTTGATCGTTCCAAACGTTGTGTTGAGTCAAATGGAACCTATTTTGAATAAATAACAACTTTCAAAGATAATATAATGTGTATTTTATTTTATATCCAAAAAGTTCGGTTAATTTTGGGACACACCGTGTAAATTATTTTCAAATTAAATTTATTTTTTTTTATTTTTTTATCATGGATCGCACTGTACTAAATGACAATTGAAATCGTATGTGGAAAGAAACTTTGCATTGTTAGTTGTTGGAATTATCGCGTCATTGACTTTCACAACTAGTTCTAGTCGGTACTCCTTGGTTTAGCTGGTGAAAAGAATTATCGAGAATTTCTCAAGTTGTAGCAGAATAGCACTTTACTTCGATTACAAGTTTTTGCTTTCCCGGTCAGACGTCAATATTGTGCCGTAATTGGTATATGGAATCAATTAAACGCCCTCTGGTAGAGTCTGGAGTTTAACGGTGTAAATATAAAACAGAAGTGGGGAGAAGGTTCAGCGGAAACCCATCTTTGATCTTACGTAGTTTGGAAGTCTGTCTTCAAAAGTCTAGCGCTGACAATCAACCACTCAGATAGCTTATAGTTAACTTATTCAACCTCGACCGTAATGAGGAATCCTAAATGTCCGATAGTGGCATTGAATGGTTAACAGATGCTATGCTATGCTATGGTCAAATCAAATGTTTGTATGTGAATTGAGTTTATTAATAAGGATCACCGATATTCCCCCGAACACCGAATTTAAGCCTAACTAGATGGCACTTGTTTTATTGCATGCATCAATAGTTTGTGAGTTATAGTAATTTTCAAAAATCGTACCAAAAGAGTGTATAAGAACTCCAATATACCAAAACCAACAATAAAAAGTTGGTTTGTTGAATTTGAACGGAGCCAATTCAGCGCCGATTAATTAAATTTTCAATAAAATATTTTCGCCATTTTCATTTTGTATTCGATGACTGGTACATTTACGATAAGGTAAAAACATTTTTTTTGTTTTACTTTTAATATTCGCTCAGCTGACGAGTGTCAAACACAGCTAAACTTTCTTGCCTTTTTTGGGTGACTCCTGCGAATTCGTGTGAAATATTTAAAATTAATAGAAAATTCAATCTTAATCCTTGTGATTGTCACTAAAGGTATGTATTGACTAAAAATAATAATATTGCAGAGATAACTGACTGAGATGACCGACCATAATACATATGTTTGCTCTGTGCTTGGTACCGTTGCAAATGGTACCCGGATCTAACCCACCAAACATACAACAAAACCTCCTTTGGCCGTTAATGCTCGCTTGGAGACTGCTTGTGCCGGCTCACTGCGCTTCGACCACGAACGTTTTCGTTTGACGTTGCTGAAAGTGATATACTTCTCCTCATCACCAGTCATCATTTGCTTCCGATATAGTTACGAACCAGCAGCGATACATAAATGCCAAAACTAGAAGAATTGAGCTTCAAATTCTATGCACATTAATCATGGGAACATCCAACAAAAAAGCGCTGACCGCTAAAAAAATTCGTTCGTTAGAATTAAAAGAGGTTATTCTTGAAACTGTAGCCTATTTGGAGGCGTAAGCGAAATTATTCTACAAAAGTGGTTTTGATGTATTAACTTCGTTTCAGTGAACAATTTACTACCCACATCATCATGAAAGTGCCAGTAAAGGATTATCCTACCTATCAAAGGCTGAAGTGGTTTCAAGTTTGAGAAAAAGTAAATCAAAAGTGAAAGCAATTATATTGATAACAGCCCCGAAATATATTTTCAATACTTTAAAGGATATCTATCCCAAACCCCATAATATGACGGTATGCATTTTTTCGCCGAAAAGAAGTACTGAGATAAGAGTGTGAAGAGATTTAGCAATAATATTTATCTATATGTAACACCTCAGATTCAGGTTCATTCTATCAACTAAAGTTAAAAAAAAAAATATTTTTAATATTTTTTGAATATTTTTAGAATTTATGTACGACTACCCCAGACTCCCTGTCAGCATAGTCTTATCTAAACAAAATCACATTGTACTCGTACATACTTAAATATTATTTGCTAAATTTGTTTATATTTATATATTTTATGAAAACATGTTTCACAGCTAGATGTCTCATATTTTTAACGGTAATTAAATTAATAATTCCTAAAATTGTTTAACAATGAGAGATAGATATAAAATGCTTGCTTGTGTATGTGTGTGTGTGTGGGTGTGTGTGCTTGTGGCATGTGTTAAGTGCATATATATACATATATACATATTTTTACTTATAAATGTGCAAATAATATTAATATGATAAAATTTTGTTTATTTATAAAAGATTTTTAAATATACATGTTCAGATGTATGCATATAAATTATAAATGCTTAAATTTGAATATATATATATATATATATATGTAGATATATAAATATTTGCACACGCCTTTGATTATTAAATTCACTATTAAAAATCTATATTGTCTGGTCGCAATGAATATATGAATTATGTACAGGCATATATGCTTGTATATTCAAATATATCTGTATGTATGTGTTTTAAAAACAATACAGGGTATCTCTAAAGGTTTAAAAATAGTAATATGACTATGTTATAATTTTTTTAATTTTTTTTATCGGGCTTTGAAAAACAAATTGATTTGTGATGTTGGGTATATTAAAAAAAAATATATATATATAATATATAACTATGTATATCTATATATATATATATAAATGAATTTATGTGAGCGCGCGCAGGTGTCCGATTAGTAACTGTACTAAAATTAACTGTGAGACATAATTATATGTTTATATAGATGTATTTATTATATATATACATTTGTGTGTAGCTTCAACTTAAAAAAAAAAAATTTTTTAAAAAGTTAATTCATCATCACAAGCGGATGAAGATAGCAAAATTATATTGTCTGTTGCATACATACAACTTTGCGTAGATATCCTACATTTTTACATACATACATGCTGAAAACAAAATGTATGTATGTATGTACACATCATATACTAAATATTGGCTTATTCATTAAAAGCGAAATATCTCAATTTATGCGTAATTCGCCATAAACATACCTCAAGCGATACAATATATTTATTTCTACAGGTAATTGCAAATTCAAAAATACATATGTACATACATACATACATGATTCTAAACTCAATGGCTTGCCAACAACTAATTATACTTAAGTATATTTTGCATATTTCATCGCTCATGGCCCTTGACTGACAATTTCATTTTACATACATACATATTTAATTATTTATTTAAGAAATATGAATTTTTCTTTTAGTTATTTATGTGAATTGTGAATTTTATTTGATTTAAAAATTTGCATTTACCAAATTTTTTTCCTTATACAAAAAAAAAAACAAAAAAAAAAAAAAATACGTGTGACCATTGATGATATACTATTAAAATTAAAATTTCTCTTTATTCAAGTTCAGTCATTGCACAAATCAGCTTTTGAAATTTTTATTAATGTTGATGTCTGCTCAAGCATTCCAAGTGTAAAATTCATGGTCTAAGTATTTAGTTTTATTTAGATTTTTAGTTTAATGCTAAATATTTAATTAGAGGTGTCAGTTAGTGAGCAACTATTTTTTTTTTGTCAAAAACAAAGCTATACATATATTTTTATGTATGTGCATACTTTGAAAATGCAGATGAATTTTTCGACAGTATAATGAGAATAATCCTTCGTTACCATCTCTCTGCAAAGTTGAAAAAAATATGCTAAATAAGCAGAAATTAAGCACAGCTTTCAAAATTCCATGTTTAATGCTGATTTGAAAATTTCGAATTTTAAGTAATATTTTATTTAAATATTGCATACAAATCGTAGTTTTTAATTATGTGCCATTTTTACTATTATTTTTACATTACGTATACGCAGTGTTGCACTTGCATTAGGTATAGTTTATTTACGGCGCATCGTTGCAAAATTTACTTAATGCTTTTTTATGATTTTTTTTATTTAATTTAAATTAAATTTACCTCATTTTCTCTCAATATTTGTGTTAATTTTTTTTACTTTTTACTTTATGTATGTGCATTTAATTTTTTTAAATTAAATTTACTTTGAATTATTTTTATTTTTCCTTTGATTTTGTCTTGCTTATTTAATTTTTTTCTTTACTTTAGATTGCTTTATTTTCTGTTAATTTATTTTATTATATTTCATTTGATTTATATTTATTTTGCTCTATTTCCCTTTTATTAATTTCGTTTTATCTTGTTATATCTTTTTATTTATTGTCTTTTTTTAAATATATTTAATTTTAATTTATTTTACCTTTTGTTGTATTAGGTTAGTCTTTTTGTTTTTTTTTCATTTTATTTTATTACGTTAAATTTCATTTTATTTATTTCTTTTCATTGTACGTTCTTAATTTATTTATTTTTTTTCAATATATTTCTATTTATCATAATTTTAGTTTTATTTTAATGCAATTTAAGTTTAAATTTTTAACTTTGTTTAGTTCATTTAGCTTCATTTCGAGTTTTTTTTTATTTTATTTCAATGCACGCTATTTCATTTTGTTAAATTTGTTTAATTTGTTTTTTCTAATTTTTGTTGATTTTGTTTGATTTTGTCTTGCTTATTTAATTTTTTTCTTTACTTAGATTGCTTTGTTTTCGCTTAATTTATTTTATTATATTCCATTTAATTTATATTTATTTTGCTCTATTTCCCTTTAATTAATTTCGTTTCATCTTGTTGTATCTGGTTATTTATTGTCCTTTTTTTAAATATATTTAATTTTTTTTTTCATTTTATTTTATTTCGTTAAACTTAATTTTATTTTATTTATTTATTTTGATTTACGTCATTTATTTATTTTTTTCTTTGAATTTATTTCTATTTACTATAATATTAGTTTTATTTTAATGCAATATAAATTTAAATGTTTAACTTTGTTTAGTTTATTTAGTTTTATTTCGAGTTGTTTTATTTTATTTCAATGTACGTTATTTCAATAAATTAAATTTGTTTTATTTTTTTTTTAATTTTAGTTGACTTCCTTTTATTTTTTTTTGTCTTAATTTAATTAATTTTTATTTAATCTATTTTCTTTTTGATTCAATTTAATATAATTTTTGTGTTATTTTTATTTTTATTTAACTTAATTTTTTTAATTTTGTGTTGCTTATTCAATTTTAGTTTCGCTTGTTTTATTTTTTATCAATATATTTAATTTTGTTCAATATGTAATATTATTTTATTTTTATTTTTTCTTTTTAATTTTTTTTTTTTTTAATTTTTAACGTTATTATTTAAGTTTAATTTAAATAAATTGGCTTAATTTATTTAATTTAATTTTATTTCATTCTATTACCTTTTAGTATTTTATTATTATTTATTTAACTTACATAATTTTGTTTAATTTCTTTATATTTTATATTTTATTGCACTCATCTTGAATTTTAGTTTTTTCTATTTTAATTAATGCAATTTAATTTTTTTACTTTTCTTTATTTTAGTGCATTTTTTTCTAGTTTATTTAATTTTATTTATTTTACTTTCTTTTACTTTTACTTTTCAAATAATTTTTTTTTCTTATTTGAAAAGTTTTACTCTATTTAAATTGATGTTATTTGGTTGTGTTTTTAATTTTTTCAATTTGAATTTATTTAATTGCAGGGAATGTCAATCGCTCCATTGGTTACAAAGTGTCAATTATAAATATATAAATATATAAATAAATATAAAATTGTATTCGAATTATAAATTATTTGTTTTGTTTTATATTACAGTTTTAATTAATTTTTTACAATTTTATGGTATTTTATATTATTTATTTAGCTATTATTATTTTTATTTCATTTTATTTTTATTTTATTTTATTTTGCTCTAAACCATTTTATTAAATAAAAATCTGTTTAATTAAGATTTCTTTTGTTAAGTTTCATGTCATTTTACTTATTTTTTATTTATTTATGTCTTTTATTTATTTATTTTGTGATCTTACACTATATCATATTTAATTTTAGTTTAAAATATTTAACTTTAATTTTATATGTTTTGTTTCATTAAATTTAATTTTATTATGTTATATATTTTTATAATTTAGATTTTTTAATTAGTCTAATTTAATATAATTGAATTTTCGTCAAATAATTTTTTAAACATTTTCTAATAAATTTATTTATTATATAAATTTTTACATTTAATTTAATTATTATTTATTTCATATTTTTATTTTATTTATTTATTCAAATAAACCTTAATTACTTGATACCTTTTTAATAATTATAAAATATTTAGTAATAACTCTTCCATGAATAAATATTTTTTCTTTAAAATTTATTTCTACAGCGATCAGTTATTATCAAAAAATAATCAGATATAATTCTTCTTCTAGCAGCTCAAAAGTTCTATTCTATCTCCACATTGGCTGACTTTGTATTACAAACTGCATTGTTTAGTATATAAAAAAATTTTCTGGCATCAATATATATATGTTTGCTCAACACTAAACTGTTAAGGGCCGAAATTTTCAAATTCTTATGCAATTTCCTCCACTAGCAATGTTTACAAAATGTTTGTAATTAACGTAAGCTATTAACTTAAATGCACTCAAAAATTTTACCTAATGTATTAGGTTTAGATGATTTCGAAAGAAAACATGCTATTGGGCAATCACCAGCCATGTGCAACCAAACTGGTGGTATGAATGTCTAAAATAATATTTTCCCCTCATTTTGCTTGTATTTTTCCTACGCCTTAATACCGCCAACTTAGCTCCATAGATTGTTCTTTCCTTTTCTGAAGTTTTAAAAATAATTCATTGACCCCATTTGGGGAGAGTAAATTATTGCCTGTTGCTGCAACATGCATTTCTCTATCGGTTGAGAACGCCATGTAGGAAATTTTAAGAGAGTTGTTAGTGAAGAAATTACTGTTGCATTTATAATTTACTTTATTCTCTTTTCTATCGGAAAAAAATTATAAAAATAAAAAATAATTAATTAGAAATTTTTTGTGATTTGGCTTGGATTTGTTCATCTTTTTAAGTATCTATATATATACTGGAATCTAAATACATTTATAAACCTCTTGATCATGTGTTGCAAGTTTTCAAATACTTTTTTCATTAGTGGAAAGATCAACAGTTTGAAATATTTGGTGTGAAATTGTCAACTGTGTGTTTGTCTCTATATTAAGAAATTGTATTGGCTAAGTGATTTTGACTAAAAATATTTTTTTTTTTTAGAAAATAAATGCCA